TTCTCATGCAGCAGTAATCCCTTAGAACCGCACGACGTCCAATGCATCAGTGCCAGATGAAACAATAGTGAGAGACGGCATTGACGTCAGAGCACACACCCATCGCCGCAGCCAAATTCACACGTAACAGGCTGCCTCTCTCCGGACTGCATGGGGAGGGGCTGCTGTCGTTGCTCGTAGCGTACGTGCTCTGAATTTGCTCTCTTGTTGCGGAGCAAAGCTCGCGTAACACATGCATGTTACATCGCAGCGAAAGCCACAGGTTACTGGCGGTGCGCGCGAGTGCTGCGCAATCTCCACCACCCACTGGCCTCTGCGCATGTTGTGCTCCGAATAAAAGGCACGACTTGAGTTGGAAAACAAAGATGCGCGCGGTACGTTGAGTAATCGGCTCTTTGTACAGAGGCAAATTTCCTGATTTTCTAACGGATGATTGGCTGCGGTTACTGTGGGCAGTTTGTTCTCCGGGCTTTGGGCTCCGGTAAACACGGGTTCCAAAGCAGTTACCAGGCACTTGCCGGGAGGAATGCTTCACCTCTGACCTGCTCTGAGGCAAGTGTGAGTAAAGCTCAAGGCATCCTCTTCCCCTCCTCCATCTTTTAAGTGATCCAACACCACACACGCGGAGGGGCCCCAGCTAGGGGGGGGGGGGGGCACCATTTTGCAACATAGCTCTGTGTTGAGAAACAAAACTAAGAGACAAGAATCCAGACCTTCCAGCACAACAAGTGGGATGTTTGGCTGAGTGCCGTTTAATACTTACCTTTCAGGTAATACGGGACAAAGAAGCGCTATTTTAAATAAAGATTCACCGTATTATTAAGAGCACATATTTGCATAATGCTCGGCTAAGAGTTTTGAACCTTACATGATCAAATGGTAACATGTGACCTATATATTTTAAACTAAAAAACCCTTTTTTTAAATGAAAGTATTGATTAATAGACAACTGTGGCTACAAAGCTCTGTGGGCCCACAGCTTCTCCTGGTGCGTCTCCTCAGCCCGATACGGGTCTGACCTACATTCACGCAGCTGGGACGGAGCGAGGAGGACGTCTCTGAAAGCAGACCAGCTGGCAGCAACGAGACCAACAGCCACCAGAACTCTGCCTTTCGCCAGACACGAGTTTCCATTTGCATTGCATCACATCCTGGATGTTCACGTTCTAATTTCCCAACAAAGTAAAGCAGAGATCTCGGGGACACCAAACAAAAAAGGGGGATTATCTGGATCAAGACTTCTGACTACTTCTGTTTTTTTATGTTCCCTATTTTTTTTTTCCCTCTTGGGAGGGGAAAGTTAAAAATAACTGGTGGATGCTGAGCAGCTGTGTTACGTCTACGATGAAAGCGTTTCTAAAATATCTATCTGTTTCAGCGACAGGGATTTGGTGTTCATTTTAGGTGTGACTGAGGGGTGTGAACGGGAATCAATTACAGGCCTCATGTCCCGAGAGAGAGAGCTGCTGGTTATTGGTGTCCCTGCTGTGTGCTGGTTATGTCATACCCCCTCAAAGCCCAGCTCTGTGCTCGGCTTAACACACCTCATGAGTACAAAAAAGGGAGGAAATCACAGCGTGACTCACTTTGAATGAAAATCAGACATTTTGTTTCTCCTTTGAACTTGAAAATCTACAATTCTGCCAGCTGTGTGAAATGCTTTGAATATTTGGAGAAAGGGGACTTTTAAAGATACACACGAATAAAACAAAAACATTTTAAGGAAGCCTGTTGCAATCACGTGTTTTTACCCCTGTGGTGTTTCTGTGATATAATCTGTGTAACCTATGAATAACCTTGATAATCCTGAAAACCTTACTGATGTTAGACGTATTTCAAAACAATATCTTTATAAATATTGTATAACCTCTTTGACACGAGTTCTCGGGTGGATATTGAAGATGTGGCGTGAGCAGCGCCCTTTGTGCGAGGTAGTCTCCTAAAAGCCGCCCCGCTTTAGCTCATCCACGCTGATATTTGCGCGCACACCCCGAAAGAGGACCGGATGATCTGGTGACCTACATGTGAGCTCCGCGCACATACAAACAGCCCCGTGCCACGTGTAGGAGCTAATAAAGCTAGTGCCTTGTGTGTCTGTACCAACCAGACAACACAGAGCGACGTCAGCCCCATTCCCTGGAAAACACCCCCACGCGGGGAATAACCTCGCCTTGACATTGAGCGCATAACGTGGGACGACGTGGCCCAACCACGTTTTCGGTTCCTTTTTTTTTTGTTGTTGTTAAAATATCACCTGTCGAAAAAGAACAGTCCTAAAAAAAAAAACGCAACAAAGTGGCATGCGGAGTTTTTCGTGCGTAATGTGGCAAAAAAAAAAACAGAGAGCAGCGGCCGCCGCAGACGTCTCAAAGTCACGGGCGCGCGCCGGAGGATCCGACCGGCGCCATGTGAACAATAAACCGGCCATAAGCATCGCGCCGCCGGAACGCGTTCAAGTACGACGGCGCCGAGTGAGATCACAGCGAATACCGGGGAGACAAAGAGACAAAGACGAAACGCCTTCCGCTCGGTCCTAACATACCTTTCCATGTCCTGGAGCAGCGGGGGAGAAGAAGAAGAAGAAGGAAAAAAAATCTGCTTCCCCGAACACTCAAAAGCTCTCTCCCGTTTTTTCCTCCTTTCTTTGCGCCCCCCCCCCCAAAAAAAAAACCCTTCCCCCGGAAAAACAAAGTTTCCGTGTAGTTGTCGTGCGGTCGCTCGGCGCGGCGCGCTGGAGTCACTGGGGGCCGCTGGCGTCTCCTGGCTGGAGCTGCCTGTGCGTGTTGTGCGCTGCCGGACACTTTGCTCCAGTTTCTCTCCGGCTGCCTCGCTGGAGATATGTGTGTTAGTAGGTCAGCGGTTGCATAACAGCTCTTGGGCTGCCTCGTCACGTTCTTGTCCTCTCTTCCCCCCCCTCTCTCTCTCTCTCTCTCTCTCTCTCTCTCTCTCTCTCTCTCTCCCCCTCTTCCATCTCCGTCTCCTCCGCGAAGAAACATGATCTCTTTCGAGGGAGTTTATAACGAGCGCCATGGAAGCGTTTTTGGTATCAGCAGAGGTCCAATAATAGAATGCAACAGCGTGTCCTTTGAGTCTTCGGTCACTGGTGTCTCTGCTCTCATGATAGTGGATCCTGCGGATGATATGCAGCAAAGATTAAAACAATATGTATATATATATTTTCAGTACCACTGTGATAGGAACTGCATATTCTGCATAAAATATATTGTTTCGTGATCCATTTTTTTAAGCTGAGAGTGAGAAACTAAAGGCCATGACGGATTTCAATCCCGTGCTTGGATCACGACAGTTTATCTCTTTGTTCACACATCTTCATCGTGTTATTGTTTCAAAAATATTGACAATAATGTGCTACAGTTTGGTGTTATAACTAAAATGCCATATTCATCAAGTGATTTATTTTGCCATACTCTATAATATAATATATATAGCATGATTAAAACCAAATCATGCTCATGTTAACAAGAATTTTTTTAGCATTTCTTTTAAATACAATTTTATTCTGATTTAATGCGGATAATATTCATTGCATTTTGTTTATCTTGACTGAAAATGGACGTGTCTGCTTTGAGCTTTTACTACCATCCCGTCGAGCTCCTTGTGCTCAACCCCACTATATTCTATTACGTCAGCCCTGTTTGCTATCAGACACGCATTCACTTCCAACCAACCTTTTCATTCACATCCCTTCCCCCTGCTTTGTCTCAAACCAAACACATGAACCCATTCACCACACACACGCACACACACACCACCACCACCACCCGCACCATTAGACCACGTTGGGGGAAACGGTGGCCTTGAACTTGTCGAGCACCTCCCCCACCAGTCCTCTGTTTTAACCCCCAACCCCCAACATATTCCTCATCTGCCCCTGCATGCAGGCATTCCCTTGGCAACTGTGGTGTGTTGGTGCCTGCCTAGCAACCAGCAGGATCTCTCTCCTCACGATGTGGCTCCGTGGCTCGTGGAATGGGGGTTTGCAGCCTGGGCTCGATGAAGATTGATTGCAGACCAAAGATCTCATGTGTATCTTGTGTTGTGGTCGTCTGGGCCTTCACAGGAGGGGTCAATGCCGCTCTGTTACCTTTTTAACTTGACGCATTCATTTTGTATCCGTGGATGTCATCTGAATGTAATTTTCAAGCTCCGGCTTCATTCTTGCATTGTGCATTTGAAGTGGAGGCCGGTAATTTGAAGGAGACAGTGCTGTCTTTTCAACAGCGAATAACATCCTAGCTTGTTATGCAGAATGTGGTACTACAGCGAGCACGGTGGGGGGAGCCGACCTCTAGTAACACTGCTGTGAATGAATGAATGAATCAGTGATCCATGCCGACAAAGACACTTGGCACCACCTTGTGGTGATAAAAAGACGGCGGATACTGAAAGTGTAAATGTTAAAGAATGTGTTGCTTCAACACAAATGGTGGCATTCAGTCACGTTATCATTACATTACCAACCCATGATTTGTAATTCTGCTTGTGTTGCTGTATTGCTGCTTTCTACCCTCTGCTTTTTTTTTACAGAAGCTGTTCTGATGTCTATCTGCAGATTTGAACTCTTTCCAGGTGTTAAGGTATTCTGAACCTGTACCCTTCACTCTCATATGGGCCAATCAGTCTCCACTGCAGCTGCTTCATTGCTAAAAATAGCTTCCGTACTGCTGACGTGATAGATGACTCATGCAGAGTCTCGCTCCTTCCCCTGCATCCAAACACCACCGGCTGGCATCGTCCCCGTCATTTCAGTGACCTTATCCCAGTGAGTGAAGGACTGGCATCAGGGCTTTATTTTTAAAGCATTCATTAATGACATTCAAAAGAATAAAAAGGAGAATTTGTGTCATATTCAAACTCTCACGCACTCCAGTGTCACACTTGCAATTTCTCTCTATGCCCCAGCTGGATTCCCTCGTTTTTGTTGCCTGGTCTACTGACCTGGGATGTAATGAAAAATGCAGTTACTGTTTTTTAAAAGAAAAAGAAAAAGCTTAAAACTCTCTTGCATAATGTATAATCACGGCGGTGTCTCTTAAAATATGCGTGGCCTTTAGAGCAGATACAAAACATTGATATGTCTAAGTTATTAACAAGGTCATACAATCTGGAAGACAGAGAATGCTGCCTGCTCTGCCTTGACAAAACCATATGAGGACGAGTTGTCATGTAAAATCTACTGAAAGAAATCTGTCAGAGATTGAGATTCATTCTTTGTATAAAATATTATTTTATTTTCAAGTACAGTTCACTTGTTCTACTGTATATTATAATCACGCAACCATAAAAGTGATTCATAATAACTCCCTCTCATAAGATAAAAATGCATCGATCAATTTAAAGATAACAAAAATAATTAAACAAATAATAGTGAATTTTCGGAGACATCACGTAATATTGATACATATTATTTGTGTTCATAAGCCTATAAACAAAATATTGTTCCAAAAAAGACAAAAAGTGGACCTGGTGAGATGTATGATATGACACATTGTTGTATCTACAGGTTCAGTCGTTCTGGGGTTCATTCAGTCAAGTATTCAGAAATGTACAATCCTTCAAATAACAGAAGGATTAACACAGAAACCCCTTAAACCTTTGCCTTCATTAGTAGAATCTCATTTTAAAAGTGAAATAACATAACAAACAGGCTCCCAAACCTTTCCAGTGAAGCAGGTGTGTGAAATGAGATTTGCGAGGTCAGCGGAGGCCACGCTGTCCTGCGCAAGCCAGGAGTCCGCATCAACGGCCTCCGAAGGTGTAGTGAGAAATGTGCCCGTCCTTGTGCTCAGGCTTTAACCGATTTGGAGAGCAGCTGTTGAGAGAAGAGCCTCTTGAGCTGGGCCACTTCCTGAGACAAACAGCTGATCTGAGACCTGAGACTGACATCTTCTGTTGAATCCCGGGACGAGTCCCTGGAGTACTGCAGCGAGGAGGCGTTGTACGGTCCAGATAACGGACCCTGACACTGCTGCCGTGGTCCACCACAGAACCCAGAAACCTGACCTGCAGTCTGATTGTCCCATGCCGAGTGCTGGTTGTTCCTCACCTGGATGTTCGGCCACACCGTGGCTACAGGGGGTCCACCGTGTCTGGTGTCGGAGGGTGGAGACATCTCCCCTCCATCGCTGCAACCAGCAGGCCCTTTGAAGCGGAGCTTATGCGGGAGGCTCCTCAAACCCTCTGGTGAGTCCAGTCTGCTTACATACGGACTCCTGTTGACCTCCATGGGACAGCTGTGGGAGTCGTAGCCTTGTTGATCCTCCCTCGGCTCCCTGAGAGGAGGTCCACTACGCTCACATATTGCGTCATCAAAAAACACAGGGCTGCCCCCTTCTGAGCGCCATGAGGCGGACACACCGGACTCCTCGGATACACTGTTGGCTGAAAGAAGTCCAGCTCCCCTCGGCCCATAAACGGCCCCCTGCTGGGGAGGGTGAGGGTGGGTGAGGTGGGTGCTGGGCGGGTTGTTGTGGTATGGGAAGCCGTCAGCGTGAGGTTGGTAGAAATGTGTCAGTCTTGGTGCTGGTTGGGGACAGAGGGGTGCAGACAGCGTCCTGGAGGAAACATCGGACGAGTCTTTGACCAGGCCGAAGCGAAACTTCAGCGCCAGCAGCTCGGCTCTCAGGCGGCCGTTCTCCTCCAGCAGGCCCACGACTCGCCTCTCCAGCACCGTGTCATTGGCTCGCCTCTTCTCCCTGGACCGCTTGGCGGACTCGTTGTTTTTTTTCCTCTTGTCCCAATAGCCATCATCTTTCTTCTCTGCAGGGATGAACTCTCGCTTGCGACGCGCGTTGTTGCCGTTCTCTTCATCGCAGCTGCTCCCGGCTTTCGCTTCGTCGTTGGAAAGGAGCTCCTTGTGTTTGAGGTCGAAGGTGTGACTCAGTAGGTTTTGGGCCAGCTGGCTTGTGGAAGTCGGATTGGACACAGTCCCGTCAGTTAAGGACACAGCCTTTCCAAGAGGCCTGGAAACCAGTCCCTCCACAGTCGGCAATGAGGGAACGGACAGGTCCCGGAGGAGGCCTCCCACAGTCCGACCCGTCATGTTCACACAACGATTGATTCTTGGGGGTACTGTGAGTGTGTGAGGAACTTGGTAGTTGGCCTTTAGGGCGAACTGTGCGGTAATGGCACCACCTAGCGGTGAAATACGTTTTCATGGTAAACAGTAAATCAATATTTTACCTATGCCAGTTGAAAAATTTAATGCAATGTTAAAATAAAAATGCAAATTAAAAAAACTACAATATTAAATACATACTTACACACTTACAGGCATTACCGGGTGATAAAACTATATTGATATACATTACAAGAATGGTCCTATTTTGGTCATTTTATCCACATGTCGGGGAGAAATGTCATTGTAGCATTTTAGCAATCAAATGCTCATTTGAAAAGTTCAAAAACAGAACAAATGTAAATATCATTATGGCTCTCATAGTAATTATTTGCTAACCATTATTTACAATTAGTGTTATCACTACCAACTATTTCTCATTAAACCCGAATCATATTATAATTAATCCGAATGACCTTGCATGATAAGCAACACACACATATTGACTGAATGAATGATAATATAATAATAAAGTAGATCTTACTTACAGAACCAGCTGCAGAAACGGGAAACTCGCTGAAAGCGTTTTCATTGAGCGCGAGGAGGAGATTCATGCGCAGCTTCACTAATCGCTTGAAGCCTTCTGCTCCTCCACGGTCTTCTCTCGTTTAGGGTCGGATCCACAACCCGGATGACCCACCCCCAAATCCTCCTCCCACCCTCCCACCTCCTCCTCCTCCTGCGCACGGCCAGCCGGCCGAGTCCGACCGGCGGGGACGCGCTGCGGAGTAAACAACAACAAACCCGCGCAGTAACCGATCCGGACGGGTCGTTCCGTCTGATGACACACAACACAAAAGAGCAACTGGGCAAAGTATAAAGTAGTAGATTAACAACGTTAGCTCTAGAATAACACTAAGGCAAACAAGCAGGACACGTGACTGACGTAAAGCACGCTGGCCCGCTGCGCTTTTATCTTCCGGTACACGTGCGATGCGTCAGATAACTCGACCCCGGGGGGCCTCCGCAGCTTAAACTCACCCCCTCGTAGTTGGGTTCACGCCAGCTCGCCTACGACACATTTCTATGTAAAGTGGCTGATAAAGAGATTGTGTTTGGCCGGCTCTTATGAGGCAATATGAATTACAAGTATAGTTTCATTTACAAACACACCCATGAATTCACTACATTCACGCAGAGCTTCATTTGAGCTGTTCTATCCCCAGATACTCACAACCTGAACTATCTGCGATTACCGGCTCCTAAACGCAAAGTAACGTTCCAGCTGAGGTTGGTGGGAAGGTGATCAGTTTTTAAGGATACTCAATCAGACGAGAGGATTCATGAGTAAAGAACCAAGTGGTGTTTTCCACCACGTGTGATGTGGGAGTTTGTTTCAAGTTAATTTGATATTCAGTTATTTTTTTGTACTCCTAACATAAAAACATGTATTTCTTGGAATTGTAATTAATAAATTAATTCCTCCAGTCAACACCTGGTTCACTAACAGGCCTGTGGAGCCCTGTTTTGCGTTACCGTATTCAATGAGTCTCGCGTGGAAGGCGGTTAAGGTAGATGCAGTTGTCCTCGTTTGCTCCATGCAGGTTCAAGGTAAGTCAGCTGCACGGGAGAATGAGCCGTGTGCATGCGTCGCTTGTCTCTCTACAAACAGCTCATTTGAATTCCAGTTGATAGTGTGGAATGGAAAACAGCTGTTTACGCAATACTGCAAGCGAGCGAGAGCATGTGAGGACTGTGCTCTGCAGGAAGTTCAGCTGGGGTGAGGCTGCCCAGAAAAAAAGGAACATTGTTCCACGTGTGATCTGCTGGAAAGGGATTCTTCCTCCCCGCACGTGGAAACGTTTCACCCAGGACTCCGACTCCGTCGCCTTGTCAAGCACACCGATTTCTCCAAAACAAGGCACGGGTTGACTTCTCACTGGTTAATTCGTGCCGATCCATAATGTATATGGGTGTTGACCTGTTTCGATGACCTTGGCGGAACAGTTTCAAAATGTTGCTTCACGGCTCTGACACGCAGTGACGCTCAGAGAAGAGGATGAGGTGAAATTCTATTCTAAAAGACGACATTTTGATTTCCTTTCCTGCCTCACTGCTGTTTTAAGGGTTCCCTCTCTTTTAGGAAAGTATTTTCCCAGGAATTCTAGCAGTTTCCTGCACAGGGTTACACTGCAAATCCATCATAAAAAGTCATGTTTGAAAGATATCACTATCATTGCAGAGAGGAGTTTTTCTTTTTCTATTTATAATCAACTGGAAATGTTTTATTAATCCACCCAATAGTTGGAGCTAATCTTCCCGGTGCTGCGTGTTACCAGATTTTTACTCCATTGCTGCCCACAGGTACTGAAGTTATGAATGGCTGCATTGCCGGACAAATTGTCCAATCTGTATCTTGGATTATCTAACTAGAATTTAATAATATTGTGTAACATTTGAAAGCCTCAATGTGTGTGTGTGTGTGTGTGTGTGTGTGTGTGTGTGTGTGTGTGTGTGTGTGTTTATGTGTGAGTTTGAACCTTTAATACTGAGGTGGGGAGTAATTGACCTCCAGTGCTTTAGATAGACATGAGGGGGTGGAGGGGCTCACCTCTTTTAAAATGCATTTAAATAGTTGATTATCGCTGTAAAAATAAAATCTCCACGGCCATTGAGTTACCAACAATAGTGAAGTAACCGAAGGCCTCACCAACAATACACACACACACACACACACGTCTGAATTCATGCTGTGGAAGCAGGAACAGCAGTTTTTTAATGAAACACTTTGGGAATTAAAGGGGAAATACCACACTTTATTTGTATGATCAGTTCTGATTCGACATCCATATGAAAGGCCACACTTTTTCCCCTTAAAAGGAGCTTACTGGGTGCTGTAAACATGCAAAATGTTAAGTTAACCACATATTATCTATATTTTTCAAAAGTGAGCCATCCAAAGCAGAAATAGAACAAGTGTGTGGGTCAATACTTAATTAAAACAGGGTTACGTTTGAGGTAAGAGTGAGTATTACAGACCAAATATACAGTGGGTACGGAAAGTATTCAGACCCCTTTACATTTTTCACTCTGTTTCATTGCAGCCATTTGCTAAAATCAACTTTCTTGCATCATTCTTGCATCATTCCCAAGAAGACTCATGGCTCAAAAGGGTGCTTCTACTCGATACTGAGCAAAGGGTCTGAATACTTATGACCATGTGACTTTTCAGTTTTTCTTTTTTAATAAATTCGCAAAAATTTCTACATTTCTGTTTTTTTCTGTCAAGATGGGTGCTGACTGTACATTAATGAGAAATAAAATAAACTTTTTTGATTTTAGCAAATGGCTGCAATTAAACAAAGAGTGAAAAATCTAATTAATAATTAACAATTATTTTTTTTAAAGGGGTTTGAATACTTTCCGTACCCACTGTACATATCCGTCATGGAATGTGCTTTTCAGTTATGGAGTGTTGACTCTGGAGGACGGGAGTGGTCTGAGTGAGGTCGCCAGAAACAGGGGTTAGGAATTAAGGAGGGGTGTGTGATCCCATGTCTCAACTCAAGTTGGCTTTGATTGTTAATACTCCCAATTTCAACCGTCTTGAGTTTAATGGTAAATCACCGCTGCTCCTTTTATGGTTAAGCTGGCTAGTTGAGGTATTATTTCAACAAGGGTCCTCGTAGGTACCACGGTTCAAAGGTACCTGGAGATTTAGAAAGTAATTGCCTGCCTGAGCACAGAGTGCACACTGGCCTTGTTTGACTATGTGTGTACGCTGAAGTTCAAATCAGGGTAATCAGCCCTCACCCTTCTCAGCCTCCCACCCGTCCCCCCCCCCTCACTCCCCCTCTCTCCCCTGCCTTTTTGCATCCCTCGATCACTTGGACTCACATTCCCTCTCGACGGTCTCAGCACTGTGCCAGCAGCCGTCATTCTGCTTTTGGCCATCAGAGCGAGACTCCAGTTTTGTGAGCTTGTGTAATCCTGAACAAACGTTAGAATCAACAATTACACACAAAGTGAATCCACTTTGTTTGAGCTAAGCAAGGACTTTCATAGGAGTGAGAACAGGCGCTCGCTCTGTTTACCCGCGTTTAGAAATTCAACGCCTCTTCAACAACACGCGGGATTTCTCAGTCTGTCTCTCTCCATGAACGTGTGGCCTCTGCCCACTGCAGATGTCGATGGACGCAAGCTGTGGATAGATATCTCGGTTTGAAGGCTGGCAGCAGTGTTCAATAATGCAGAGAGAATCCATTCACAGACGATCACTGGGGAGGCGCAGCACCTGTTGTGACCTCAGTTCAGTGTGTGAGTGGTGTAAGAGCGTTTCTCTGTGTGCAGAAGCCTGTTTGCTGAACACAAGTTGCCGTGCTGCGTCAACGGTGCCCCGGCCTTTTCTCAGTATCACTGTTGTTCTGCTCACTTTGTTCCCGTACACTGGATGTCACAGTGTGTGTGTGTGTGTGTGTGTGTGTGTGTGTGTGTGTGTGTGTGTGCCTGTAGCATCAGGGACTTTGAATGGTAATATTTGAATAGATGTGACAATAATATTTGGGTAACCAAAAGTGTTTTTCTGATTATAAAATCTTATAGCTTAATAGCTTTCATTAGAATCAGAATCCATTTACAGTACATTGGTGCATTGGTGCAATATAAGAATAAAATAAAATAATAAAGTAAGATAAAGTAAAATAAGATCAAAATATACAAATAATAAGGATAACAATATAAACAGATAGTTACTGTATGTTAAAACACATACTGTATGTATGTCCATATGTTTCCATACTGAGAGAAACATTAAGCTTTAAATGTCAAACATGTTTTTTAGAAGGTGAATGTATTTTCTCTTCATTGTGCCCAGATCCTCTTCATACATAAAGAAATATTTTTCGGCATTTCTCCACAGAGCAAAACTAGAAAGCGAAAGGGAATTTTATTACACATGTCAGCAATAAAACTTCCTTCAGCTTCTCCAGTTATTCTCTCTTTCCGTGTTGGGGATATATGTTTCTTCCCACCACACGATGCTCTATGATGATCTATTACATAACAATAATCACAGTTAAATGTCAAAGTGGTTTTATTAGAATTTACTATTTGTAATAAGGCAGAAAACGATAGCAGAGAAAAACAAACCAGGGCATGAAGACCCATCACACTGTTAGAATTCTTTACAGCACACAATATTGAGATTTTAAGCCGTGGCCTGATCACAAATATTACAAAAAAAAGCAATCTTTCACCTTTGACCTGTTTAGCTGCAAAAACACAAAATCTTAACAGAGTCTAATAATTCATGACTTAAGTGATGTTTTGTAAACTGTTCACCGAGTATTGTCCTTTATGCACAGTACCCTCTTTACAACTATCACATCATGCAAACAGGGAAGGAGGAACGAGAAAGTGGAAGTAGAAAGAGCTTGTTTGTTCGTCTCGGGGCACTGCCGGTCAGAACTCTGCCCCCGTCCTCGTGTCAACTCTGAATCCTGAATCACTCACTCTTCATGGAGATGAACTCTCTCTGCAGATGGAGCCTCAATGAGGAGCTGTGGATTTATATGCTGATGTGTGATATCTTGCTATGTGAGGACAGATTATTAATGGCCAGTGGGTATCTGCTGCACTTCAATGATCAGGATTGCTTCACGGTGATGTGGACCAACGGTGTGGGCTCACTTACCCGCTCGTCTGCCAACAGCCCTTCTTAGGTCAGCAGGTTTAAGAAGCCAATCGTAGCCTTGTTAGTGCAGCAAAGAGGCAAATTAGACTTAACAATTAAAGAGTAATAGCTACACATACAAGTAGAAATAAATGGATCATATTAAACCATTTAATCTGAAATGCAAGACAAGAAACTTTTGAAAAGTCAGAGCAGTTGTCATATAACTCATTTTACAGGCAGAGCAGTTCTCTTTATGATGATAACACCACACTTAATGTAATAAATCAGGGCCCCTTCAAAGTCAATGTACTCAAAGCTCCAAACAGATGACCCTCTTTGTTCATTAATGGTAACAATATAAATATAACATTAACAACTTGGATCTTGCTGAATGTAAACAGAACTCAAAGAAAGTTCAAACTGTGTCTACGAGCAGATGCAACTTCCTGTCAGCGTTACACATGTTGTTAAAGGAATCAGGAATATGGTTTGCTTTTCGGGGGCTTTTCTTTCCTCAGGGTTTTCAAGTGTATGCGAGAGAGAGGGAGCGTGATAATCAGAACGAATCAGTGAGTGCGGAGTTACATAAGGAAATTCTCATCCTGACCTCATCCAGATTTGACGCTGCAGAAAACAATTGGCAACGTGCTGCTGAAGCCGGCCTGCAGCATCAAGGCTCACACAGTCACAGAGTTCTGCCACCTGAAGGCCACGAGCAGACATTACTTGTGGGAATGAGGTGGGTGAAAAGGTCAAAAATCAAATCTGGTTCCAGATGAATTCTGTGGATACATATTTTCTTTTGCTTCATGGAGGACAGATGCATGTTTGTAAAGCCCTTCCAAAGTTAAGTGGTGTAATGGTAAGATTGGGTGCCTGAATCAATCACGTCTGACTGTTTTACAGCATTAGAGGACTTTATTAGAATAATGACAATGAAAACAATAATTAAAAGACATTAAAGCACTCCTTTTATATTAAAAAAAAAATGCGTAAAATAATATAGTAGCCATCTTCTTTCATTTGAACTATTAAATATTAAATACGTTGCTGACATGTTTAGATAATATAAAGTACTAATAAAGATGCTCATTATTTACAGTTTTAAACTCTGCCGAATGCAAAACACAAAAGCATATACGTTTTTATTAAATTAAAAAAAAACTAAAACAAATAGACAAGTATAAAGACAAGTATAAAGTTAGATGATCTCGGATTTACTTTACAATCAAATGGCTTAAGAAATACTTCATTCTTTGTTTGTTTGTGTTACAATCAATCACCAAAAGTTCTCAGAGAAATCGGACAAAGATATCAGATCATCTCAGCATTAATACAGCTGCATTGTAACTAAGCAGTCTTTGTTCAGCGTGCCATGAGATCCTACAGGGTGGACTATATATATATATATATATTTATATATATATATATATATTCTATATTGTTTTATAACCCGTATTAGTCACATTTTTGTGGGTCTGTTGTTAGTGTTAATGTTTCCTGTCTTCACACCCACAGTGTGTACAGTGGCCGTTAGGGGAGCAACACTGCAAGCATGGGAAACAATGTTTTTGGTGGTTTGTGACGGACATGTGTCAAGTCTGATGAATTGTCTTAAATGATGTCAGTTTGAAAATGAAAATAAACTGGAGGTTGTGGTATTAGAAGTATAAAAGTGATCTTACCGAACTTTGGGGACACCGGACGCTTCTGGTCGCTGCTTGAAGTAAGCGGCTCGAGGACACACTCGCCTCTACTGCCATAACTTAAATTTCACTCATTTGTAGTCTGAAGTTAAACAAAAATTGTCAACCGGTTCAAATATCTCCCCTCGGGCTGTCGTGGTTGTCAAGTCTCCGTGCTAGCATTTAATTAACCACAGAGATAATCAAGTGCAGAAATCAAGGTAATACGGGGGAACATGTTCAGTTAATATCTCAAGGTCCCTCAATTGTACTAATTAAGTGTATCCAAATCATCATAAGTCTACCTTTTTAATTTTTTTTTCGTTTAGAAAGCATGATTGTGTATGTAGGCGTGTATGTTCGCACCAGCGCATCAGGTGTGTCTCTTCATGTGCAGAGCCAGGTGGTCGGAGCGGGAGAAGGCCCTCTGACACAGCAGACACTCGTAGGGCTTTTGGCCCGTGTGCTTGCGGTAGTGACGCGTCAGCTCATCTGAGCGGGCAAATTTCCAGCTGCAGCCTTCCCATGAACATTGGTAAGGCTTCTCCCCTGAGGAGAAAACAGGTGATTCTTAGCAAACAAATTCATGAAATCATTTATTGAGGCTTACGCTGGGCTCTTGGGCGGTTTCTCGTCGGGGTGGTGTACCTGTGTGGGTGCGGAGATGAGCCTTGAGGTGTGAGCTCTTGGTGTAAGTCTTCCTGCAGCCCGGATATTCACAGCTGTGGATGGCGGGCCTCTTTTTTCCAGTTGCCCTTCGACCTCGCCTCCCCTCCATCCCACCAGGGGGCAGCTGCGGAGCAACCAGCACGGCCTGCTGGTGAGGAGGCAGTTGACTAGTGGTCTGGCTGCGGGGGTATTCGCAGAAGTTGTTGGCGTTGTGGTTAAAGTGTGGCGCGTAGCCGTAGTGTCTAGGGTCAGGGGTCACCGCTTGCGGTGGCATGAACCTGCTATCTGGGAAGGTCACCATGGAGGGGTGTTGGTGCGCATAGTAAGGGTTAAAGTCCCAAAATGAGACTTTAGTGAGGTTTCCTCTGCTGTGCCTCTCGTAGGTGCCTCCTTGAGGAAAGCCAAACTGATCTACATTCGGCAGATTGGGAAAGGAAGTCTGACCAGTTTGCTCATCTTTATAACCCTGCTGGAACAGCTCTGGCTGGACTGGCGTTGTCGTCTCAGCTGGGGCCAGAAGCTCCGCCATGAGGCAGCCGCTGTTCAGCTGCACACTCTGCGCTTGTCCAGCTTGGTCCTTGAACGCGTCCGCCTCTTGGTACACTGTGTTCGGGTCCAACTGCACGAGCCGCTGATCGCTGTTGTCCAGAGGTAGGTTGAGGTCGGGCGATGGGCTGCTCCAATCAGAGAGCAGGAACTCGATGTCCCAAGATGCCCGGCTGTCATCGTCCAGGAGCTCCTCTGTTATCTGTTGAGAGACCTGCAGCTGCTCAGAGCTGCCTGCCGACGGTTTGTTGCCGACAGGTTCCAGAAGCAGCGAGTCCGCCTCAGACTTCCACACCTAGAAGGGGGTCGGAGAGTGTCGACAAGTGAGGATCATCGAGCATCAACTTGTGAAGTTATAAAATGAGGACCGAGTGTCGACTTTTTTCTGTTCACACCAATTCAAGTGTTTTATTGAGTGTTTTATGTGAAAGGCACAAATGTTGTTTTCTTAACTTTGTAAGAAAAAAAGCAATTTAATCAAATAAATTGATATGAATAAATTGTGTCACTCTTGCTGTATTACATTACAGGTAATTTAGCTGACGCTTTTATCCAAAGCAACTTACATCACACTTTTAACCCATGGCTTCTTACATTTTTGCCCGGGGAGCAATTAGGTATTAGGTGTCTTGCTCAGGGACACTTTGACTTCAGACAGGGGGGAGCCAGGACTCGAACCACCAACCTTGCAGTTTCCAGTGCACCCACTCTACCCCCTGCCCCACAACGACCCCAAACATGTGGGTGACATGTGGGAATCGATCCCAGGTCCCCCACAGTTAGAGTGGAATGCCTAAGCACTGGTCTAACAACACAGCCTGTAGTTGACAATTAGAGCCGTTAGGAGATCAGCTGAAGCCGATATGAGCTTCACAAGTCCTGATCTCTCACATCCGTGTGGGTTTGTCTTCCAAAGTTAGTTTTCAGCACAAAATGACCACTCTGCTCTTTAACCCTTTTTGTGTGACTCAGCAAGGAGACACTGAGTGGAGGCAAACGGTGGGAATTTTGAACTGATATGACAGACTTCAAAAAGACGGTTGGAAAAGGGAAAATCTTTTGCGGCCAGATACGACAGCACGGTCACCAATAACTGTCAGGTATGCTCAGATATTCAGACCTTTTTAGATTATTCACAATATTGCCTTTGTTAAAAATATACATAAGAAGCAGAAGTTTTTGATCTCGTCTCCAGTTAATTTGGAGAGACGGACACATTTGACAAATCATTGACATTTTTTGTGTGGAATAAACAAATTATCAGCGCAATAATACCTACAATAAGTCGTCTTCTGTCCTTGTGCAGGAATCAAACAATTAGAGTCAACCAGATACTTACTTTCATACTGTCACTGGATTGGGCGAGGTTGGAGAAGGAGCTGAAGGAGGGCAGCCCAGCCTGTGTAACTGCCATCAAGCACTTTGATAGGAGGCCGATTGTCAGTGGTAGCAACAAAAAGTGAAATTTCTCCCCGTGTTTTTTTTCTTTTTAGTCTTCAAGTGGCCATTTTGAGCTCAACCGACAGAAATTCAAAAGCTACTCATCCCAGTTACAGTCCGCTCAGTGTTACAAGGCCCGAGAAACAGGCTCTTAAAGCTGCCCCCTTTTCTCCATTCCTCCCCCGCTATCTCTCCCTCCTCTCTCTTGTCTATCTCTGTCAGCTTCAAGTCTAACTGCAAATCTCTCTTTTTCACGTAGGTTTTGACCGTTGGGAGGTGGAGCGTAAGCAGACGTTTCTTTGCTGGCCCCCTCCTTTTTTTAGTCCATTAAGGTTGTAAATATATACGTCAGTAAGAAACTGACAGTACTATCTCACCTGAACTCACTGCCTTCGTGTCTCCTGTTTTTTCACAGCAAAAAGTAAACTGATGAGCGCAGAGCTGTAATTTCATAAAGAAAGTTCAGAAATGAAGACAAAACATTCATCCCATGATGTTTTTCATTGGAAGAAAATTAACTTGAGAAGTTTATTTTTATGTCACCTTTTGCACATTGAGTGCTTGATTTAAAGAATGTAAAATAAATCACAAGCGTATTAAAACATTTATAACAGAATAGAATACAATTATATAAAAAGATATGATGCATAGAAAACAATCATTGACTAGACTACAGAAACCAAAATACAAAACCAAACGAGCCAATGAGACTTCCAAGACAAAGTGTTCAGTGTTAAACTCAATTGTTTATAAAACACACCAAAAACAGTGACTTTTGATTTATTACATGATGATTAAACAACAAATTAACAGCAACAATCAATCATCTATTTCTAAAGATTAATTGCAATTAATATAAATACAAATCAAATATAGATAAATAAAATAATCATCTAAATTCTCTATAAAATGTACTACAAGTTTAAAAAATGCTGTAAAATTTCCCCCTTAAAACTGCAGATTAGTTCAGGGTACTCAATGGCATTTTTCATTCACAACCTTGTTATCAGATGTCTGTTCGCTATCACATAAAGCATGCTTTGGCACCGAGTGCAGACTGTGTTGGTAAATGTATATTGAAGTGTCAAGACATGATACAAACAAATATTAGTGCATTATAGTTAACGGATGAGCAGGTAGCCCGTAAACAAACACACACCAAGTAGTAAAACACGTCGGGATTCCATTGAAGTTTGCAAATAAAACGTCAATCCCATTGTTGAGCCAAATAGTTTTAAGTCAATCTAAACACATACGCGGGTCGGTCTCTGTCCACCTAGTGAGGACACATGGCTTCTGAGAAGACCTGTGTGTGAAAGGTGATTATATTCTAGCTGCAGTTTATCTGTTGACATGTGCAGAGGCACGCTGCTGTCCTCTCACAGATAATGGTCTCCTGACTGCTGCTGGTCCCTGATGACGTGCCCACCACTGATAAAGACCTCATAGGGAAGAATACTACACAAGTCATCCACTACGCAGACTGAAAGGTTTGAGGGCAGCTTCTTTATGGCCCTAAACAGAAGTATCTAAAAAAAAAACTTCAAAAAGGTGATCTAATAAGTATATTTTAGTATTTCAAAAATATAGCTCAATATGCCTAAAAAGGTGAATGTAAATAAAAGTCAATAAAAATGTGTTGAGCATGTGTGAAAATACCAATATGACAGTCAGTAACTTCAGTACAGTAACTCTAGTTTTTATTTTTTATACTAATGACATATTACACTGTGAGCTTGTATGGCCTTTGTTTGGCAAACTCTACTTTGACTTACTCATTACTTTTTTCAACCTCTTTAATGACACTAATGGGACAAGCTATGCAATGACTCTTTTTTTTTTACAGAAATTCAGAGAAAATGTGTATGATTTTCAGCTGAAAAACCTAGTCCAAAAATGAATGTATAATAGAATGTTAAAAAATGTCAAATTAATCCAAAAATAAATATATTTAGATAATCAATCTTTAAATCAATGAAATTAAAAATAAGAGAGACAGAGAAATATAATTTTTAATACATTTTTGAATGGGCTGTTGTGCAGTCAGATCAGAGGATCTGCAACGAACAATGTGTTGAGTTTCAGTTGTCATTAGTTTTCAGCAGCAATAACAACAAATAACTGCATTTACATGGCATTTTCTTAATCTTGTTGCAATGTCTTTTCAGAGAAAAGCAAATGAAATGAAAAAGAACAATAAATCAACCACATAATTAAATACAACAATCCTATCTCAATTGGGAACATTATATATTTTTGGTTAGTATTGCTAACATACCATTTAGCTTTTGTTTTCTCTAGTATACATTTATACATTTGTATGGCGCACAATGGCATATTTTAGAACATGTTTCTTATAACATACTATATTATTACATTTTTATGATTTCTTTTCATGAAAAACTAAACATTTTTGACATATGTTGGCATTATTTGATGCTATTGTATTCTATACAGTGGCATTGTTTAAGGAGTATATTAATATTGAACAAGTTATGGTAGATTTTATGCAATATTACACACTCAATAGCGTTTTTATGATGATCTCTATGCGAATTGTTTACAATTATTTGTAATACTATAGCAATAAACTTTTTATAAATGTGGTTTCAGTATTGAACAATACTTGTTAGCAATTTTAAAAAACGTGAGAAAAAAATGTGATAGTAGTGTAGTAGTAGTGTTTTTTACGGCGCTAAAGTTGTGCGTTACCGGAAATTGTGGCAGGAAAAGGAAAGTTCCCGGAAGTGACTGTAGTTACTCGGTTACTAAGCAACTGAGACACACGCTGTATAATTTAGTCTAGCGAAATTAGCTGTGTTTACTAACGACGTGTGATAAGAGAATGAGTGCATGGTAGGCTATTTATAAAGTTAAGTTGTATCCTTTCTGTTTATGTTTGTTTCGTGTAAGGTCATATGATGTTACGTCAACTTCTTACTCGTCAGCGAACGATTTGTTGTAGGTGTCGGAAAATATAGTAGGCCGATATAACGTTGTATTTCTTATAATAATTTATTGACTGTACATTTTGGAACTTTCATTTGACATAATTCTGCATCCTGGCTTATATATTCACATGTCGCTCTTTAACTGTAAATAGCCGTTAAATTACGTCCACACTGCATGTCCACCTGTCTGGGAATTTGTTCAAGGTAACATCGTGAATCTGAGCCGCAGAGATGGCTGCTAATGTATTGTTGTGTGTCTTTGTGTTTGCAGATGGAGGCCTCCTCACAGAGAAAAGGTGGCAGAGGACTGTGGAAGAAAGGCAGAGTCACCCAGTTCAGTAAAGAGACCCAGGATATGCTGCAATGTGAGATGATGCACCTGTTGCTATTTTTGTGTAACTGGTTGAGAATGGTAAACTAACGAGTTGATGTGGATGTCATTTCAAGTGTGTTAGCGTGTGTGCACTTTTTGTGTAATAATTCTCTCTCCTGGACCTCAGTAATGATGCAGCAATCAAAACTCACCCACCTCCAGAGAAAAAAGATCAACGAAAGTCTAAAGAGTAAGTCGGAGACCTTTGGGTGAGGTGTTAACGGATGCAATGTGGTGATAAATTGCATTCTATACAGTACTAACAATAGTTTATATGTTGCAGTACCACATAAAATACTCCCAATACTTTCCTACACAGGTGGAGCAGCTTCACCACCGACTTCTGAGCACACATCACCAGCTCCCCCAACTAATCCTAAAACCACTAAATATGTCCCGAACAGTCTGCCATGCAAGCCTCAGAGACGCTCCGCCGAAGCCTGCCGCTCCGGGAACACCTACGTCAGAGAGCAGTACCATCCTGGTCCCTCCAGTGTGTTCTTCAAGCTGACAACGTTATTGATCCGGCGTTCATATGTCGCGACAGGTTTACAGTAAAAACAATTCCGTGTTCCTTTTTTCTGTTTTGCTTTCCTAGGAGACCTGGAGAAAGAGAAGAGGAGACTTCAGAATATATTGGCAACAGGAGAAGAGGAGCCCAAACCAGCGTCTTACAGAAATGTTCCTGCATGTCCGAACCCAGAGGTGGCAGAGCAGAAAGACCGGTATCAGGAAGGTGAGGCTGACTGCATGAAGTTACATGTTACATTACAACATGAAAAGAAGCAAACCACATTTGAGTATTGTTTCAGTTGAATCGGTTTCTATTAATATCTACCCAAATAAACCTTGCTCTGTGCTACTTTGCTTGACTAAATATATCCAGGGCCTTTTTAATAAGTCTATTTTAACTTGTTTCTTTTGTAGTCCTGGATGAGATAGAGGAGAGAAGACAGTTTCTGGCAGACATGTCTTCTCTGGGTGAAGCGAAGCAGTACGTCAACATCATCAACACAGAGATATCGCAGGTAAAATAAAAAAGCAATAGTTTACATATTGCCTCATATTAAGGTGGCATTATGCGGTCTTGGATCTTTTTGACTCCACTGATGCGTCGTTTAGTGTGATGTTGTTTTAAACAGGATAACGTGATACTGACTCATTGAAGTAATATTAGTGCCTGGCTGTATCGCAGCATTTAGATTCAGAAATCAGACGGAAAATATAGTATCAATGCCCTCTGAAATGTGAGTAATTTCACTTAAACCTGTGTGTGTCACCACTCAAATAACAGAGGATTCGAGAACTGCGGGTGTTGGACAAGGCGTGCAGTCCCGAGAGCGCTGAGATTACATCCGAGCAGAACAAGAAGACAACAGAAAAGATGTAATTTAAAGAGACAGAGAGAGGGAGGACATTTGGAAATTACCTTGGTGGAAGCATCACAATCTGCTATTTAGATTATGGATGCCATGTGTGTGGTAGTGATGCAGAGAGGTCAAAGCAAACTGGCTGCAACTATATAAGCAGTACTATAAAACAATGTAAAGACAAAACTGTGACATCAGGCCGTGAAAACATTTGATGAACAAGAAACATGAACAAGCCGCTTTAAGTTATTTTAATCCTCCGCCTTCCTGTGTCATTCTTTTTTATAATCCTGCTACAGAAGCCCATGGTTTCAGCGGGACATGAAGACAGGAACAGGGCAGAACCAGACACAACAGAGATTACCATTTAGAAGGGAGTGCAGATTCTAACGCGACAAAACATACTTTACATAAGTTGAACAAATGGTGCTTATCCACACCTGTAATTAAATAAATGGCACTGGTACAAACACTATTAACACATTTTTTCCTATCCATTAAGGCAACACAGACATATGGAAAAACATTAAAATATAAATTAATGATTGCATATTCAGGTTTTCCCTGATGGTTAAAACTGTTATAAGATGGTGCTTTGTTACAGTTCAAATATCATAGATCGGTCTTTTAATTTTCATTATTGCATGAGTGACCTTTCATATTAATAAACCTTCTGACATCAGTTGAACAAGTTTTTATGTGCTGACTTTCATAAGCTCACGTTTTGTACTTTGTGTCCAATCACACACGCACAAATACTGTTTCTACGCTCATCCACGTCTTTAAGGATATGCATTTACAAAAAAAAGACACCATTGCAAAACTATCACAGAAGAAACGTAAAAACAAGGACACCAAAGACAATCATAACACAGCAGCTGGAGAGCTTGGGTCGCCTTTGCAGCTCGAGCATTTGAAGCATAGCTCATATGAAACTTTTTAACTTTCGCTCGTACCAACGGCTCAATCCAGACACGAGGTGAAACCTTCTCGGATATCCAACTCCTACCATTGGGAGCAGGAGACACCGATATAACACAGGAGCATATTAAAAACATAAATTTGCATCCATCAGACTTCATTCAAAGCCAACTGTCTGGTCTGACTATGGATGAACCTTGACTCAGGCCTGCAGGATGCACATACTCTGCAACGGACAACAATTCACTCAATTGAAAGGTCAGAGAGCTTATAAACACGCCAGCTCTTAAAGCAGTTGAAATGTTAAGTTGTCTCTTTAAAAACACAAAAGGCAACTGTTAATAGTCACTGCAGAGAAGCATCAAGTGAGATGTGAGCGGAGAGTCAAAGTCATTTATGTTACAGTTAAAGGTGACCTCATCTTATCTTCTGCATCTGGTGCATTTCTTTTCTCCTTGTCTTATATTTGCCTTCGGGCCCGATTCCACATAGCACACTTTTCCTGGGGAGTGCTTCAATGACGTTATTGTCTATTTGGTCTGTTACGCATTTGTCCCAACGTGCATCAAAGGATTTCTCCCTCATGTTTCTAATAGATGCGCACATCTGTAACATTACAGCAAGGCGACACAAGGTGTAAGGTAATAAAATCACCAGCAGTACTCAGTCCGCCCTGCTGATCGGCTCAAAATGAGCTTTTCGGTCTTTGTTATGATAGCAAGTAACCAAACTAAAATTCTAAACAACCAGAACAAGCTTTCCCTCCACGTTCTACTGTAATGCACAAGCTCTTTTTTTTTTAAACAGTTCATATCTTTTACACTTGAAGCTCTCAAAACGCTTGCACAAAAAAATAGAAGGGGCCATAATAAGAGGCTGGGGGCAGCACCCTTTCAGTAGGTGGCCGCATCTCCTCATTGACAACAGTTGGGGGGGAAAAAAAGGAAGCCGGCGCTGAGAAAAAAGGCAGTTCTTGCTACGGCGTTTTCTCCTTTCGGGGGCTCTTGCCTGGTTCTCCTTTATGGCTCAGCCGCTTAAGCACCTTTATGGGTTTGAACTTTCCCCCTTTTTTCTTTGGCGGGTCAACATCCGGATCCTTATGGAAGTCTGAAGCGGATGAAAATAAGATAAGAGGTAAGAGGATTAAGAAACCGGAAGATGCCACATCTACTTTCTACGTTAAATTAATGTTTAACCAATCAACTACAAATAGAGCTCACTATAAACCCTACCTTTTTTCTTCAGCATGGCTTCCATGAGTTTGTCCTCCTCTTCGTCCCTGTGACAGAATGACTGTTACACATTGCTGCTAGTTGGAATAATATCACTGATGAAAAACACAGTGGGGTTCTTGCAGAAAAACCTGTGTAAATGAGTTACCGCTGCCTGTCCTGGTCCATGTTGTTGACAATTTGGTTACGCTGTTCGATGATGGTGACCAGCTCAGCCATTAACTCCTGCTCCCGACTCTTGTCCTCCTCCGTCCAGTCTTTCTCTGTTAAAGAGTTTTTTTTATTTATAGACTATAGCGTTATATAGTATGTATTTATGTGGGTGGCATTCGTTAGCCTGGGAACATGGGTCAAGCATTACAAACAATTAGAGTTTTTTTAACATATAAAACACACCTGGTTTGTTGAGAAGACACCTCAGCTCATACTCCACATCAGCTTGTCTCTCTTCCAGGCTCTGCTGCTTCGCTCTGCAGGGAGCAACATTTACACACCGGTAACCTTCAATTTAATACTTTCCGTTTACAATTGTTTTTGTAACGCAACTACTGTGGATACTAAACTCGCCTGATTTCATGCAATTACAATAGCTGGGTGTGGAAACGCTGAAAAGCCTTCTCTGATCTTGTACTACCCGGCTGACAGAGGAGTGAAGGAATTAGGTCACTGAGACTTAGTGGCATCTGGTGGCGAGTTGCAGGTCTCATACAAAACCCTCCGCTGACCCTTCTGGTTGCAAGCGTCTCAGAGACTACAAAGGATTCTCCATGCTTCTTCATGACTGGAGGATTTTCTTTGAAACACATATTTTAAAAACTAATAAATTCCAAAAACAGATTACAATGCATTTACATTTGAAATAAATATTTGTTTTTCTAACAGAAAAGTTAGTGGACAAAGTAATTAATAACGCATTGAAATCTAATCCAAAATATTAATAAAATAAAAAATATCAGTAAAGTTTATGAAAAATGAGTCTGTGTCGGCCACTCATTCTGACCTCTGACCTCCTGGCTGCTTTGTCTTGGCCAGCATGGAAGGTTACTGGGGCAAACTAAGGCAGAACGTTGGACAACACACGGACAGCTTGTTTTAGCTTGTTGTGTGTGGGTGTGTGTGTGTGTGTGCACGTGTAGCTGGAGGAGCTTAGCAGGGAGAGTAGAAGCTGCAGTGCGATAACGAATCATACAAAAAGTACGGATAAAAAGCATCAGTAATGTCGGAGCTTATCAATACTCCTTTTATGACCTGACCTTTTATTCTTTAGTTAAATACTGCTCTTCAGTGAAGTAAAAATAACTAATCGGCAAAGAAGGCCAATAGTTCCATCCTTTGCCCCCTTGCTGCGGTCTCATACGTACGTGTAGACAAGCTCAGCTTCTCGTCGTACTAAGAGATGTTTCTCATGGATGAGAGTGAACCAGTCCACCAACAGGTGCTCCTCATCCTCATCTGGAAACAGAAAAAAGGAACACAGAGTTATGTGTGTCATGTTTATATTATCATGTACAGAACTTTCAAGTCAAAGCGAAGGATATTGCCTCCCCCTCTTTTCCTCTAGCCGATCATTTGTTTTGGTTACAATCCTCTGTCATACGTTTGTGAGCTATTTAAGCTATTTGAGTTTTCTATTTTGGATTACGGGGAATCTTGTAAGCCCTGCAGGTAGGGGATAAAACCTTTGCTCAAAAGGAAGTGCTGAACCGAACGGAAACCACTTTGGAGAGTTTCCTCTGGAACTAAAAGTCCTTTTCAGTATGTAACTGGCCGTTAGCTGATCGAACAATGTGTTACCGTTGGGGTTGTCTCTCAGCTTCTTCTCTAGCTCCACTCCCTTCTGCTCCAGTTCATCCAGATGCTTCTCCAGCTGACCCATCTCCCCATGGATGTCCTCTACTGGGATGTACTGGTCTGACTGCACCTGGATTAATGTTTGGACAAGACGGATCATTTGGGAACTTCATGCATTGATAGACAGACTACAACCCCTCACTTCTGGTGGGGCTAAACACTTTGCCCAACTACTGCCCCCCCCCCCCCCCCCAAAGTTGTAAAACTAGGGGAGGCATTGTATTTTTTTCCTTTAACACCAAATCATGAAGTATATATTGTCTTTAGTTTCCTACCTTGCGTTTGATAAGAGGGAAGCCGTGGCCCGGGGCCGGGGGTCTGGCTGGACGAGGGCCTTTTGCTGGTTTGGATTTCTCGGGAGTGGGAGAAGCTTTCCGGTTGAATGGATTCTCTTTGCAGATCCGCTAAAATGAGAAGAGATAAAGCTGGAATATAACGTACAAAGTTTATTGCTCCCTTTGGAGGTGGACTTATTACCTTATTGTGTGGCCGGGCGGCTCCCGTAGCCAATGAGCTGGGGGTCGTCGCGGGTCGTGGGGGAGGGTCTACGCTCCCCTTCGTCCCAGGGCTGCGACTTGGCTGTGGGGTAGCTGGAGCTGAGCTGGCATTTGATGGCATGGGAGAAGGGTAGGGGCTTAGGGAAGGATGAGGAAGACCTCGGTCGAGGAGGAGGAAGGAGATGGCGTGGCGCTGCACGGTGAACAGATGGAAGGCTCAGAGACACTTTTGGAGAAGGCGTGTTCCTGGTCGCCGCTGGCACAGCCACCTAACTGGGGATGGGAGGAGCTGTAGTCCAAGTTGGAGGACAGACTCTCTGTGCTGAGAGCTGGAGAAGGAGAGCAAGAGGAGGGCTGAGAGTGAGACGGAACTGAAGAGACAGGATGGTTCGATAAAAATTAAACAGGAGTAAAAGAAGTTGAGACGGAAATATAGAGGAAATGGGGGAATAACAAAAAACAATGATTATCTATACACAACATTCCAGTCTGTCTCTCCTTTTGTACTCCAACCTTTCATTTCAAACCGCCACGTCTCCACAAAGTACGAGCTGGTGAGGTGAGAGGACAATAAACTCCCCCAAAAAATGTACAGTGTCCTCTTTGCATTTGATGTCTTTACAAAATGAAACCCCAAAGGTGAGCATAGCTGCTGATCAGACTGACCTTGGGGACCTGCAGGTGGATGCGGAGCACGAGGTGCCGCCCGTTTCTTGCTCTTGGCGCTCCCGGGGCTCGCAGAGCGGGACGAGCTTCCTCCTCTAGGGGGAGGGTCAGCACCCGTCTCGTCAGGTGCCTGAGTGATTCTGTACCACGGGTGGCTCGCCACCACTGGGGGCGGAATTGCCCCTCCTCCGCTCCCCTCTGCTTCCCCCGCATTTTCCTCTTCATCATCATCCTCCTCAAAGGGGTTGGCGGGTACAGGGGGCGTTCTGGGTCTGGAGCCTTCCCCTTTGGGAGAGGACAGAGAGCCTATATTGGGGAGGGTTGCCAGTCCGGGAGGGGGAGGGGCTTTCTTCTTCTTGGATTCTGATTGGACCAGGGCGAGCCATGGTGGGTCTTTGGGTTTATGGGTGCCACTTGACATGCTGGACAGTGAGAGACAGATAGGGATGGAGTGGTCACAGAGGGGAAGACAACAAAATAAGGCCTAATGCGGGCATGACGGGTCAAGCAAGAACATCCTGTAACAAGACGCGATTAAAAAATGAGACAGAACAAGGAAGACACAATTAAGGTCAATGAAATGGTGACAGTGGGTGGAAAAAAAGGCAATTAAGGAAAATTCAGCTACCTTCTAGGAGATTGTGATCTCGCTCGCGGTTTGGGAGGAATCGGAGGCTTCTGGTATTCATCTGTGATTTCAAGAAATATGTGAGGATGAATATCAACGGATCCTTTATTCTTCATCAATAATCATTCATACTCTGCAGTGAGCACGCACCGACTGTAAGGCCGTCTCCCGTACAGGTTAACCGAACCCGAGGGGCAGGGCGAGGAGGAGGGGAGGGATCCGGGACCCGACGAGGTGCCGGTACTGGCCGACTGGCACCTTCGTTATGACTGGTCGCTGCAGAAGCGAGGTCCCCATTGATTGTTAATTTGGCTGGAGTGTTTGTCTCTTCCGCCTTCTCTGCCGCTTCCACTTCTTCATCGCTCTCATCAAAAGGGTTGGGAGGAGAAGAAGAACGAGGCGTTTCCTCCCTCTCTCCACTGCCGTCCATCACTTTGGCTTCTTCCAAAGAGTCTCCTCCATTTGTTGTGACAGCAGGGACCGCGTCACAGTCGTTGGTTGGCATGTCAGTTTCATTGGTTTGGTTTACTGGAGAAGGAGTCTCTGCTCGGTCGACCTCAGAGGGCGAAGTGTGAGCGATTATGCTCCCACTGATCCTTGAAGACTGACCTTCCACTGGTCTCTTACTAAAATCCGGCCGGCCGTTCTGATTGGCTAAAACATGCCTTGCAAGGTGATGTGTACAGACCAAGGCCCCAGAGCTGCTTCCGAATTTGTAAGATCCAGGAAGCAAAGTGCTGTGACACTCCGTGCACCTGGGACAACACATTTAAAACCGGCATAAAGATTGTTGAGATAAAGTTACAATGTATGTGAGCGCAGGTCAAAATAATAATAGTATCACACGCATGTAGGCAGTTGCCGCAGCGACAGAGCTCACCTGAAGCAGCTGCGATGAAAGAGTTTGCCGTCCACCAGAAATCTCTGAACCAGGTGGACATGTTTCTGGCAGGCGGCACAGGTGCTGCTGAGTGTACCGGGCCTGACTGCTGCAACCGCTTCTGCACCGGTCTGCGCAGGCCGGCTCGGCTAGTGCGAGCAACCAGGACGTCGTGTACAGGGAGAGGGGAGATGTCGGGGGAAAGGGGGGGAAGATGGAGAGTAATGGTTGACGGGGAGATCAAACACGGAGTCAGGATTTGAGGATGCTGATTGTTCATTTTGATTGGCTGGGTGAATCTGTGTCTTCTACAGCTCATCAATTCCTGTGGTTGAAATGGATACTTTTTTCTACTTTGGATTAAAAAAAAACTTTTTTTAAAAGAATTTGACAAATAGAAAAAGGTTTGTAATTTATTAGTAACAAAATCCAAACAGCTGGATTAGGCGTTCTGGGAGTCACACTTTACGAATAGATTGACGTTCAGGACAGCTAGTTTATTGTTTTTAGGTATTTCTTAAATTGGTTTTAAAATAAAAAGGGGTTAGCAGCAGCGCATTGCAAACCTTTGCACACAGTGTTAGGAAAGAGCTACCATTAGTATTAAAAAAAAGACTTAACTAGCCTAACTGGTTTTTTAACCTCCTAGGCCACCCCACCCCCATCCTACTGCCTAGGCTCGGGACCACAGAGTCGAGGGGGGATCAGATGGGATGAGGAAGAAGAACAGGAAGAGGAAGGAGTGGAATGGATTTCCATCTGAAGTAGAGGGGGAGGTGGGTGGGGGATGGGGGTGTCCAGTACATGGAAGTATGGCAATGGAGGAAAGAAGTTGAAGGCATGCGAAAGAAAAGAGACAGGATGTAGAGGCTATCTTTGTAGACGTACTCTACCTCTGGTGCTTAGCTTTTCCCCAGCTGTGCAATACAAAGCCCACACAAGGAAGTAGTAATTATAGAATACTTATGGTGAGATTGTCGTACTGCAACGGCAGGATGGGATTTGTATTGTACAGATCTGATGACATAACATCCCCAAATAGTACATGCAGAATTAGACTTAGATAATGAAAGGCTTCAGATACACACCGATGTAATAACAAACATAAAAAGGGGATGCCGGTTAAGTGTGGTTAACCGGGCCTTGAAAAGGACACCAAAAGAAAAGTTACATGTTACAAGCTCTATGGTTTGAGTAACTCCAGTAGAGTATCATGCAGACATAATTTAGTTAACTGATGCAGATTTTTTTTAAAAGGTATTATTTATGGCTTGGAGTAAATTTTAAAAATATTCTAAATCAAACCCTGCCGAGGGTTTCTGCTGGTGCCGAGTCGTGTTCTTACCTCAGACTCAACTACTTTGTCTTCCAAAGGGGTTGGTGGCCTCTTCTGGGCAGGCTCATTATGACCCACAGAACTCAGCCTTTTCAAGCAAGGGGGGTTTGCTGCAGAAAAGGAAGTCATGATGTTGTTTAACAAATAATATATGTTGTTGTCAGACACCCAGTAGTTCAACAAGTTGCTCCGCCTCAAGAACTACGTTTGTTTTATGTGCACATTGCTTGAAGGGAAACGCAAACAAATTGACTGTATCCACCTCCAGACTTGTTGTTGAAGAAGTTGTAGTACTGAGAGACGTAGGTGATGATGCTGAGACGGTCAGGCACTTTCATGGACACCATGTCTTCTGGGTCCAACAGGGCTGGGATCCCCAGCTGTGTCTCTGCCACATCAAAGGCCTACGAGGAACCAAAGACAGAAGAGGGAGGTACGTTGTTGACAGACAGTAAGCCAGTGTTTCCCCTAAAATTATATTCCTGAAATTAGCCCGCACACTGCTAAGCATTACGTTTACATGCATGTATACAATACAATAATTAATAACTATTATTATGATCAGGATTATCACTACTGCCAATCTTAACTAAATACAGTGATGTGTGAACTGTGACTGAACACAACTCAACATACTTTTGGGATTATTGCTATGGAACAAAGGAGGTAGATGAAACCCCCCCCCCCCCCCCTTAATAACTGGGACGATGTTTATAAGAAGACACGCTGCTGTTTTCTTTCAAATATAAATCATCTTTGCTCCGAGCTTGAAGCAAAGTTATTTTTACCATCATTGTACTGCGGTGGCAGCAGAATGAGAGAACGTTGTCGTTGTTCAAGAAGACATGAAAATATTTCAGTCAAACTAAAAGCTTAATTTGAGTAAATATCCAGTTGCGTGTGCGGTCTCAATTTGGCCATGCACAAAGTGAGGACATCATACACCTGGACACATGGTTGTTTGTGTGTAAAAACTTTCCACAACTCACCAACGAGCACATATTGAACAACCTGAATAATCTGACCGATGACAAAACATCAGTCCTCAGCTAATAGTGTAACATTTTGTTATCGGTCTAATGAAAAATTCCACTGAGGAAATGAGGGGGAGTGGGGGGTGATATTACATAACACAAGCATTCTATCATCGGCCGTTTACACAACACTGAAATAATCCAGCCCACAGGTAAATGCAGACTGAACCAGTAGACATCATTAGTTCCTCATGCTTCCTCCAGCTGTCTCACTTTCCCTGAAAGCAGTTTGATAAAAAGTACGCAAACAGCAGCAAAAAACTGTCAAGCTGAGCTCTGACTGGAAACAAGGAGACTCCCTCAATGTTCTGCTTACAGTCAATGTGGAAAAAACAACAACCAGGGAAATAGAATAAAGAGTTCTTCATTTAACTTGAACGTTAACATTTCTGACGACATTGAATGCTCTGGCCTCCTCCCTCTTTTACCTGGTCAGGCTCCAACTTGATTAAATAACACAGCTCTTCACACAGACCGTTGGATATTCTGGAGTGACACCCAAATGACTGAACACAATTATAGGTACGGTTTAGTATTTTATGGCTGAATGAGGCGCGTAGAGTGACTCAGGCAGTGACTGAAACCACATAGGTGATTTCCCCTCCCTTCAAGAGCAGATTGTCTCATAACCTGAAAACAGTGTGCAAAACAAGATCACGGGAGTGTTGAAAGCAGAAAAACAGCAGTGCAATTGACTCACCAGGCGGTTGTTCTCGTATACATTCTCTTTGGACAGCGAGCCAAAGTCACTGAAAAAAAGAGACAGATTTTGTTAAAAAACTTCATGGCACGTGAGATACGTCTGTGCATGCGGGTAATCAGCTTACAGCTCTAAAGGCACATCAAGTTATCTTGCTTTATGTCAGCACTCTTGTATAGCAGAAGAAGACCATAAAGAAGTGAATAGCAATACTGATATAGGACGCTACTTATGTTATAAGCTATTATTGGGCCTGACAGCAGGACATGCAGCAAATGCTGAGCAGTTAAGCTTCCAGACTAACAAAGTTAACAACTTGTCCCGACCCCTCTCATAAATGATGCTCCATGTGCCAGCTCTAAAGGAAAGAACTCCAGCACCAAACAGGAGGGATGGGCTAATAGTTACAAGGCTCCGCTTTGAGATGCCAGGGGCCAAGAGCAAAAGCCAGTGAACATCCTGCAGTAAACCTGGAAACATTCAGAGGTGTTTTGGGATGAAAGTGTTGTTGTGTGCATATAGTAAATATAAGGTGGCCGCGTCTGTTAGTGGAACAGCAATGTGGCAGTAAAAAAAAACCCCACCAAGACCCTGGTGAGAGCATGTGGAGGCCATGTGGAACTCTCAAGAAGGAAAAACCCTGTGAATGAGATCCGTGTTGGGGGCAGACAAAGTAACCTCTGTTCTCTCTAATCTAGTTCCCATGGTCACAAACACACTGGGAAACAGCTCCAATAGCAAGACAGTGTCCACACAAGTCCACTGGATCAGCTACTTTAAAAATATTTCCACAATTTGTTGACACTCACAGAACAGACAGTGCCAGCCAATACAGACATGAGCAAAGTGCAGAATGCGATCTGAACTGCAAACTAATTCACGGTGTCTCGCTCAAAAGAGGTATTTGACAAACGACAACTCAGAACCACTTTGTGATATGATTTTTTCTCTCCCTTCACCTTGGTAGCCCCACGTACCCATGCGGTTCAATGAGAGTGAGTGTGTGTGTGTGTGTGTGTTTCAGGATCAACAAGATCAAAAGCTGGGTGTACCAGTACACAGTATATTCGGAGTCTGGTACTGACAGACAAAACTGTTGTGCTGGAGCATACAAGATCTAGTGATGTCGATCAAAAATGAAGCGTATCCATATGTAATAATAGTAATTTTAGGTAGTGAATTATGGAAAATAAATGTATGACCTGTTTGCACTGCTACATGGATCACATGGAATTTAAATTAAAAGATGACATGCACTCTAGTCATGCTCACAGCCATGTCTACTTCTTCTCCCACCGGTGGACACAGTTAGTCTTGGCTTAAACAGACATGGTGGCCATTTGCTGCACTAAGTATTGTCCCTCCTCTGCATCAGTGTGCTGTATTTTGATGAGGATACATTGGCTGCGGAGTGCAGCCGGGATCACCATACAATGGCCAGGACCAGTGTTAAGACCTAAATCCTGTTTGACAGGCGGAGGTCTCAGCTGCAGATTAGCCTGACAAACTGTCCGTCTGAATCAGAGAGAGCTCCGTTGGGCCACAGAGGGCTAAACGGGGAGACATGCTGGGTCACAAATTGGAGAGGCAGAGCTTGAAAGCTGGGTATTTAGGATTTGTCCACTATCTTACAGTCAGCTTTACTGGGGAAAGGCTGTATTTACTGCCACTGACTTGTCCTTCAGTGACTGGTCCAGTGAATGTTTGCTCTGCTACCATTCAAGCAGAGTCAAATTTGCTCACAAGAGCCTGGCCCACCTGAGAGGTTAGCAGCACCAGCAAGATGCTGGTCGTCTAAAATCATTCCATCGTAGCACATTTACCCCACCGGGAGAAAAAAAACTAAATTAAATGTAACTTGCAGGCTGCTTTTACTCTTCCTACAACTGGGTGAGTCGTGGACTTCTTTCAGAGGAACTTAAACCCCTAATGTAACGCTGTCAATCAAGTTGACCCCCCACTGAGCTGCACTGAGGCCCGTTATGCTGCACAGGACTAGAGCTTTTCGAAAGAGATGCACATCCAATATCTCATGAAGCACTGCAGATAATGAAACAATTGAAATCAAGCGATTTCCCTGCCTTTAACACAACAAACACACGACGGCTCTCTTGTTACAAACATCAAAGTATTGAAAGGCCGATCCTCACCTGTTAGAAATACATCAGCTGATTGACTGTGGGACATTTGTCTACCAAAACAATTAGATTTCCTCATATTGTTTAGTCCCAGTGGCAGTGCGGTTGTGTTTTGTAGTGTGTGTAGGTGTAAAACGCAGAGAGGAGGGGTGAGTTGGTACAGACAGGGCACGACTTGTCAGCCACAGTTAATCACAGTGGCCTGACATCGTGCAACGTTCTTTACACCTATTCAAAGTGTTTTTGCCACACCATCAGCGCAAAAACATCAACAAAGATTAGATGGGGTAGACATGTAATATAAAAGCCTATTAAAAAAATACATGTAGAAAAAGTGATTGAATTCCCAATACTATCATATGCAGTGATTGTGTGCCGTAACAGCCTCTACTTAAAATTACTTTAGAAAAAGAACCATGTTTAAGAGGAGCCCTTAACTATCAGAGTCCTTAAACGCTTTTTAAGGGATTTATCCGGAGCAAGATCTAGATCTGGCTAGCTACTGAGTTCATTCTGCATTTGTATCTAAAATGGATTAACATACCAAATACTACACCTTTTAAAACAATTTAAAAACAGCATGTAGCCGGTGACTCCTGAAACAATGCACGTTTCACTGCACCGTGAACTTTAACCCCGGGTTCCTCAATCCTAAATTGGCTTAATTAACGTTAAGGTTATTAGAAGTAATAGCAACATTGCGTCGATCAATTTCGGGATACTTACATCAGATCCGGTCTGTAACGATGTATTATGGCACAAAACGCCAAACCGTCCCGAAAGGACGTCGACATGTCCTTTACCTCCACATCGTTGTAATGTTCACACTGGATCCGACACCACTCCTGGAGAGCCTTCAGAGACCCCATGATACGACTGCCGATGAAGTCCAAGCAACCGGTATCGCTGTCAATTTAAAATGGTCCCGTTCCTCGAGGCGTATTTATCCCTGGTTACATCACGAGTCACCGGCGGAGTTTCAGTGAAGGGGGCGACGGCCAGACGACACCCGACGATGCGATGCGATACATTCATTGCCAGCGAGTGACGTCGAGAAAACTAGCATGGCTGGCGAGACGTTACCGCAGTTTGGAAAGTACAAATTGCGTTATGCCTCCGTATCGAGTTATGCAGACAGCTGTGACAACATTTAAAGTGCAAACGTACTGTGGCCAGAACCACGGACCAAAAAAACAAACAAACAAAGTTCTTGACGTAGCGACTACTGACGTTAGCTACGACGCTACGGTGTGTTAGCCCGCTGTCAGCTTATGTCCAACTTTACAGCTTGCCATTCTGCTTCTTTTAGCGGGCGCCGGCTGGCTCTGGGGATTGTCTTTGACCGTGTAGGGCGTTGATCCCGTTTCGTGCCGAGGTGACGGTGTCCTCCTCCTGGAGGTGGATCACAACGCGGTTTGGTTTGTTGCTGCAGTGAGTGCAATGGCTGTTAAAACGCCGGATACAAAGTTGTGCGCTAATGGCGACGTCCTCTTTTCGTCCCCTAATTGCGCCACTGCAAATAATATATATATAACGTTATATACCCCCGAGAAGGAATGTGGATTAAAACAGCGTCGCACCGGTTGTATCCTAGTTAATCTGTACCCGCCTGACGACACACACGTTGTGGTTCCGCCTCGCGACTATTCGGGCAGCTCCAGTGACGTTTTTTTTTCTCCAACTGCTACCTGCGCGATGTTTCTAAATCTCGCGAGATTTGACACTTGTTTAGAATTCACGAAAGATGGCGGCGGCGGCGCCTCCGGATGAGGCTACACTCCAGGCTCGCATCAGTAAGTCATTGCACAGATAAACTTCTCAACAGAAAGCGATAGACGACACGCTTTAAGAGGGCACGGAGACACATTGTCAGGCTAAAGTCGTTGTTGTCTGCCATAGCACTTTCCAGAGGGAGGATATTTTTGAGAATCAAGACAGCGAATGTCATCCGAATTAACTTAACGTTAATTAACAAACTCCTTCAGATATTATAACCGTTAACACGCTAACTGTCAGACGCTCGTATTTTGAGCTAATTGTATGTTATGTTGACATGTCGAGCTCAGCTACAAAAACATAGCATTAAACGCTGAATTAAAAAAGAAAGAAAGACAGCGGTTGCGGGCTAACGTTAGCTGCTGGCGGTTACCTCCAGGATCAAGACAAGCCAGTTGAACAAACACTGAATCAGGAGCCACCAGACACTAGACGTCTGGTTTAACGAGCAGCGCTGCATGGATCAGAAAACCCATTTTTTCTCAAACAAGAGCGGCTGTCTTTGCCTGTTTCACACCAGAGAACTCCTTGTTTAAAAAGACTCCACTCTAGTTTGCCACAAGACCTTTCGAAACCTAGAGCTTGAACAGCCTTCACACATAGTCGTTTTTGAGTTTTAAAACCACAGCTGATAGAGAATTTAACCTAATGTATTTTCGTTTTGCACAGACAGGGCCACCAACCCTCTGAATAAGGAGACCGACTGGGACACTATCAAGGGATTTTGTGATGAGCTCAACAATGAACCAGAAGGGTGAGATGATAATGATCAATTACATCATTACAAAGTGCATTTTTGTTGATCGCTGTATAGAAAAAAACACAATTAAATCAGTGCAGTTCCTGTGATGGATACACACTAACAACCGGTTTTAATCTGGTTTTCACAGCTCTGTCAGAAAAATCAAAGAAAAATCATATAAGCTACATAATATTTAATCACAAAACAATATATGTCTGGCCATTCTCATTTTCTGTATGGCTTTAAACTCTCCACATTTTCTGTCCATGTTTATGTTTTTTTATGGCATATATTACATTCATTCGTTGTGTTAATCTACAATATTTACATGTTGTTGTTGTTGTTCCCTTTCAGTCCCCAGCTTGCAACCAGACTTCTGGCCCACAAAATTCAGTCACCTCAGGAGTGGGAGGCCATGCAAGCCCTTATGGTGAGCTAGCAAGTATAAAAGATCTACAGAACACCACAAGACAGGAACTTGTCTTCTTTAGCTTGTCTGTACAAATGTAAAATAAAACAATTACACAATCCCCAGGTTCTGGAGACGTGCATTAAGAACTGTGGAAAGCGATTTCACAGTGAGGTGGGAAAGTTTCGCTTTCTCAATGAACTCATCAAAGTGGTGTCGCCTAAGGTAATGATACCAGTAATTTATACCTACATACAGAAAACCGTTGTAATATTAGTTTCATTAAACTACTTAAACAATTATTGTGTAATTTGTTTATTGCAAACAGCTGAGAAATTGTATATTTTGCTAATAAACCTAATGTGCAATGGGGGGTTGAATAATTTTGATTGCAACTGTACCTGTTTGGCTGAAACTGTATTTTTTGGGGGGTAGGGCTTAGAAAAACTCTTATGGAAATGCTTATAGAAAATGAAAAGCAGGAGGCCGGTTTTGTCAGTGAATTTACCCAGTTGTTGTCAAACCATAATCACATGTAAATGAACAACTAAAACATGAATTCCCTCTTTTCTGCAGTATTTGGGTACCCGGGCTCCAGAGCCTGTGAAGAAGAAGGTGTTAGAAATAATTTACAGCTGGACCGTGAGGCTGCCTGATGAGACCAAGATCGCAGACGCTTATCAGATGCTGAAAAAACAGGGTAAGCGTTTCAGGACGAGAAGAGAAGATAACAAACCATTAAGATAAACGGCACTGTTCGATCCCCACTCGGGGCCTAGTGGGGTGGCGTTTGCATTTTACAGGTTTCTTCCCACTACCAAAACATAAGTGTTAGTGGTTTTAAATGGTGTGGGGGTTGTATCAAAGGAATTTTTCCTTAAACTTAAAAAAAATCTAATTGGAAACTAAATGCAAACAACATCTGCTGTCATTAGACAAAAGAAGAAGTTTCATGAATACATGTTTTTGTTCAGTTCCCATATTTTATATTTTGCTTCCCAGTATTTTCCTTGTGTCTGTTCTCCTTTTTTATGGGGATGAGCCACAAACATGAGACCAACGCCCTTAGTCATAGTTAGTGTAGTGTGATTTACATGTTATGTGACGTTTATAATAGGAGGTGACCCAGATTACCTTGACTCGTCTGAGCTGTTTACACATTCGGTTAATTTGTATTCTTGCTCCCCTTCCAGGTATTGTTAAGCTGGATCCTGAGCTTCCTGATGACAAGCCCCTCCCACCTCCTCCACCTAGAGCCAAAGATGTCCTTTTTGAGGATGAGGAGAAATCCAAGGTATCAGTAGCCACAACGCACCAGTCACTTGAAGTAGCTCAACTGTTTATAAAGTTCTCCTCCTCTTCCCCTCTTTTCTTTCCTCTCCCTCCTTTGTCCTATCCTGTTTGTTAGACGCTGTCTCGCTTATTGAACAGCAATCACCAAGAGGATCTCAGAGCAGCAAACAAGCTCATCAAGGAAATGGTGCAGGAGGTGAGTCATTCGTTTTGTTAAACAAATGTGCTGTTGAGTGCGTGGTCCACAGGCACGTCCCTTTTTTTCCATCCTTTGCACAAATAACACACCAGATTATGTAACGTGACAATATTAATGCACCTGAATATTTATTTTGAGGCCTTCTTTTTTTCTTTATTATCATGGTGTTTAAAACTCCAACATCGACAACAGATGTGGAAGGCTGACTATCCAATTAATAATCACGTTTTTCAGATTAAATTATTAGAGTGAAGCATTATAAAAAATGGTGTATTCCAATATCTATAAGAATAGCCCTTAACTGTAAGATGGCCTTTAATTACATCACACTATATATTGACTCCATGGTCACCCTCTTGATGACTAAACTCAGTCACTGTGAGACACTAACGCTCTCTCTCCAGGACCAAAAGCGCGTAGAGAAGGTGTCCAAGCGACTGAATGCCATCCAGGAGCTGAAGGAAAGTGTCAGCCTGCTGAGCCAGTTGCTGGATGGCTACAGCAAGGAGACCTGCTCCCAGAGCAACCAGGAGCTCATTAAGGTCGGCACATCTCGACGCATTGAAATTAGCTGCAGCCACAGTCTAGTAATTGTGCTTGTGCCACTCACCCCAGGTGTGATTTAAGTGTTTTTAACATGTGTCCGTTCGCAGGATCTTTACCAGCGCTGTGAGAAGATGAGGCCCACTCTATTCCGATTAGCAAGTGATACAGAGGATAGTGACGATGCTTTAGGTAAGATCGAGGACCTCGTGGCTTTGACATTATGTCATTTGAGAATAGGGAGAATCGGCTACTAATTAGGAATCAGGCCCTTTTTAAAAGCGTGTTAATTTAATGAGTGTTTTTTTTTCTGCTTTCAGCTGAGATCCTACAGGCCAATGACAACCTGACTCAGGTCATCAACCTGTACAGGAAGCTGGTAAAGGGAGAGGATGTGTCAAAGGATGGCATAACCCTGCCCTCACAACCAGGTAGGTGGGATTTGGCATTCATCGGTTTTCTAAGCTTGATCCACAGATCTTTCAAACATTTTTGTAGACTATATGATCACAGATGTGTTCCGTTGGTCCAAAACAGGCAGCAGTAGCTCAGCCCTTGTAGACTTGATGGGACTTAACGCATCAGGCAACGTGACATCATCCAACCCAGAGCCCTCTGGCCTCCAGACACCAGCTCAGTGCGTCAGCCTCTTGGATGATGAGCTCATGTCACTAGGTAAGCACAAAAAACCTCTTCTGGCTTGTAAATGCAAAGGTAGAATAGTAAGATGGTAGACACCGAAACAAGCTAAAAACTGCAGAGTGAGCACATTGAGTTGTGTGTGTGGCCCTCCTTTGATCTAAGATGGCATCCTCAGAAGCAGGCCACATCTGGCATTTCACAACACAAATTTTCATGTACAGGATTTATTTGCATGAATTTTGAACGGTGTTTTCTTTTAATATGTCGTAAACACCAGAGATTGGAATAAAACTGAGTTAACCATTGTCTCTTATTTCCTAGGACTGAATGTAACAGAAAACTCCAACTCTCAGAACAATCTTCAGGTGTGATTTTACTGTATTGATCTCATTAAAAAGCATTATATGTAAAGGCTTCACAAAACAGACTAAAAAAACTCAACAAAAACCTACGCTTTTAGATAATCTTACTGATTTCATTTTGAATCATTGCTGTCTTCTAATACACTTTTTTGTCAGGCAGATTTGAACCCTCTGTTTGTCCCCTCAGTCCCCTGATGGCCCCGGCTCATTTGCTCCGTCCGTCCGTGCTGCGGTGCTGCAACCTGCTGTGGTCCAAGCACCACAGGCTGCAGCAGCAGGGGGGCCGACTGCTGCTCCCAAACCCATGGAGGAGCTGGACTTGTTGGGGAAGACCTTGTTACAGCAGTGCTTACCCCCACAGAGCCAGCAGGTCAAATGGTAAGTTAAGTAAACTGGAGTATATGGAATCATTAACCTTTTTTTGAGTTGTTAATTCTTTGATTTAAGAAAGTATGTCTGTGTTTGATGCACTAGTCCTCCATTGCCCTGAGTGCACTGATAATGGGGAGTTATGCGCTTCATGTTGTTTCTTCCTTCTAACTTCTGTCTGTGTGTCTAGGGATAAGCTCCAACCGCGATCCAGAGTCACCTTACGAGATCTGCAGACCAAGTCCAACGCCAGCTCTAGACCGGCTCCTAATGCCACCACACACTCTGCTGGTCCTGCTCTGGCTGCAGGACCCCCATCGGCTGTCCCTCCCGAGCAGCCAGCCACTCTGCTCCCATCCGCTCTCAGTCTTGCAGCTGCTGAGAGAGGCTCGTTAGCTGCTACTGACCCCTCTGACAACATCTCTCTGTCTGACGTTACGGTGCCTCTGGAAGCCATCAGACCTAGTAAGCACGGGCAGCATCACCAGGCCCAACCGGGATGCTGAGTCTTGTCATACGTGCAATTTTCTCTTTCATTTCTCATGTTGCGTTGTGCTTTTTTTTCCTCCCGTGTTTCTGCACATATTTCAGGCAGTTTATTACCGGTGACCGTGTTCGACAAACACAGTCTCCGTGTTTTGTTCACCTTTTCCCGTGACTGTCCTCCATCCCGGCCCGACGTGCTGGTGGTGATCATCTCCATGCTGTCCTCCGCCCCCATTCCAGTCACCAACATCCGCTTTCAGGCAGCCGTACCAAAGGTTGGTTTAAGGCACCTGTCTGTTGGAAACCACGTCGTTTCAAGGAAAGCATTATTGGCGCATATCATAGCTAATATGATTTTTGTGTGGATGTGCTCAGGTGATGAAAGTGAAGCTGCAGCCTCCCTCTAGCACCGAGCTCCCAGCCTTCAATCCCATCCTGCCTCCAGCCGCCGTCACACAGATCCTACTGTTGGCGAACCCTCACAAGGTGCTCCGCCCACACTTCATCACGCTGATCAGCACTGAGTGTACACTGAGACTTTCACCATTTTTAAGAAAACTGATGTTTTTTTTCTCTTGTGTTTTCTAGGAAAACGTGCGTTTGCGGTACAAGCTGACATTCAACCTGGGGGACGCGTGTCATGATGAATCTGGTGATGTGGACCAGTTCCCGCCTCCAGGCACCTGGGGAAACCTGTAGGGAGAGAAAGCAGCCTGCTGTCATCTAAACTGCTGCTTCCTTTAGCTTTAGATTGAAGGTGTCCCTCGTCACCGGCTTGAGATGAGACTTCAGTGGCTTCAAACTCTGGTTGGGTAATACAGACTGACAAGGGACCAGTTGTGGGAACCAGCTTCTACCTTGTGCCTTCCTTTCCTTTTTCAATCAGCTCCATGTTCCTGTGTATCGTATCTTGATTTTCTTTTTCTTTTTCTTCCAACAATCATTCTCATACAAAACTTTGGTTCAATACAGTCAGTTATTGTTACAGGGTTTTTTTTTCAATACATCATTAATATTTTTCTGTTAAACATAGTCCGTTACATGCTTATATTGATGTTTACAGCCAAAACACTCCTGTATTTAACCTATGGTATGGAGCACTGGTTATTTGTACCTGATAAATAATTTGATTACCAGAATTTGAATGTATTTCCTATCAAACGATTGATGTGTTTCAGTACAACATCAGTGCTCTAGGAAGAGCAGCATCAGTGGATTTAATAGTTGGATTCTATCTTGCCAAACTTTTAGTTGCATCAGGAATTGATGAAACTAAATTGAATCAACACTTTGAAACGATTGAAGTCTTTTTCCCCCTTACAGTCAATGGAGCAGTGCCTCCTGCTAGTATACGTCATGAATTGGTACAACGTTTTAAGGTAGTGATTTGGTGGTTATTCTTGATGTGGTGGAGGGTCAGTGTGTGTCTTAACTGTGACAAACTGCTTTTATCGTACTTGTCACAAGAAAAGCACAGGTGTTTAATACGTTTTCAAAATGTCTTCTGTGAAGAGAGACCATGAAGGAAGGGACTTTTGATTTCTGCACTTTTTATTTTTTCGATGTTGTTTCACTGAGGATTTCCCATTTGAGTTATTTTACACAACATGAGTTGTCCATTTATTTTGTTTTACTTTTGCACATGAAACCATTACATTTACCAACACATTGTCTTTTCTCATTTGCTACTTTCCTACTGTTGATTGACCCAAAGAGGAACATGTGCAGTCCTGAGTTGACGTCTCCTACGTCTAGTTTGATTCTACCACACGTGCCTGGGATGGAACCTATATTTTTATTTGCTCTTGTACATTTAAGTATGGAAGTAACTAGTTTGATCTTTGTTTTTGTTTTCATACGTCCACGTCCGTATCACATACGATTAGTAAAACAACAGACACCTCAAATGTCACAGCATCATCCCGTCCATTGAGTTGATTGGAGCACTAAGCGTCATAAAGATTCAAATAGAATCAGATTGGTTCTACCTGAGAAGTACGATTTTGAAACAGGATGAACTCCAAATGTGTGTTACTACAGTGGAGCTGGAGGTTCACTTCATGATATGAGGGATGAATTTCAGAATGACCCACTGCGTAGTGTTGATTCAGTTCAGTTGTTACGGTAGATTAACTCATCACACAGTCATCATTAAGATGGGCTGCTTCCCGATGCTCTGAATGAGCCACAGAGACATGCTTTCATTTACTTACAGGTCCAGCACTCACTCGTCTGTGACTGGAAGGAAGACCGCAAAAAGAGACAAAGTAGCCTCAGTCAGCTCCTTTCGGTCTTCGGTGCGTGGCTTAAGCTGAGCTGATTTCAAATAATAAACATTGTACGATGTGTCGTAAACTATGCACTGAGGGGGCTGTAACGTGTTTGACTACATTGAGAGAAACAGATTAAGCTCATTCACACGTGCACATATTTGCCTTTTGTCATTGCCTGGAGGTTTAGCGCTTATTTCTTTTTAGTGTGAGCCCATTATTTGACCGCAGTAGCATAAATCAGAATACATATTTAAATGATTACAGTCTGTGAGGCCGATGACGACTACGCCGCTTTCTGTTATTAACTCAGCAAGTCACTTGTAATTTGTCTCCCCTGCCTGCGCTGATAGATTAGAGAGAAGAGTCTTGTAGCAATGCGGCTTTGTGCCCGGGAGAAGTATTTATTTAGGGAGGCGCTACAAAGCCTGTTCCAGATGGAAATCCCTCTTTTACTTACTTATAAAAACTATGCTTCACTACAAAAAGTCACAAAGCACTGTTAATGCAATTCTGTCATCCTAGTCCAGCTTCTGAGAGTATTATCAAACTGGAACTCGCTTCATTTTGACTTGCAAGAAAAACCACTGAAGGAACTAAACTGGATCCACATATTTTAGGTTGTTACACAACTGAAAGTAAAACACCTTTAAGTGTTGTAACAAGGCCTCTACATCTGTGTATTTCTGAAGAAGGGAAGGTTCTATTGTAAATAAAAGTGTATTGCCATGATGTATATTTAGATATATAAAAATACTGTACATACTGCCGGATACAAAATGAGAATGTACTACAAATGTGATTTATGGCAAATAAAGTCATTTGTATGGCAAATTTACCCAATGAATAAATAAATAAAGTAGAGAATACTATTTTTTTATTTAGGAAGAAAAAAATACATGAAAAGGCAAAGCAACAAAGTGCAATTTAGTCCACAATCCATCCGAAAACAGGTCTGCAACAGCTGACCTGCTTATTAAAACAATATGGGAGTTAACAGTTACAAGTAAATAGAAACACAGGTTTTATCTTGGACGGGAACAACTAAAGAGAAAATCTATCTAAAAGATCCTGACTACTAAAAATAATAAAAATAAAATAATTGTGCTAACATGGTATCAAAACTATAGAATAAGATTCACAACTTGGTTGCATTGTTTAGAATAACACAACCCCCAAATCAATGCAATAGTTAAGTAATGCTACTCAAAAGCTTAAACAAAAAAAGGAAAGAAAACGCCTCACTAATGAAACCAGAGCGAAACATTTCTCTGGACTGAGACGTATATAATCAATTGATGACCAAGTTTTCATGGTCATCAAATCTTAACACAGCTGATCAACGACCTAAAGTGAAGACTGAGGGGAAAAAAGGTTAAATTCCCTGAAAAGTGTATATATGAAATTAAGTCCAGAAACTCTTAGGTTGGGCTTAAAAAGAAAAAAAAGGTTAAAGTTTAAGGTTTAGTTTAGTAGAAAATGTGCAACAAAGATAGAAGCCCTTTCCTCCTTAGCCAAACACTTTTTCACATCCCCTCTTTGAGAGAAAGAGTTGACAGTGAAATTAAAATGACCCTTTGAACAGAAATAAACGCAGTGCTTCCTGCTCATAATTCTACTTCCTGGTAGGTGGAAGGCCCGGAGGAGGGGGTGGAGCAGCAAAAGGGTACGGCGGTTGCCCCATGAAGCCCATGAGCGTTTGCTGTGCTGCGAACGGCTGAGGTAGCAGGGCCGGCATCCCTCCGGACAGAGCAGGAGGAGCGGGAGGCTGGCCGAACTGACCCTGCAGCTGGCTGGACTTCTCCTGACCTCCGCTGGACTGGCCTCCGTTGCGGGAGTTGTAGCCGCCGCTGTAACTCTGGTACTGGTCTGAGCCCGAGTTGTGGCTATTCCTGTGATCCTGGCCTCTGTCCCTGAAAGAGGAAGTGGAGCGGTCTCCATCATGGTTGTAGCGTCCGTCACGGTTGAAGCTGCTGTGGCTGTCCTTGCCGCCGCCGCCACCGCCACCACCACCGGCGTGCATGCGGCGATCATATCCCCCCTGGTACGTGTTGTTAGAGCTGCTGCCACGGTAACGCATCCTGCCGCCTGAAACAAAAAACAAAAGCAGAGTCAATATTCCTGAACCTTGTTTTACAGTATGTAGTGCTGCGATGTGGTAAGTTGTTCTTACCGCCTCCACCTCCTCCTCCTAGACCACGGCCCGACTCCACGAACTGAAGCAGCTTGGGGTTGATGGCCTGCCGGGCCTCTGCCAGAACCCGGACGAGGTCACGAGCCTGCCGCAAGTTCCCCGGGGTAAAAAAGGTGTAGGCAGTTCCCTTGTTGGAACTGCGGGCCGTACGTCCAATACGGTGGACATAATCCTCGGAGGAGTTGGGATAGTCATAGTTGATGACGAACTTGATATCTTCCACGTCTTTTGGATAAAGAGCAATTGGTTTTACAGCGTGGAGGAAAGAAGAAAATACGATAATGTCACAGGGGAAAAGCTTCCGGAGAAAAGAATGCAACAGTTGATGAATTGTGTTATATATATATATTTATATATACACACACACATTTAAAAAGCGCACAGCGTTTGGCTATACATATATATATATAGCCATACGCTTATATATATAGTTTTCATTTTTATACGTACAAATATATGTATATATATTTTTCATAAGAATCTGAACAAAAAGTAACTTACCTGCTTCATCGTCGTGAAAAAATAAAATAAAAAAATCGACAAAAAAAAAAAATCGACAAATCCAATAACTTATTTGAGTTATTTAAGTAACTAATTTAAAACCTATGAAGTTAAAACTGATCTTGACTTCAGGGTTTTTGACATCAAGCTGAACATTAATCAAGGTAAGGCTTCATTATCAATAGGAGAATTGGTCAAATGTGTGACGACCTGGAGCCTGTTTCGTATTACATAAGAAGTGAGGCTTTGACAGCACCTTTTCCCCTCCAGCATGACAGCGGGAAACCATTTCACCAACCGAGACCTACTGAGTAACAGAATGACCGTGTGCGGGGATCAAAACTTGGATATTCTTTAGACTACAATATGACCACGATGGAAGTTCCTGAATGTATGGTGAGCTCATGGAGGAGAAAGGGGCGGTGAGGTACTTACCCCCGTCATGTCGTTTTTACAAAGGTAGTCAGTTCCCCCTGATCAGTCCTGGTATATAGTGAGGGGCTGAGGGGGAGGGAGACAGGATTCATCCCTCACCTTCTGCACACACCAGGGGAGCAGAACCGTTAACACGCACAACGGCCGGTTATGTTGCTCTCGCTGCATGGCAGGACCCTCCTCAGACCCTGGCCAGGACTGGATCCAGACGAGCCCATCTAACTCTCTCGCCCCCGTCCGTCTGCTTTTTGGGACGGACCGATGGGCGTCTGCCCTCAGGCTTCTCCCGAGGAAGGCTCGTTGGATTTAAAACTCTGACAATACTGGGCAGGGGGATCTTAAGTTACCCAAGAAGAACAGGAGGGCTTTAATCCCTCTAAAACTAGCCGAGCTTCTACTTTAACGTGACTGACGGGGAAGGGACAGCAGCGCAGACTGTTACAGCTGCCGTGTGCTGTCAAACCCTGAGAGGAGAAGAGGGGGGAAAAAAAAAAAAGAACAAGGATACGGTCATGGGGATTTTAGCAAGTCAAAGACACTTCACTCATCCCCCCTTCTCACATTTATCCTGCCAACAAAATAGATAATAGCCTTCCTAAATGATGATGGACCGGAGACAGTTCCGCTGACACGGCCCTGCTCCATTGCATCCGCACAACTAAACGATGTGGATCATGCTGCAGAATTATACCCGGGAACAAAAGATTCACGACATAATACAGTTTATGATTGAGTACGTGGAAGGACGGGTAATGTCTGCAGCATCTTAGGTTACTTTTTAGTGACACTTTAAAAGGAGAAGAAAAGGTGTGCAGTAGCAGCTGCCCCACACGGCCCTCCTTTCAGGCAGCAAAACAGCCCCGATTAAAGGAAGCTCTTTAAGTGCAGTAACAAGAAACAGACTATAAACCCAGCAAGCCTGGAGCCTCCACACTAGGCTGACGTTGAACCGTCAGTTATAATAGTGACAGATTCTGAAATATAACGTCCCAATTTATTTCAGTGTCAATTATCCAATTCAAACGGATACCACAACATCCCTAGTGTGATACCCGTTACAAGAAGTAGCGAACTGTCATCGTATCACCTAGTCAATTATTCAATTAAATAATTAACGCTAAGAATGTTTTTGCCCCATCTGATTTCCGGACAGTTTGAGCTTGTCTCATCCGTAACATACTCACCTCTTGGTAAAAAAAAAAAAAAGTTGCAGTTGTACCGTACACGATTAACTGTGGCGGTTGTTTTCTTGGGTTAGTCCATAAGTGTTTAATACACTCAATATTATTTATAGGAAAAAAATTACAGGAAAATGCATCAAAGAATGAGCTAACCGACAATAGTGTGAGACATTCTGCAGCTTCAACTGTATGTGTGAGCAGACATACCCAGACCACGTGAGGCCACATCGGTAGCGATCAGGATCGGATTTTTACCACTGCGAAATTCTGTAGGATCAAACCAAATATTAGGAATTAGACAAGGAAGTCCTCTTCACTCACACACAACGCAGGCCATAATGAATGACCAACTTTAAAACTAGTGCCCTCAATGATTGATCACTAGTCTTTGTGCTGTGACACGTCTGTATTGCTGTCCACTTGCTCCACAGGGATGACAGATGAAGACCAGTGTGGACTGGGAAATTACATGTAAACAGCGGACAGTAATATCATTGTGTTCCAGTTACTCTTACCAATGAGTACCCAGTCTCTTTCTGGCTGGCTCTTGTCTCCATGGATACACATAGCTGGCCATCTAAACAAAAAACACAATTAAGTGGGATGATTAGACTCTGAATAGCTTAGGTCTCAAAATCAAATATTATCGATGAGTCACCATAGTATAAACGTCATCAAGTTATGCCATAACAGTCATTTCTCACCCTTCCCGCCTCATCCTCTTGGTAAGATCATCACAACGCTTCTTTGTCTCCACAAAGATGATGGTTTTGTTTTCTTTCTCAGCCATTATTTCCTCCATCAGTTGAAAAAGTCTGTAGACAGGGTAAACGATCACAGCACATCAGTGGCCTCACGCTCAGTTTCAACTGTGAGAAATGGCGAGCTTGTGTTCTCTAACGCAATTTCAGCAGCTAATGAGAGATAATCATGGCATAACATGGTTTACGGTCACTTACTTATGGTCCTTTTCATTGTCCATGCAGACATCAACTATCTGCAGGATGTTGTGGTTGGCGCTGAGCTCCAGAGCGCCAACGTTGATCTGGACGTGGTCCTTCAGGAAGTCCTCCGCAAGCTTGCGAACATCCTTTGGCCAGGTTGCGCTCCACATCAGAGTCTGTCTATCCGGCTAAAACAAAGAGAGGGAAAGCATGCAACTGGTTTAACTTTCAAATAAATAAGTCATGATGATCATATCAAAACAGTATGTCTGTAGCTGACTGAGCTTACCCTGATTTGTTCAACTATCTTGCGAATCTGTGGCTCAAAGCCCATGTCCAGCATGCGGTCAGCCTCGTCCAGCACCAGGTAGGTGCAGCGCCGCAGGTTAGTTTTCCCACTCTCCAGGAAGTCAATAAGACGACCAGGTGTGGCGATACATATCTCCACACCTACAGTCAAACAGAAAAAACATACATTATAAGATGCTTTGTTTGAGCAGCACAATTACTTGATACACATATTTTAAACTACACTCTACTTTGAATTATCTATTGCATGTGGTCGTCTACAACTGTACCCACCCCTCTCGAGGTCTCGAAGCTGTGGTCCTTTAGGTGCTCCGCCATAGACACAGGTGCTTTTGATACGGGAAGACCTGCCATACGCATATGCAACCTGTTGAACCTGCTGAGCCAGCTCTCTGGTTGGCGCCAACACCAGACACTATGAAGAGAGGTCAAAGTGCAATGTTTCACAGGCGGATTGTACACTTTAGACAAAACACTAAGCTTACACAAATGTAATTTGCACTCACTATTGGGCCATCTCCTCTCTCTAGGTAAGGCTGGTGGTTGATATGTACAATTGAAGGAAGGAGATACTGCAGGGAAGGAAAAACAAACAAAACACAAACAACATTTAAACATCTATATTTAAATAACTAATACGATTTTTTATGTGCCATGAAATCATGGTACGGTTTATGAATTTTTATGTCATGTTTAAATGCACAATGTGCCATGCGAGTAAGCCTTTTATAACCAAATGACATCATCGTGGATGATGATTGCCAGGCAGCCTTACAGCCAGTGTCTTTCCGGAGCCAGTCTGTGCGATCCCCACCATGTCCCTGCCGCTCAGGGCCACGGGGAAGCCCTGAGACTGGATTGCTGTTGGCTCATTGAAGTTCTGCTGCCTCAGCACATCCGTCACGTGCTCTGCCAGAAGAAGGAGGGAGACAAGCAACAAGACACTTATACTCTGGACTTTTAATTGGGTCTCTAACTTTTGGACTTTACAAAAAGCACAGTCCATATTTTCTCCTAGTAAGTATTACAAGTGCAAGTGTACGGTTTCACCTTACAGACAAGATACGTTTTATTTTAGTGTATGGATTACTAACGAGGAAACTGCGCCTGGTGAAAAGCAGGGATCGCCTTTGGGCAGCCTGTGCCTCTGACTGTGATCTCCTTCTTTTTGCGAAACTCTTCCATGTCAAGCTGGATATTTAAAAGAGAAAGAGGAAAAGTACGTTTGGAAACGGTGTGCTCTGATACAGGGAGGAAATATGATTATGAGTAGACATTATATTAGTTATGATGGTACTTCGACAAGAGGATTAAATGTGTTATTGTTTGTTGCTTGGTGTATAGATATTGTCTGCAATTACAACATAACAAAATAAATGATGAACATAAATGATGATTAAACAAATTATAAATAAGGGTCATTGAAATGTAATTTATCGCTTTCGGTGTTCGTTTTATGATGTATTAATGTTTGCAAGTAAGACAGAGGAATATAACAATTTACCTGACTCATGTGTTGGACCTCAGCGTGTTCAGCATAGAAGTTCTTCTCAAATTTGGGCAGCTCATCCAGGTTCCATTTCTTCTTGTGGAGACGCTCACCTGGATTCCCAAACTTCATCGGTGAGGGTCCACTGCGACTGTTCATAGCCCCAAACCGTGGCCTGAGAGAGGAGAGAGATAAGAACAATGGACAATCGACTAACTATCAACAATGCATTTACTTAATGAATTTGTTCTCCAAATTATAAATATAAAACATATCACGTTCTTTTTCTTCATTCAAACCGTCCTACTCAAAATTAACCTAATATAATAATACTATTAATTATGGCCTTCAACGTCGAACAACCCTGTCACCTCCTTGCACGGTCCTCGCGGACAGCGGCCTTGCGCCCCCAAGTGGTGGGAGGTTAACAAAACAAAAACAAAATGGCTATTACGCTATAAATATTACTGCATAGAGCTGCACGTACACGCCTAGATCTACGAATCCGGTTTATTAATTAAAATGTCCAAAGTTTAATGAATGTCACGGAAATTGTAAAAGCTTTTTACTGTGAATATGTTCGTCTGCTCGCGGTTGGTCCATATATTTCATCATTATGACAACGGTGGCCTGAAAATAAACTGTTGGGGCGTATTTTCCACATCCATTATGTGGAAGAAAACAACTAATTTGTGATGGCAGTAACCGTCTTGCAGCCCGCAGACGTTGGTGTAAACACGACATGAACCCGGGTCCGTGTTCACAGTGAACGCACCGCGGAGGAGAAGAGGCCTCGCGGAGCTTTGAGCCGCACTACTTTACGTTAAACGTTGCATTTTTCATAATATGGGCCAAACCGCTTGTGACGTCTACCTACACATTATGCAACAAATGCGATAGAATACAGCGTTAATGAGTTTAATTTCCACGTGAGACCAACAGACGTAACGTTACCTGTCTCGTCCATGGTCGCCAAAGGAGGATCCCCCTCTCATGTTGAAACAAAGTAACAATTATCCGCGATACTTGTAACGTAGCAAAACGTTTAGATCGTTTTCCACCTGTTCGTTTACGTTGTGCGCTGTTAGAAAATATTATTCACGATAGCAAAACGTGTCTATTGGTCGATAACTACGCACAAATACGTATGTTCGGTAAACAAATGTCGAATGCGTCACGCGACGTTTGCGAAACTACTCCCGCCTCCCACTCCTGCCTGGCCGTTTTGATAACGCTACGTAAACCACACTAGTAGTTCTACGTAGCCTGCTTTCGGCTACCGACACTGCGCACAACTTTGCACTTAACAACAATAGGGAATACTATGGTTGTACGCGTGCGTGCCTTTTGACGGTTGGTGTCGCTGTGTCAGAAACTGCGATCCTGGATCCTCAGAAGAAGAAGAAAACCTTCAGGAAACTCCATCCCATCGTTTGTTTTTCAGCTAGAATTACGTGTTAACCCATAATATATGAAGTACCAGTCTTTATAGTTGTATGACAATCCGCTCATATTAAAGTGGACCGTACGAAAATGCCGTTGTTAATTCAAAATAGAGGACTCGACTGCATAACCTCGACGGCGGAACTGTTCGACAAATATCCACATTTACAGGTTTGTATCCAGGAAGCGTGGCTAATTTCAGTCAACTGAGACACTGTCAGCGGTGTCATAGTTGTTTGTGTATGTGACAGTTACCCATTAATTGGCAGAGCCACCGTTAATGATGAGGCAAGCTGGTTGTTGGACGTGTGGACGGGGTTTTGGTGTGATATAATAATCAATCAGGGAAAACACAAACCCGTGCGTTATGTTTGTTTGAATCTAAAGGAGCGTAACGTTAGTGGATTTTTCCTAAAATTCAATAAATGACATAAAACAGGGATGGCTGACCTAGTTGATGACCTTCTGTCTGTTATTTTTGTAAATTATTTTTGTTCTAACGTCAACTTCAAGGACAAGTTTATGGTTTCTACACTTTTCACTAAGTCGTTTCTCTCATCAGTTTAAATATTGGACTAAATGTTCCTTTATAGGTCATTCAGAAGACAGTTTACAGTCTGTGTTGATTACTCGGAAGTAACATAGACCCTTGGTGTTTAATAAATACGTTTAATTTCTACCCTGGTCACAGGAAAATGCAAGGAAATTTAGCTCCATGCCGCTTGTGGACGTCGACCCAAAAGGCCTCTTGTACGTCCAGCAAAGAGAGTTTGCCGCAACAACACCAGCAGATAGTAAGTGAAGCCTCGTGGTTGGAACCAGTCACCTGAATATCAGCACGCACAATTAGGCAAGCTCGATTTTTGAGGATTTATTTTATTATTTGACAACCAAAGTGCTCTCGGTCAATCCAAAATGTTACAGAGGAAAAGAAAATGCCCAATTAAGCAGTTTTATTATAAATAATAATGAACACAAATGCACCTGTCTTAATCCAATAGGCATTCAAGTTTATACAGCTTGTAGTTGGAAAATATGTATATAAATGATGATATGGTCCAACTATTATCTTGCCTAATAATTGTGCACACGGTGTAGAAATTGTAACAGTCCCTTCAAATTGAGTGGAATGTCTGATCCAAAACAAGTTTCTTTGTCTTGAATGCACTCTTCGGCTATAACACATATTTGCACTTTTATTTGATTGCAGTCTTTGAGATGAAATCTAGAATTGCAACGTTTGTTTGTTTATAACTAAAGGCTAGGTTAATGATTCAGGATCAAACTGATAACGCCGGCCTTTTGTCGTACCCATCAGACTGCGTTTCAGTGATTGGATCCGGTGATGCCACCACCTGCCATCTGGTTGTGCTGCGACACACCGGTAACATTCACTTCATTTAAATTCATGCCGTTTGTCTTTTTTTGGCTGGGCATGCAGTTAGGAATGACATGTTTAACGGGTGAAATGTTTTATCGTTTCTTAGGAAGTGGAGCAGTTTGCCTCGCTCATTGCGATGGTTCCAGCACCTGGACTGAAGTCCCGCTCCTCGTGAAAGCAGTGACGTCACTGAGTGACATCAGTAAGGAGGGCAGGTAGGGATTACACCAGTAAAAGCACTTTTAAAAAAAGGGAATGATGGTCTTGACTTCCTTTGCTTTCCATTTTGCAGGCTTGAGCTCCATCTTGCGGGTGGATTTAACGATGAGTCAAAAACATCCCTTAAACTCAGCCTTAACATACTGGGTATAGTCTTACAAACGATCTGTCTTATTTTAACATAATGCTGGCAGCTGTTGAGCTTTGCACCACGTAAAAAGACCCTTTGTTACTTTGCAGCAGCTTTCCAGAAAATTAAAGAGGATATTTATCTGGAAACATGTTGCATCACAGGTAACTTTGATACTTGTTTACTGTTGTTTACATGTACTCAAGCAGTTAAACCTTCATCCAGCTTACCGTTCTGTTCTGTGTTTGTAGAAATGAATGACATTGTTGTTGATGGAACTCATCGGCCTATAGTATACGGAATAGGTAAGTCATGAAGATGCTACAAAGTGAGAGAAATGCGTTCATAGTTTGTGACCTGTAATATGTTGCACATGTCTGTTTCTGCACAGGTGTAGATGTTAAAACAGGCGAAGTTTTCCCTTCGTCGTTCACTTATAAAGGACCTGCAGAGGAGCTGCGTTCGGCAAGGACGTTCACTGGGGGCCAGGTACTCTGAGAAATACAACATGTTTTACTATGTGGGAATACTGCACATGTATGGCACAAAAGCATGCATCCAAAAAAGGCATAGTCACATGTTTAACTATGTTTTATGAGGAAAAAAAGCAAATAAGAATAGGAATTTCTTTCTAGCATTGGTAATTGTTTATTCGGCATATTAAAAAGGGCACAGTCTCAATGTGAAGGTCTGTAAACAAATTCAAGTGATTTGCTTCTTCTTGCAGATGGCCGACACATATGATTCAAGTCGAGGGCTCGTTCAAATCGGGCCTTGCAAGTGGTCTCCAAATCTGGATATCGCCTTCTGGTTGTCACAAGATGATGACACAATTCTAAAGGTAAAGGAATGTGAAAGTCGTTACTCCTAAAAAGACGGTTTGCCTCATAATTTTCATGCTTCGCTCGAGGGCGCTCGTTATGTCTCAGAAACTGTGAGTGTCAAGCGGCTGTCCTGACGGCGGTAGTTCTCTCCCCTGCCCAGTACCTGTCCACCTCGCCGATGGCCGAGCCGCCACACTTCGTTCAGCACATGAAGACCACCATCCGGTTCCTCTTAGAACACCCCAACTCTGACAGCCTGTTCCCCGGGGGTCAGCCACAGTTCTACCACAGGACTGCGAGTGGGGACTGGGAGAGGGCTGTCTAGTCATCGAGCTCACTGGACCTCACCATGGAAGCGGGGGGGGTGGGGGTTGCCTCTCCGCTCAGTGGATACACTGTGACTCATCTACGGCATTGCTTTGTTCGTTTTGTCTTAACATGGAGTCGGCGCCTGGCTGCAGTGTTCTCTGGTGAGTGGCTCTCCTGACTCCTGACTGGGACAAAATATCTGAATCTGCCATTCGAGTAGTAAAGAGTATAGAGAAGGAACAACATGCCTCTTAACAATTCATCTTTACAACTTCGGGAGATAGTGTCAAGTCAGCAACTTATGCCCTCTGCAGTGAATGAAAGTGAAATTCACCATATGGCTGTTTTAAATTGTAAATGTACTTATTCACATTTTTGTTTAATTTCCAGCACAATTCTGAACCTTTTTATGTATTTATTTTTGGTTCAAAAACTGTATTTTACAAAGCATTTTTTACCTCCTTACTTGGATGCATCGATTGTTCAGCTTACAACAGTACAGTCAAGCAACTCGTACAATTAAAACTTAACTTGTTTGATATTCTTTTGTCGGTTAATGTTGTCAAATACTGTGTTCCCAGGAAATCCAACCGGGCCAACCCAAACGTGTTTTAAATCGTTTTTTTTTTCTGGAAGATATTACAATGTAAAACTAAACTTAGAGGAATGGAACTGTATGCACAATATGTATTTACAGGGTGAAACATGTGAAACCATATGAATGACCGAAAGCCTGACCTACTATTGACGAGTCATTTGAGGTGGAGAACTTAAATAACAAATGTCTATTGTTAATTGGTTTAAATCAGTGAAGATAATACTAATTGCCAAGTTCTGCACTGTTTTTGAGTTGAGCAAACTTTATTTTTTCTCCACAAACGCACCTTCCAGATGAGAGCGGAATATGATATTCTACTTCATACCGCTGTATACTTGCCATGACTGTGTATGTTTTAGGAAACCGCATGTGTAAATGTGTCTAGCAGTCTGTAGGGGAAGATGTGGATTCTTATCAAACACAACTAAATATGATTTTGATTTCCAATTTCTTTATGAAAACATATATACTGTCTGAGGCCTTTTCATCAGTTGTGTTGTTCAGAAAATGACACGGTGCTTAAAGCATTCAGTGAAACTTTCAAACCTACCATACCTGTTGCTAAATAAATATGAATGGTCATATCTAGTATAACATGTTTATACTCAGAGTGAATGAAGTTGAATGGGGTGAAAAATGTTTTTATTTTTGTTTTTTTATTTCAGCACTTCAATAGAATAAATGTTTTGCTAAATGCAATGTCACACTGCCCATTAACAGCAATATGCAATTAAAACGTATCTAATCTAAAAAAAGGCTAAATATGTCTATTACACTGAAATTGATTGACCTTCATAGTTTTTCCATTAAGTGATCCACGCGTTGGCCACGACCTGACAGGATCCTGTCATTAATTAGCAAATGTATCCTTTAAAACTCGACGTCAGCCTAAACAATTCTGTATCGGTTGCACTTAAATTGAAACACATTCTGACAGGTTGGTATGAGTTTCATGGTGCTTTTCAACGTAATGCAGGTCCCTTTAATGTCTCCCTTCTATCGTGTTTGCGTTGGACTCTGGTTGAACGTGCGTGTCCGCTGCGGCTTCGCTCCGCCCTCCACCGCGTGGACGAACCTGCTTTTCCTTTTTTTTTTACGTAAAAAGGGGCGTAGTCATTGACAGCCATGTCCCGCGCCGGGTCCCGCACCGGGTAACGCCGGATGACAAGCGGGTGTCCTACACGACATTGACTTTAACCACTTCATTCCACGAGGACTACAAGCAGCGCGTCGACGACGCGCCTCGCGAGCCTCCCCCCGTTGGACCGGAATGTCGTGTTCGCTGCTTCCACGGAGACATCCACGCAGAGATGACGTCGATGGAATTGGTCCCATTTAGCTAACATTACTCTGAGCAAATTTACATTTCGCTAAAAAGAAGAAGGGGGGGGGGGATTTCTTTCCGCTGTTTTGACTAACTGGACCGCGATGCGAGAGGCGTTGCTGAGACACGTCCGTCGGTTCCCGTGGGCCATCAACGTCACGCTGTACGGGGGGCTGTTCGCCGGGGGCGACGTCGTGCACCAGTGGTTCTCGCGGCGGCGGGAAATGGACTGGAGGCAGACGCGGAACGTGGCCGTCGTCGCGTTCGGTTTCCATGGAAACTTCAACTTCCTCTGGATGCGGTTCCTGGAGCGCAGGTTCCCCGGGAACTCCCTGAGGATGGTGATGAGGAAGCTGCTCCTGGACCAGACAACGGCGGCCCCGCTGGCCACCAGCGTCTTCTACACGGGTAGGACGGGGGGCAGTGGGGAGGGGGCGTTTACCCTGCCGGGGTAGTTCTTGGTCCACTTCAAAATAGTTAGCTGTCAGTTTGTAACCTGATCGCAAATCCTCCCCGTGTTCGCCTCTTGTAGAGCAAAGATCAGTACTCCGTGGTCCCGAGGACCAGCCTGACCAGGGGTCAGGGGTCAAGGGTCAGTCATCGCTGAGCAGATTAATTGTTAGATTTCATATTTGACATCATGGTGGTGGAGCGGCGTTAACAGACCTGTTAATTATCAGGGTCGGTATCACACATACATGGTAATAAATGCCAATAACTGGAGCACAGTTGAATGCTTCTGTCAAAATCCATATTTTATGAAGTGTGGGATTTCATTCATATGTGGAATTATATAAAAAAGTCCATGAAAAATACAACCTTACAGTTGCTCAGTTTAGTTTAATTATTTTGCACAAAAAAATGAAAACCAGATGACACAAACCTGACAGTGATAGGATCACGGTGCAGCAAGAGGCAGAAAGCCTCTATTTACCTATATAATATAAAATGTCACACAATTATAGAGAACAGAAAATGAATGTGATGTAACCATATCATTAATCTGATGCCAAAAAGCCAAGCAGAAAACTGATGGCAGCAGTTTCATAATACTCATCCTTAATCAATACATTGTTCATGCTGTCATACTTATTGGTATTATTACACAATAGTTTGTGTCAATATTTGGCCCAGCGTGTCAATAACACTGCTTGAGAAAACCTAAAGTGATCATTTATCCTCCTCCTATTCGACACATATACTGTATTCATCGTGCCTTCACGCTGTCTTTAAACCTTCCGTGAGTCAAATCGCTCACAGACCGGACGGCCCTTTTGCCTTGTTTCCACCCAGGTGTCAGCTTCCTGGAGGGCAAAGAGGACATCTTTGAAGACTGGAGGGAAAAATTCCTAAATACGTATAAGGTGAGTGGGGGCCGAGACCAGCCGGTAGCAGCACCTTCACGCATTCACATGTCGAGAGACTTGTTAAATCTAAAGAGGAGAAGCTGTGGTGGCAACACGCCCATTCTATTTAGAGGACTTTGCATGCCAACAGTTCATTTGTGATGCGTTATCTGGTTTTGGGAGGTGTCTACTAATAAATAAATAGACGTGACTCTCTAGGCCGTCTTCAACAAAACGCGTCACTCCGCCTGTCGTTCTGGCGATGAATTGCTCTGCAACACACGCAGAACCATGAATTGAAACAAGTGCGTCGACGCAGAAACATGCGCCGGCCTTTAATGTTCTTGACATTATTGATTCCGTCAGTAAACATTTGTGTAAGTTGGATTCATGTTGCTTTCTGTTTGTCTCCCTTTTTCAGACGGGGCTTATGTTCTGGCCATTTGTGCAGGTAAATATTAACATCTGACGGGCATGGATGTTAATCGTTGACCGTTGTGAACAAAACACGTAGTGAAGACAATCTAAGCTCAAAGGTCCACCGGCTAATGATTCTTTACTCTGAGCCGTATCTCACTGCCTCACAATGAACCTGGTGGCTCAGTGAGTGGACCCCGAGAGTCTGCATTTGCTTTACCATTCAAATCTTACATTTCCTCTGACTTCCGTTATTTTCAGCACCTGCTATATGTGATAATATGATCAATTCTGTAAGGAAATCTTGCAGATAACTAGTGCAGATTACTATTATTATTATTGTTATTATTAATAACACATTACTGACTAAGTGAGTGCATTTATTTATTTTAGATACTACACAACAATAAATGTTATTAGTCAATATGTGAACATGTAATACCTCGGCCACAATGATATAAATACACGCTCATCTTTGTCTATACCTTCCTCAGTTTGTGAACTTCGCCTTGGTGCCTCTGTATGTGCGGACCACCTTCACCGGCTGCTGTGCCTTCGTCTGGGCCACTTTCCTCTGCTTCTCACGTCAGAGCGGCGACGGCACGGCCAGCGCCGCTCTGACGTGGATGTTCCCTAAAGAAGGTGAAGCAAAAGACAATGACAGGGCGGATGCTTCCAAACCTGCTGACAACTGAAAGGAATGAAAGCAGCAGGCGTCCCATCCAGGCTGTCCAACCTGTCCTTCATGTTGCACCGTCTCTCGCCAAGGTTTGAGTTAAACGTCTCACTGAAAGTCTCGGTGAAATTAAAACGGTGCTTTGTGAAACGGCGCTAAATATAACAAAGCAGCAAATCTCCTCAGAGGGAAATGTTGCTGCAGTGGCAGCCAATCTTAATAATAGGCTTATACTTTTCCTTTTATTAGATTGGGCAGATGTTTAATCATTTAAATATCAATATCTCAAAACGGTGTACTTTTACTGCAACATACTGTTTCATCTCCTAGGACGTTCTGCTTCTGTTCCATTTTGATTTCCCTTTACAAAATAGTGTGGCAATCAATCACTTATTCCTTTCAGTTTTTTCGTTGTTACTTGACGACGGTTGTCTCAGACATCCATTTACTTGAATGTAGAAATCCTGCCTGCCTGTTATACTTGTGTTAATGTTGTACTGTGGAGTAAACTCTGCTATATCTCTTTGCGTCATTTCCACATTTTTAAATACTGTTTGCTATTTCATCAATTCTTGGATATGAGAAAATCTTTGTCTGATCGCCTGCAGAGATTCTTGAAAACTGGGATGTAACGAAACATCAGATGCCACCGCCAGGCAGATTTCTATAGAGGTCATTTTTATAAATAGCTCAGCACGAGAGCTATTAGTTCTAGTGCAAAGATATCTCGTGTGCCTCAGGCCGATCTTTACAAAGGGAAAAAAAACATTTCATTGACTTGTGTTTGTGCTTTATGCAAAATGTGTGAGAGAGTAGACGCTCTTTGATTTGAAGTATTTTGTCTGCCTCACAGAACTGAATGAATAATGACATTAATATCACAATAATCTTTTACGGTTTGTTTGTTCTTTGTATGCTGACGTGCTAAACTGGAACATCATTGAATATTCCTTTGGTTCAGTTCAGAAACTGAAGAATGAGTAATATTACTAAATAATTCAAAGATGTGAATTTTTACTGCATTTCTGTATCAAATTTGATAGTTTGGATATAACAAAGGTATACTGGGGCTCTTGATTGTAATGTATAAAACGTATTTTATCACAGATAAGTATTATTTATTGTTAAATAAACAAAGAAAACATCCCAATGACTCATTGCATCTTTACTGGGTGTACAAAATAAATCAGTCATGACTGACTTTGAGTGCTTGAAACTAGAATGTTATATTTGTCTACATAACAGACCCACAGTTGTCTTGATCTGAGCTGCATCATGTACGTCATCTGTTACCACGCTATCAGCAGTGCGTGTGTTGTGTTCAAACAGAAATATCACTCACGTCTTCGTTCAAGCTCTGTCTCTGGGAATATATGAAGAACAACGCTTGCTTGAAAGGGCCCGTCTGCTGCATGCTTTCTTTATGCAGTCTAAAATACGCTACCTTGAATCAAGAAATATATTTATTAATAATAAATTTAACCAGGCAGAAACACATGTGTGGGCATGGCTTGCGGATAAAAACTCCAGAGCAACTGGGCCTGTTGTTTTATTTTTAACATCATCGTGGTGGGTGTCTCCCAAGTCTTCACGTCCCTGCCCGCACTGCGCATGCGCCCTGCATCCTTTTCTCCATCCACACGTCGAGGAGCTTGAAAGCTCGAATGAAGATGCTCAGCGTCTCGGCTCGCAGCCTTGTCACCGGGTAAAACAAAAAAACAAAAAAACGACCCATCAGCGAGGACACACGCAGAAGAGCCGTGTGGTTTTAAGAGAAAGACAACGACATGGAACTGAAGAAATCCTTTTCGGACACCGAGCGCGCGCTCAGGAGCTACGGCGCCGTGTCGGAAACGGCGTGGACAACGGACAAAGGTGAGCGCCGCCGATGCTGTTCCGCCCGCCCGGTGGTCCCGGATAGGACGGTAACGTGTGCGTTTCTTTTCCCGGTGGATGTCCCCACATGACGCGCGGGGGGGTTGGGATGCTATGAATAGCGCTGCCCCGGTGCTCAAGGGCCCATTAATTCCCCACACGGGCACTACGGGTTCCGTGCTGTTTGTGAATGAATGTGAAGGTTGGATTCAGCCTGAGCTGATGCAGCACGAGGAGTCCAATACCTGGTCTTTCATAGACTCTGGACCACATTTGTGGTCCATCTCATATCATCACTGTGTTATTCTTTTTTAAGTTGTTACGGGGCAAATTATATTTTTTGCACAATAAAAATAGTTTCTATTGACATAATACAATGTCACAGCGGGCTATTGACGACAAAGATGAGCATATACCCCCTTAACACAATTTCAACCACAAATTAATTGGAAATGTATATGATTAACTATATTACTTGCAAGTGTTTTTTTTAACCCAAAGCTCAATACTCAATGATCTCAGCAAATTGTCACCCTGGAAAAAGCAGCAAATTCTCACAGCTGAAATCACTGTTTTGCTTAATTCATGACAATTAGTATTTATTTAATTGACATGTTGTCAATTAAATTAAATAAGTGCCTCAAAATCAACCCTAACGCTGAAGAGTTTCAAACAAAAAGAAATAATGGTGGCAGAGCCATTGTTTTCGAGCTTTCTATCACTATTTTGTCCTGTTTGATGACGAGCGATGAATGACACATTGAAGACGTTCATCAGCAGACGTTCATGTATACAGTGGGACTGCAGATAATGACATGTTGGCGACCCCCATGTGGGCGCTGCACCCCCCGCACCAATCCTCATAATCTTAATTCACATTGATGATCCAGATTGTTATAATGAAACAGGCCTTTTCATGCTGATTAATTAACTCAGTGTATGAGACTGGTTTGTATTTGCAGCTGATGACTTGGGCCCGGTGGACAAAACGCTTTTAATTAGGAAGTGCAGAAGTGCTTTGTTCCCTGTAATGTCTTGAATGCAGAGTGGCTTGCTCAGTTAAGGTGGAGCTGTGAAGACATTATCAAACGCCACTTTGACACCAGTCAGGGCTTAGTGATTGTAAACACATGGCTGGAGTGTACAAAGAAAACACTGAGAAAAGCTCCTGCTGTGTTTTGCATTGGGCCGTTATTTCATGGTGCAAAGTTCGATATTTGTGTGTCCGCGTCATATTTCAGCAGACACGTCGGGTGATGATTCAATATCAGCGAGGCACAAAGCAAAGCGGGCCCTCCGGTGCAGACTTCTGTCTGCTGTGGTGAGTCAGCTCCGTCCTCAGCAGGCATCCATGAAAAGTACCTCAAATGCAGACTGCAGTTTATGTTGCTGCAGGATGACGAGGAGCTGATCCCGTCCTCTAGTGTTGCAAGGCACACAGTGGACAAACGGCAGGCCTCCTGTCTGCTCGGGACATGCAACTACTTTGTATTCAGGTGTATGAAGAACTACATACTTGCGGAATGGGGATTTTGTCATAATAAGGGATTTCAGGAGGGTTAATATCCATATATAACAAATGTGTGTCCATATTAAGACTAATATAAGCAAAAATCATTTCTGGTTCCATGTTCTCTAATTTGCACGTGTGTTTATAAATGGAATATCTGTAGTTTTTGGACAGTTGATGAAACAAGACATTCAAAGGCATCCCCTTACATCTTATATGTTCTGAATTATTTTAGACCAAACATTTAATCAATAAATAATATTTTTGTAGAATGTTTTACCTCCCAATGGGCGGCTTGCAAGAGGCAGAAAAATAGCTCAAAATGAAGTGATATTATGCCCAAGCATCAAGGGTCACATCCTTCATCCTGCACTTCCCACAGTGCATCTTTAATAAGACTCTCTCTGACCACATTTTCTTTCTGTTAAAACTTTGGTGTGAATATAAATGATTATTTCTCCAAGCTTGACAAAGCTCCTCCCACAGACATTATACAACTATTGGAAAGGCTGAGTAGCTGACAAGTAAACCCATCTTTGCTGGAGCGCTTCTTTAATTATTTGCAACGGAAGGTTGGGAACATTTGGAGTAAGAAAGCTTGATGACTTCATCAAAGACATGCTGAAAACCAGGACAACAAAATAATGTACAATCAACTCCTTCAGTTTCATTATTTGTTGCTTCAAATCAAGATTCTGTTGCTTGCTTGTTGGAGCGGATAATGTCGGTCTGTTGCTGCATTTGCAGTGGTCGCTGCATTGATCACTGCAATAAGTGTTGGTCAGTGTAAGTGTTTTTTGATTGTTAGAGAGCGTGGGGTCAGAGAGGAGTGACCCAATCAGCAGGAAGCCACAGCTGGGTGGGAAGGTCTATTTTCTCCTCCTCAACAGCCAATTGGCTAAAACGCACCACTTTAAATCTTGTGTCGAGCAGAGATGTTTCTCACAAGTTACTTTGTGATCCATCAGGGCCAAAGCAACATGATCACTGTTCTCCATGAGGGAGCATATCCGTTCCTTCATGTCACACACATTTTCACACGTGACTGACGCTGTGTGAGTTACTGCTGTGAATTTAAAGCGCAAATCACAGCTCTCTTATGCCGCTTCTCTCCAAATATCGTGTCGTTGGCTGACGCGCGAGGACGCGTCACGGGGAGGCGAGGTGAGAAATGCGTTTGGCAAGACGCCGACACTGTGGGAACTTTGCAAAAAAAAAGTGACTAAACACGGAACTCGTGGACAAATGTGTGACAGAAAAACAAAAGAAAATATTCACGACTAACATTTTGCATCAAACTACTTTTGTGCCACAATTTGCTCTCGAAAGTGAAGAGAATTGCGTAACAGAGACGCCCAAAAGCAGAGCGTCCTTTTGTAGGAGAAAACATCAGCCATGTTGGATACTTATTTCTTCTCTCCCTGCCTTCCCTCGCAGGTCACTCCGATGTGTCCATGGCAGAGAGCACCATGGCCCCGGAGGAGATCGAGGTGGAGATGACGCGCATCCAGCGCCTGCGCGAGGTTCTGGTGCGCAGAGAGTCCGAGCTGCGCTTCATGTGAGTTGCCGGACTTGTCTGTGTGCGTTTAGTTGTGACAACACGCGTCATCGAGTTGGACAAAATGTCACAACAACCCCCACCGCCACGCTGGAGTTGGTAATGGCGTTTTCTGTGGTGCCGCGGAGTCATTTCCCCGGGATGGCTGAGATGCTGAGAGAGGATGACGATCCGAGGCCTGATGCGTCACCACAATCAACTCATTTGGCTTCTCACCAAGATCAGCCTTAAAGATCATGGATTTTTCTATGCGAGTTTAGCGGCAAATTACAATCTGGTCTCTCGTTGTATTGTTCAATACAGAAACCCGTTTACAATACAATACAATACAACAATACCAGTATTGCCGATGTTTATTGGGTGGATGAGTAGCTGAACATCCAGCAGTAAAACGTTTACAAGTGAGCAAATAGGAATTATAGAATCATCTCAAAGGCCCCCAGATGTCGTTACACTAAATACAGTCCAAAATCCCCAAATAATCCCTTTACTTCAGTGTAAAACAAGTAGAGCAGCAAATTCTCATTAAAGCTACATCATTCATGACCAAATAATTCCACTAACCGTTGCAGCGCCAAATTAATAATAATTTTGTATCAATAAAATTATGCAAAATCAATATATTGATATTCTATAGAGAAGGATTCTGCACTCATACTGCTGTGCTGCTCCAAATTGGCAATTTTGTTATTGAGCTGAAACAAATCATCTTTTGTCCCCATGTCCTGTTGTCTTTCATATAAGAACAAAACAAACTGCTTTACTTTTTTTTAAATGTATATTTTAAACTCAATTTGTAATTGTAAATAGCGGCTGTCCTGTTTATTTTGACGTATTGAACTGCATTAAACTGTCTCATCAGTCTGACGTATCTAAGAGAATCGGGCCTTTCGTGGGTCATCACGCCCCAAACATCGGGGCCCGATGGTCGATGTGTCGCACGAAGCTGAGACACATCGTAGAAAGCTCACTCAGTCGAACATGTTGATTCACACGGCCACTTGAAAGGCTTCATTAGGCGCTTTCCTCTCTGTTGTGTTGTCGTCAGGCTCTGTGTGACTCAAGGCTTGTTGGTGTGTGTGAGCCTCACACACACACACACACACACACACACTAGCAGATGTTGTGTCAGAGTGCAGAAGCAGCTGAAATCGTCAGATAGCACCGAGGGAGTGAAACAAGGCAGAAAGAGGGAGAATAACAGAAAGTGAGGAGGCGAAAGAAGCTGCAGGGAGGGGTCAAGGGGAAGAGAGAAAGAGGGAGGTGTAAAACTGAGCGACAAGGGTGAACGCAGGGGGAGGAGGAGGAGGAGAGATGAGTCACCGGCCTGATCCATCACAAGACAGAATTAAATCTGTGGTAGCTGTCACTGCTCTGCAGAGAGAGAGAGAGAGAGAGAGAGGATTCGAGCAGGAAAAGAGGTACTGTGCTTCGGCCCCGAGTGTCAGGGCTGCAAAGGGCTCAGGGAGAAGCATGGAGTTATTCACGTTGCACGTTTTCCATCACATCGGGGTCCGAGTCACTGACGTCCAGAATACAAGTGCAAGAGTGTTTTTACAACACGGTGCAGGGATTAGTGGGGGAATGATGTGTCGACAAAGCAGTCATTCAGAATAATGGTTTCACTGAGTTGTTTAGCAAACGTGCCAAACATGTCCTTGTAAGTTTGTAAATGGTGGGATTTAATCATGATTTGCATCAATTGTTGGTTTAATATCTTGTGTATTATCTTATCTACACCTTTCAGTCCCCTACTTGTATTTATCTGCCTCTCAAAGTCTTGTGGGTACTATTCTAGTAAGGAAGATGCTTTTCACATCTTTTTCAGAATAAGCTAAAACATTTTCCAACATAACTATTCTAGGTAAGGAGCATAGCTCGGGATGTGTTGATAGTCAATCAGATCATAGAACAATGGTTCAAGTTCACCTCAGAACGCCTCAGAGTTCAAACATTAACACATACATGCTGTCTAGTTACACACAATCCTCACACTCAGCATCACTGTCAGAGCTATCCGGATAGGGTGGAGTCCATTCCTGAACCGGACACCGTATAGTAGTACTTGTGTGTTCAACTGATACATGAGTACCAACAACCTTCCTTACAAAGAGCTTTAAAACAGTTACAATTAGGGTTAGAACAATTACAGACAGATTGATGCCCCCTAATTCCCATAGCAGAAATATGATAACCTCTTCCTTTTTACCTACTCCACAATGTTTCTTTTCATCTATATTGTGGATAACCAGAGAAAGTTAAAAACATGAATTTCTGGGTTTTGGAAATAGAATAACTTTTCATTTAATCAAATAAAACTGGTGCATAGATCCCTTCCACCGATTGTTCAGTCTGCCTTCAGTTCACAATTCAAAAAAACTCTGCCAAACATCATTCCAGTCAGATTATTACATCCAAATCTGAAACAGCAAAAAATAAACGTTGCCTGTAATCTAATAGAGGCCACTGATGTACTGTTTTCTTTCCTTCTCATTTTTATTTTTATTTTCTTTTTAGGATGGACGACATTCAGCTCTGCAAAGACATCATGAGTTTAAAGCAGGAGCTGAGACAGATTGTCACAGTCCCAGGTACAGTACAAACAAACAAACAAACAAACACATACACCTTCATTCTCCTAATGATAACCAGCGGTAAACATATCAGTGTCATTCTTTTTGCAGCTTGCACCAAGTTCCATAACCTCTGAAGGATTCATGATCTATAGGAGTCGTCGTCACGCTAAACTACATACGATTAATGTACACACAACTAACAAGTAGTATTAGTATGTCCCAAGGATAAACATGCACACACACACACACACACACACAAGCACACCTGCATTTGCGTGCAGAGGTAATATGAGCTGATGCAAACTTTGCAGACGAGGCGTCCAAATTAAAATTCAGTAAACACACGTTTTTTACTACCTGGATGTTTTTTTTTATAGAACAGAATCAAATTCTTGTTCAACTCCACCGTTCCACGGTTGTCTGTCTGTGTGTACTGACACTAAAAGCGTCACTCATAGCAACGCAGGCCTACGCGAGGCCCCGCAGAGGACCTGGCAACAAGGAGAGAACACTCCTCCTGCACGTCATCATGTGTCAGTGTTTGAGCGAAGTGTGGGGGGGGGGTGAGGGGAGGAGGGGGGCTGGTGTCGTTTTCAAGGACACACAAGGCACATGCCCATTAGCGTTCCTTGGAAAGGAACCGGTGACCTGTCAATCACCAGGCGTTTTCTTTACTTAGAATATTAACCTGCATTGTTGAGCGTGAGGACAGAATAACAAACGCCTGATACGGGATACGGGCGTGTTAGCTGATGTTTCTTTGTACGTTAGAAAAATATTGATTTACCTCAGTGGTTATTTTTGGAAATACTGAATCTTTTATTTTGTATTTTTGTTCGTTGACAAGAAGGAAAATCTAAATATCTGTCCTAAAAATTACAGGAACAGGTCTGTAAAATATCAACCATTTGTTTATATTGTTGAATGAAAGCCACCAAACTCCCAGCAAAAAAACTCCGATGTGGCCTCACTTTCCTCAGCTGCAACTTTGATTATCCTGTGACTCGTCCCCATTACGAATCCCCCCCTCCCTGCATGCATGCATTCGTGATGACAATGTCACACAAAAAGGTGAACCATGCAGACATTCCCACGAGCCACTGGGGCCTCATGCTTACTGTTGGTGGACCAGTTGTCGGCGCTTTACTCTTGTCAGCAGTCATTTTACAAACCATTTTCATCCATCCAGTCCAGCAGGGGCAGACAATCTCTCTGCAGCGGTCTGCTCGTGTGTGTGTGTGTGTGTGTGTTCCTTGATCGGTTTGCGCTTCGAAGGGTGAAGGTTATAAGTGAGACTAATCAAAGCGGATGTTTCTAGATCTGACTGAAAACAAAAAACAGCCCTCCACCATGTGCGTGATCTTTTTTTTGTTTAAATGATAAACTATACACAAGGAGGATTATGGGTCAGTTTGTGATGAGCCAGCTGGCGTAGCTGTAAGTCAGCCAACTTTTGTTTTCATGTCAACCATCTTTCCATTTATTATGTGTACATGACAATCATTCTTCTTTGTTCCACCCCAGAAAAAGAAAAAAACAAGAAGCACAAGCAGCGGGAAGAAGAGCTGATCCTGAAGATTCATAAACTGGTGCAGGAAAGGGACTTCCTGGTCGACGACGCAGAGGTGGAGAGACTAAGGTAGCGCTCTGCCACAGACGACCACGGTTAATATCCGGGAGCGGACTGACCGGATGTTTACCCGGATAGTTTTGGGTTGAACTGCATCCATCTCTTCATTTGATCGACAAAGGCCAGAGGGGAAATGAATTGAATGAATTGGGATTCAGCTTCTGGGGAACGTGGATATTTGTACAAAATGAGATATTAGAAATCAGCTATTTCAGATGACATTAAAGATCCCAACAGCTACGCTTTTTATGTATTTAAAATCAGGCAAGAAACCGTAGAATACAATTTGAACTCTAGATTTGTAGGTATATTTACACGCTTTCTTTCTCCTTTACTAAATAATGCATTTGATCCTGTTAAATTTAAAAAATGGAATTCAGCCAGCTACATTTTTAATTTCCACCACTGCTTTTCCATCTGTGACCGTGGTGAAGGGCTGATAAAAGCATGAAAGTATGCACCACAAACCTCATTGTTATTAAACAGCTGACTATGCGAGTGCTTTTCAAACAGAGAGCAAGAGGAGGACAAGGAGATGGCCGAGTACCTCAGACTGAAGCTCGTGCCTCTGGAGAAGAAGCTCAAATCCTCGCAGAGTGAGTGGTTGGTTTGAATTAAAAAAATAAAATATAAAAAAATTAGAGTGGCACAAGTGCCATTTGTGTTCACTTCCATGGTGTGATCATCTTTCCCCCCCCCCCCTTTTTATTTCAAGATCCTCCAAAGCCTAAGAGACAAATCCCGGAGCCGCCTCCCAACAAGCCCTCCATCACCAAGTCGGGGGCGGCCATCATCAAGGATTGCTGCGGCGCCACGCAGTGTGCCGTCATGTAGCTGAGCCGGACCGCTCCACGGCCTCGGACGGACGGACGGACGGACACACCTTCCTGTGGATCAGTGAACCTGTTAACTGGGGGGGGTTCTCCCCCCACCCCTCAAAACTGCTCAGGAGTCTGGTTTCGTAGTAGAATCGCAGATACGTTTTCAGCCACAAGGCTGCAGCTCAGAGTTCTGGAGCTGATGTACGACGAGGAGCTTCTTTAAGTGAAGACACTTCACCGCGTACATAACGTGACGGGAACTGAAAATAAAAAGTTCTTAAATTAGAAGCTGATTTGGTCATGATTCAACATTCCTTTAAAATGATTTGGTGAGGCAAATACTAACAGAAGCATTTTACAGAACTACAAGCACAATGTTCAAAGTATAAATGCTGAGGTTCTCTGACAGACAGGAAAAAGAAGAAGTCATCAATGAGTCATGTTCGAAGACGGGTAATTCTTCCATTTCATCTTTTATCAGCCAGTGAACTTTCACTTTCAAGAGTCTACAACTAATGTTTGATCACATGCCACTCAGATAAACAATATGGCTACCAATTCAATGATTGGCGTGAAAATGTTACAAGAATGCCAGCGTGCGCTTTTTTTCTTTTTTTCCCCCTTTTTTTCCCCAGAGCCGAGCAATATTTTTAACCTGCTGCAACAAAGTCTGATCACATGAGACATGTCGCTGTGTGTGTGCATCTTTCTCTTTAAAGCCCATCACTTCATGTCACGCCACCTCAAGACGAGACTTTGCAGTTCCCAGTCATTCACAACCCTTTCATCATCTTTGTCAACTTCTGTACATGCAAAAACATACGTAGTCACCATGGTGACATTTCATGCCACAAACATGGACCAAACTTCCAGTCATCCCATCGCTGCTCGCTTCATCTCAGCCATCTGCAAATAGGAGTTATTGACAGTCGTAGTATGACAATGAATATTGCATCCTCTGAACTTAGTCTTGCATTTATATGATAACCAGGAAATTAATGCAAATCTTGTAAATGCCTACGATAGATTGTGTATGTTTGAGTGTATTTAGGATATTAGTGACATGTTCCATGAAAAGTGTTGCTCTTTGTCACTTTACTACCTTCCTTCTTACCTTTAACTTATTCTGTAGTAGTGAATTTATGAAAGCCCTTATGTTAAACATTGAACAAATATGCAGAAAATAAGCTGAACGTACTTGTACATACATATTTAAATAAAGGAACTTTGAGGAACTTGCCGGGTTATTTATTTAAGTAATTTGAGTCTTAAACACAAAAAAAAACAGACTAAGCAGAATTGATGCTTGTGAAATTTATTAACAGAAATGTTTTGGTCCCTTTAACGTTAGACTTTGTGACTTTTAGTCTCATGAGGCAGTAAAACTGACTGGGGGGGGGGGGGGGGGGGGGGGGGGGTATAGAGGGAAAACAACAGTGTGAGTCAACAAAAATGTATCACAGGGCAGGCGTTTAAAGGACACTGCTGAATAAAGGAAACATTTTCTTGTAGTGAAAACAGGACCAGATTCAGTTAGACAGCAGAAGACACAAAAACATGTTGCAGCCCCTCCCGGGCCACTACCCAATCTCACATTTGTATTTCATGAAGCAAAACTATGCATAAGTGCATATTTTGACAGGTACAGTAGCTTCTCACTGATCCAACCAAAAAGAGCGCAAGCTAAAAAGAAGTTAAATCTATTCATGAGTTGGTTGCCACTGTAGTCCTCCGGGGAGAGCAAGTCACAAAAAGTTATACATCCCTACAGCCAAAGTGAAATCATTTACACCCGGTTTCTATCATTAACTATTCTAAATCAATAACTATCCATCCCTTAATCAAAGAGTCAGTAAAACATTGCAGGAGAGACCTGAACCCTTAGAGCCCCAATTAAAAACATTTGGATAGACGTTGAAGTTTTTTGGCGAGTTGGCAGGTGGAATATCTCAGCTTTAAAAAGGCTTTTCGTACCAAGTCAAAAATAAAGTCTGGAAAGGAAATCATCAACACTGCCACTTCTGGCTAAAGAGGTAAACACTAGCTGGACAGAGACTGATTAAATGGGCTCTCACCCATTCTTTGAGCCTTTTCTCTGAACGCAAACAACCCTCAGACTTCAACTTAACGGCAGCAGACATTGTTTGGTGGCTATTCAGTAGACAACAGTCTTGTAGACACTTGAGACGGAGGAGAAGGACACATCAGTAGGTATCCTTTTTTCTCCTTTTTTCAAGATGTGGGCAACGGGGATATACAACGGCGATCCCTTTGGCACCGTGGCAGATACAAGCCATTGTAAAAGCCCGGCGGATTCCAGAGAGCCGCACAGCGTCCCGTTTGCTCAGGAGGCTGCACAGAGCCTCTATGCTGCTCCACTAAGAGCTTCCCGCCTCCCGGCCCATCGCTCTCTCCTCTAAAAATCACACAACCAATCACCTAGTCATTAAAAATCAAAAACTCATGAGGGCTCACTGCTGCCCTTGATATCTTCAACTCAGGCATGGACCTTCCCACGCGCGCAGCGCTGATCGGCAACAAGGTTAACTCTTAAAAACCTTGAGCATTCATGTCGCAACTGCGAGGGTGAGGCAAACGCCGAAATCCCTAAAACATGGTGGAAATAAAAGGCCGATCTTAAATGTCTTGCGATCTCTTGTTCCCGTCTGTTCCTCATGGGCTTACACCATGCATAAACTTATTTATGCACACCCTGCATACTTCACGCCACCATCTCCAGTGTAACCCACACAAAACACAGCTAAAAAGGAAAAAAGGCAGCAGCTGCTGGCTAAAGCCGAACATTCAGTTTACTGATCCCAGTTCCTGCTGCCGTAGCACACATCAGGCCTTCGTCAGTGGCCCTGGAGAGATGAGCCAAAGTCTTTGCAATAAATTAAGTCAAAGTACAACAAGAATAAAAATTCCCGAGAGCAGCGTTCGTCACAATATCCGGCAAAACCCTGCGACTGGTGCAGAGACTGTTCAGAACCAGTTAGCTTGAGTTAACAAAAAGCCACAACCTGAACAGTGAACACCGATGTGCAGTTACAACATTGAATCGGCACCAAATACACAACACATTTAGACAAATCTCGTCCGCAGACAACAGAATACTCTGCAGAATATAAAAAGGAACAGAAGATACTGTCACGAGGCTGCTTGACGAACAAAAAAGAAAGAAAAAGAATATACCTCAAAGAGAAGCTACCTCTTCAGAAATCCTTAGTGCATGAAAGACTGAAACGGGCCGGGGCTCAGCGTCCAGTTGACGAGTCTATGGTCACCTACAAAGCAAAATCCATCCCAAACTGTCACAGGAATTTTAAAAATGAATGTTCTAAATCAAATGCTCCATCACTAAGATACAGCAAGAAAATGGTTCACAGGGAGGTTCCTCTATATGGTACATGGACAAAATGGCTCTATAAACCTTCTGTTATTTGTCAATGAACGGAGAAGGTGGGCAACGACACGTCTTTGATGGAACACAGAAAAGTCGCCGATGGCATTTCTCCCACGAACTAATGCTCTGCATACAGTGGCAACGAACTCATCTTTAGACTCTTCAGTCATCGCAAGCCAGTGTTTTATAAACCGCAGATGCGCATGAAAACATTACTTAACGCCCCTTAAGGTGAGATCAAACATAGGTTACAGTACATGAATTGGGCCAACTAAAGAATTGCAGAATACCTGCAAAGAAGAAAATCACAGTTTGGTGAACATCAGAAGAACTCACGGATTGTGAAACAAAGCACAAAGATGCCCAATGAGGAAGAAAGCAACAGCCTGTGGAAGGACGTGGAGGGGGACGCCAACGGTCCTCAGGGGTCACTCCTCTGTAGCTGGTCAACTCTTGTATTTAGAGTTACAATATGTGCGAGTTAGTATTGCTTACATGTGTGAAAAGGATCATAGGCCTGCTGTGAAGGAGAAGTTGGCGGCTAGCTTAATTCTGCTGCGTGTGCCTCGTCTGCTGGGACTGTCCATTGAGGCGGTGCACGTCGCATTGGGCGGAGGGGACGGAGGTCTGGCTGCAGAGTCGTCTGGATCCGATGCGCTTTCAGCAACAGCTGCCACCTCTGGTTCCCCGCTCACTGACAACACACGTACAGAGGGAATAAGAATAAGTGACTCACTCAATACGCATTTTATGACTTTCCGCTTGCATGTTTTTGAAAACTAGACAGCGCATGTGGGTGAAAGGCCACAACAGTCCACTCATTTGTTCGTTTCATAACTACGAAAGGCCAATGCTCTAAGAAGGTTCAAGCCTCCATGGCTCAAAATAGTCAGACAAGCAGACCGGATTAGAGCACACAGCATTGGGAAGATTACTATTAAAAACAAAACAAAAAACAAAACAAAAAAACAAATCAAATTTAGTGGCTGGTTAACATTAACCTGCTTTCAAGTAAAAGCTAAAAGAAAGATTACTAGCATTGCTAAACAGAAGTGAAAAACATTATTCACAAGAAAACAAGTACAGGTGATGAAATGCCAACTTGGAGGATTTAAAAGTGACCTGTTTGTGGCGTTTTCTCCTCAAAGTGAATCAGGTCCGTCTCCTGGAGGAGAACCGGGTCTGGGTGGAGCTGAGGTGAAGGTAGGCAGGATGGTACAGGACCACACAGTAGATCTCCAGATGAGGTCAGAAAAGCCAGCTCGGATTCCGCGGCACCATCTGCCAGGTAAAAAAAACAAAACGAAGAATTTAGTTTGGCTCAATAGTAATACAATTACTTTACTATATTCCTAATTAACAAACAAACTAATCGTGGTATAAATACGCGTGTGACCTGTGATGGTAAAATGGCCGCTGTGTTTGAAGAAAGGAGGGCGAGTCAACATGCTCTCGTAAAGCAGGTGAGACAATTGGGGTACAGTTGAGGATGTGGTAGTTGGCAGTTCCTTTTCTTGTGTCTTTGGGGGCAAGTTTCACAACCTAGTGTCATATGTATCAGTGGAAATTCCCAGAGACTCACTGTAATACGTGCTTGTGTATTTGATCCCCCGCTTGCAAGCAATACATTGACTTTTACAACTTCGATCATTCATCAAGACTTTTTACTAGATAAGCATTGAAACAAATCATTCCCTTCTCCCGTACTAGTAAGAATACGTTACCTGGACTATGGGTTCCAGAAGTGGCGATGCTAGTCAGGCTGGACGTTGGGCTCTCCATGCTCTGTCCCGGCTGGGGGCTACAAGGGACTGAAGGGCTTGCCCTTGCTACAGAAAGAAAACAAACTCAAATCTTTGTACTTTCTTTTCATTCTTGTTGTCGGCTCCACTTGAAAAAAAACAACCCAAGTATTCATGGTTCCAAAAACCATCATATGATTAGTCTGTAAATGCCATTTGCAAACTGATAAGCTTGACTTTAACAAACAAAGCATGCCATCACCTTTCATATCGTTCTTCAAAACGATAATCCTCTTGTGACCGTGCCCTTTGATCCAGACGACCTGATAATGACACGCAACAAAGCAATGACACAAAATGGGCAGATAGTGCAGCGTTCCATCAAAACTCAGACTAGAAACAAAACACAAATTGATAACGGGCAGAAGGAAATGCGATCCCACCTGTGGAATGGCGCTGAGCAGCTCGTCGGTGCTGGTGTATCCGAAGGGACGCGGCTCGAGGCCGCAGCCCGTGAATTTGCTGTAAGCCGCCTGGAACTCCGTCAGGAAGATCTGGTTGTAATGGTAGGTGTGGAGCAGGGCGCGCACGTTACGGGCAAACTGGTAAAGCCTCGTTAGCCTCACCCACTCCTCGCCGTAACCACTGGCACCGTTGCCAGCGTTGTCATCGTTGTTATTTTCTATATTATACAACTGTGGAAAGAAGAGAATGTGACTAGAGCACAGGGACATGGAAGATTTTGCTTTTCCCGTCATCTTTGAACGCATTCTTGCCTCCACAAGGTAGGGCAGGCTCTTGAGTAACTCGCTGAGAGAGAGGAACCCATATTCACATGGGTTGAGCGGGGCTCCGTAGACAATCAGGTAATGCTGACTCAGCTCCTCCACTCGGAGGCCCCTGGTGACTTGCTGCTCCTCTTGGGACATGAGCAACGCCAGCAGCTGGGAGGTGAGCGAGCGCAAAGACTTCCTGTTGATCAACTGCACCTCGCGGCCCTCCGAGCCGTCCGCCACCTTGAAATTTAAAGAACGTTACAGCTTGATTGTTTTGATGAAAACTATTTGTTTGATCAATTTACTTTTTGATCGTATGTGCAGGTTGAAGTCATCTACTGAGCTTTTAACTTTTATTCCTGGGTCCAAAGAGCAGCGATAGATTTGATCGAAAGTCTCCCAATGCTTGGTTAATTGGACTTTAACGAAGAATGCATTCAAATACATGATTGACAGGCTTATTAATTGGCTAGTTAGACTTGCCAAAGAAGCTGTAGCATTGAGTGGATCATTTTGTTTCGCTGGATGCCAGTAGTGTCTCATATCTAAAGCAGATGAAACTCCCGTAATAAAAAGGATTCTTGTATTTCGAAGACTTACAGCAGCACGAACGGAAACTGTGAAATGTGACCAATAAAAACACTAGACTCTTTACCTTGACTACATGGCAGAGTTTGGCCAGCAGAGCCGGCAGGGAGCTGGCGTCGTAGTCCTGCAGGCGGAGCCCATAACCGAAGGTCTTGCTGTACTCTGTGAGCAGCTGGCTGACAGGAAGGCTGGAGTTCTTCTGAACCCGGAGCAGCTTGACCAGCTGAGCCGCCAGAGCCTTAATGCGCTCGACTTCTGTCAGAGTCAGCACTTTCTCTTCACCGCATTCCAACACCTGACAAAATAAAAATAAATAAGACTGGGAAAACATTTTTACGCGATTAAAAAAAAAAAAAAAAGATTCAATAACACCGTTCAATACAAACACATGACTTTTGACACAAGCCTGTAAATACAACGGGAGGAGCTTAATGATTAGAAAGTATTGGGTCAGTTTGAAGCTAGTCAGCTTGATAAAGCAGATGGAAACATACAAGTCATGAACTAACAACAGTCCACGTCTAGAGATTTCATCCTGGACCTTGCAATCATTTGTTTTGGCTGCACGACATGGACGCCAAGGACGTGGTCGGATAACAGAAAAACCCGTGAATTCCTCATTGTTGGGGGTTGTCGCAGGGCAGTACAATACAAACACCTTTTCCAACTCACCATCACTATGTTGGGGATGGCCTCGAAGAGCTCCATGAGCTTGGTGAAGCCGTAGTAGCTGAGCTTGCACTGCCGACCGAAGTGATGGTGGTAGGTGGGGATGAACTTACTGAAGGCCATCCGGCAGTGCGGCTGGTGGCGGAGCAGGTCCACCACCTCCTTCCCAAACTGCTTAGTGCGCTCTATTTCGTCCGCCGTGCGCTCTGCAGGGACATAAGAGAAATGTAATCAATGAAAAAAGTAGAACTTCAAATTACCAACATCAGTATGGTTCAATACAATCAATCAATCAATCCATCCCTTAAGAGAATTAAAGTACTTTCATATGCCAGTAGCATTGTAATTAGTTGCTTTTAAAACATTTAATTAAAAAGAAAATGTACATTTAAGAACAAACGTTTCTTTGGGATGACAGAAATAACCGTTCCCATCGCCCTTTGTAGAGAAGAAGCCTAGACAATTTAAAGCGGTGGTAACAGACCTCTCTTGGGAACAGAGATGACGGTATCCATGTCCTGATGCGTTATAGTGATGGTGGTGTCTGGGATCTCAGTCAAAAGGTCCATCAGGTCACATGTGCCGTAGTCTATTACCCTCCAGTCTCTAGAGAAGCACCTGATGCACAAGATTACATTACAAACATTAACAATACAACTTTTTAATACTTTCCTCCTCCTTTACAGACAGAGCTATTTGTAAACTTTACATTTAGCTCAATGAAATTCTAACTTCCAGAAAGTATAAAGGCATTGTAAATACAGAATCTTAATCTGTAAAATATGCTGACTGACCAATGGTATGCCTGCATGAAGTCCTTGATTGACACGTGTTTGCTGGCTTGAAATTTAAGCAGTTTGAGAAGGTCTTGGGTGAAGCGCTTCACTTGAGCACGATGAGTCAGAGTCAGTAAACGCTTGGTACCCATACCCAATATCTGGAAGCAAAGAAAATAAATAAACACAAAAAACATGGAATAAAAACAGTTCAGAGTTCGTCATTAACCGGAATACCTGCAGGACATGTGGCACCGCCTCCAGTAGCTCCAGCAGCTTGGAGTAGCCGTAGTCAGAGACACGGCACTGCTTGGCAAAGTGATGGTGGTAAGAAGGTATGAACTTGCTCATGGGCATGAGGCAAGACGGCTGACTCTTTAACAAGTCAATTATCTCACGGCTGAATTGGATGAGTTGCGGGTTGCCAACTGGACTCTTGCAGCGCTGAATCCATGGCTCTTCAAAGAAAAACGTTTTTTGTATTTCAATTTAAATGACAGAATTTGATACATCTGGATGGTAATTTTTTTATTTTTTATTTTTTTTTTTTTAATGTTGCCTACCACAGTTTGGTGCTGGTGGTTTGTTGTGGATCCACTTGATGACTTTGAAGCCATTCTGAGCCGTGACGATGGTGATACTGGGAACACAAGTAATTAGGTGCTCCAGAGGAACCCCCCCCTCCAAGGTTTCATTTCCCAGCTGCAGAAGGCCGAATTTAGCTGCGTAGCAGTCTGGAAAACTACGTGAAAAATACAGAATTACAATCTTATACATTTGAGTTTTATTAGAATGATAATAAAAATACATTTAAAGAGCTGGTTGTAACCTTAGTAATGGAAGAGTTCCCTCATGTGACTGCAGAAGACTGTGGACCTCCGATGCAATGGTGCTCAGCGACATTACAACAAAAGGTATTTGATAAGAGTCAGGGTCAAAGTCAGCCTCACTAAAAAAAAACGAGAAAAAAAAAAAGATTAATAAGACAATCCGTTATGGAAACGTATGTAGACAAGTACGTATGGGCGGGTCAGATGCTTCCAGTTGGCCAACAAAACGAAACACTAAACAGAAAATACAATTTAAATACATAAAATAACTAAAGCTTTCTCAGCTGAACAAGTTTCAAAGGAACCAGCGTCCATCGTAGTGAATGTCGTTACACATTTTGCATCATATCACAAACAAAATTGTAATAACCTGAAGTCCCGCTGTGTGTAATGTTCTCTGCAGACTGGTTCATGGTACTCCAACTCCTCAAAGACCACGGGGCTGCCGCCGGCAGAGGAGCCCTCCTGCGACTTGGAAGATCCCAGTGGGCTCTGACGGATTTGGCTGCTGGGCAGAAGGCACACCAGCCTGGAGCCTCCCTGCTCCCGCACCGCCACCACATCGGGTAGCCTGTACAGATCCCCAGCCACCAGCTTACGGGAATATCTGGAGAGAGGAGCATGTCGTTGGGCCACACAAAACTACTCTGAAAAGCACATCACCGCTATGGAACTGCTTTACTCAAAGTAAAACAAATTCTACGAGTAAAGTGGAGACAAAGCTACTTACTTTTTTTCATAGATCTCTGAAAACTTGAAGAGGGGAAGGCAACTGGCAGGTGCATCTTGAAGAATGCTGATGATCTCCGAGCTGTATAGTTAAAGAGCAGAAATTTACCCTCACAGTCCAAACAAAGGAGTCTAAAGAAAACAAACTTCAACTAAAATCAACTGTACCTGAGCAGGAAAAGGGATTTGTTGCTTCCACCAGTGATCAGAGACACCTGGATCCGCTTGCCTCCGATCTTGTAACGGTGCAGGCCACTGACTGCACTTATGGCCTGCTGCAGGGAAAACATCTGGATTGTGGCCTTGAGCTGATAGTCTGTGTGGGGGTTAAGCTCCACAGCTTTTACCTGGACAAAAAAAAAAAAGAATCACGTGTCAACAAAAATGTAATAATAATCATTTAAATCCTTACACCTGGGCTTTACTACAGTACTAAATCAAATATCTGCTGTGAATAAGACAGGACTGAGTTGGCCATACCCGGCCGTAACGGGAGAATGTTTCATGCAGCGTCTGCTGCAGATCCTTGCGAGACATTCTGTAGTCCAGGTTGGCCACCTGGACCTCTGCCCCATCCGAGAAGGGCTCATGTGGACCTTCAGGACACGGGCTACGAGTGGCAGCCGGTAGGGGGGAGGACCGGCTGGACAGACAGGGTGATGCACTCCTTTTGTTAGAGAAAAGGCAGAGAAAACTTCAATGAAGGTTTGGAGAATGTATGCAGCATTAGCAATATGCTACCTCTGCACAATGGTGCAAGTTGACTTATTAAAATATGACCCAATACGTCACCTGGATGACCAGGAGCCCGGAGACAGGATGAGGGGACTGAAGCTCCTGTGCAGGTTCAACTTGCTGAAGGCTGAGGGTGTGCTGATCTGGAAGTCCCCTGAGCTCCTGTCCGCCTGTTCTATAGGGGATTCGGTCACACTACGAGGGTGCGAGCCGTCTCTTCTACATGGAGATGAAATAAAGATCATTAAGGGAAATTTCATCCCATTATCACTTTACTTGGACTAATATCACTCTTTCCTGTGCACACCTCTTCCTGTACATGGACTCTCCCGTGAGGCCCGGCTTGGAGAGCGGTTCCACGGCTCCCGTCTCACCATTACTCTGAGGGGACGAGGAAGCAGCGCGTCCTTTCTCCAGGGGGTGGAAGCTCATTCTGGGCTTGCCCTCCAAAATACCCGGATCCTGGACCAGAGAGAGGCAGCAGATGTTAATACTGTAGATGGCGGGTGGCTGGATACGGCTGATGTGTTGAGAGGTGTGTGTGTGTGTGTGTGTGTGTCAGGGAATGGCATTTGGAAGTTTAATTAGGGTTGTACATTGAAAATCAACTGGCTGAAGAGAAAACAGCAGTAATCAACACAAATTATTTGGTGCATCCAAGCTCTTATGAGCTTTGTTATTAACAGCTTATTGGTAGTCACACTGTACTAGGTACTCCAAGAACAAAGCTGATAGTCATGCATTTTCGGTACTCCTAAACTTAATCGTAATGTTACCGCTGTATTCCCATTTTGCTCGAGTTGGGCAGGTTAAAACCGTTTGTCTTCCACACTGGTTTAATTTCATTCTACACATTTCAAACAGGAAAAATTAGGACAAAACAAAAACCGAGGCATGGCGCACATTAGTTACATTAAGTATATCAGCACTGATATACTGGAAAAAACACAAGCTACAGGCTATTTCATGCACTAAAATGCTAAATGACCAAGGACTATACAGGACAATAGGAGACATATGAAGTGCTAATGATAACTAATGCATGCTAGCACAAGCAGACAAGTGAAGCTTAGTGTGCAGCTCAAGGCGGTTAGTCAAAGCAGCAGTTAGAGGGACACTGGGCTGCAGCCCAGACAAGGACAGAGGGCGGCGGAGGTTATGGGGGAAGCAGGCACCGACGAGTCTGCTGACCTGATGGGGCTTTGCTGGAGCACCACCGGGAGGCCCACTGCACCCCCTCCTGGGGCTGTAGGGCCTTTCTGGCAAGGGGCCAGAGGCATGGCTTGGGCGGGTTGCTCGCCGTGGCCTCCTGGGTGACCTCTGCATCCCCAAGGGCAGAAATGCGGAGGTGGATAGGGACAGGGGCGATTCGAACATAAAGTCCTGGTTTTGACCGGTCTGGGCCAGAGTCAAGGGGTGGGGCCGAGACTCCGGCTCAGGCTCAGGCTCAGGACTTGCATCGTCTCTAGGCCGCGGGGAGAAGGAGACGCTGATTCGGCGGCCAAATACATCCTCATTTTCCATTCGCTTGTGGGCACGCGCAGCGGCCTCGGCGCTGCCGAAACGGAGGACGGCTGTGCCCTGGGCCACGCCCAGCACCTTGCCACCACAGTTGTCTGATAGGCGGCGTAGCCTGAGCTTCACGGCGTTCCGTAGGCTCTTGTCACAGTTGACAGGGAGGTTGTGCACATAGAGGAGGTTGAAACTGGGCTGAGGGAGGGGAGGAAGAGCCTGTCTGGTTTGTATGATTTACACTTTAAAATTAAAGCAGTCTTCCTTTTAGTTGAAAAACAATGGCGCAGGGTAATTGAGGTTATGGAAAACTTAAATCCAAAAAATAATAACTGCGTGAGTAAATGGTTGCAAAGTTTATCAAATTCACATTCCAACTGCCTGTCTCCCCTGTTGGATGGTCCGCACTGAAATTAAATTCTCCGTGGTTACATTTGCCAAAAGCTACTCACCTTATTTAATACAGAACAGATCTAAAAGAAACATTCAGTCCTAATGAAGCATTTGTGGGGCCTACCTGTGCTTTGACAAGCAAACGTGGGGGCAGATCAGCCGTGATGTCCTGGAAGGCCATGTGGCGGTGGGCATGCTGCAGCAGGGCTGAAGATGTATGGCTGCCATGGACCAGGATCACCTGGAAACCATGGCGATGACGCAAGTCACTCAGCTCACTTGCAAAGTTCACATCCGCTAATAAAAACAAAAAGAAAATGCACATCATTACAAAAAAAAGTTGTGTGTGATGTGTGATGTCAAGGTTTGTAGTCCTGGACATGAGATGTGGACTCACAGGATACCAGTACAACAGTTGCAGGTGCCGTGTGGGTCTCAGCAAAACGTCGCAGGCTCTGGCGAAGCTTGTCATCTGCAGCATTCTTGGCCGTGGCGTTGATATGTGCAACAGTAACCTGATGTGACGAACTCATTTAGTTGATTGCTTTTGTGCGAAATCATTGGACTTGTTTGTAATTTTATGGAGATCAATGTGTGAGGTCACTCTGGCTAGCATAAACTGTAGCTCAAGGGCACCAATTCAGGTTTAAATGTCCCTCATAATGAGCGAGATCATAAACAATACACATTTGATGGTACCTGGCAGTTGTTAAGCTCTTGGATGACGGCTTTATTCTCCTTACTGATATCACAGACACAGATGAATTCTGCCTCACGGTGGCCCTGAAAGAAGTTGCTGCGAATACGCTGGACCACAGCGCCAGCGCAGCGCCCGCTAGGGACACTGCAGTTCTCAATGTCCCAGAAGACGCCCACCGGGGGGATGTTTTCAGGACCGCCATTCTCTGGAGAACCTACCAAACCGGTTGCAAACAATCAGAAAAATATATTTCTGGCTTTAACAGCCTGAACGTTATCAGTCCAAACAATATTTCACAAGACCAACAGCAAAAAAAAAATAAATGTAGCATCCACTAACCATACTTCTGGCCAGTCTTGCCAAGGTTGGCTGACGGCATTAGCATCATGCCATCAGAGGCCGTTCCACAGCCATTACAAATGGGAATAGGCATAGGAGCAGACTGGGGAATAGGTGCATTGGGCCACGCCTTCTCCAAGTCAGATGCCAGACCGTTCATGGGCTGCAGGTGGGTACAAATCAGTACAAAGGTCAGTAGGAATGCGTAAAAATAAATACAAACTAACTTCAACTGCGAGCAACACTCTCCACAGACATAAGGAAAGTCTCACATGGCAAGGACATCCAACAAATAACAAAGTTACCTACATAGATCTCTTGGGTACACAGATATAAAAGACAGGCCACACTTTGTGAAGTGAACTCTACCAACCTTCAACAGGCACTCCTGGCAGTAGTGTGCGCCCTTCACACAAACCGTGCGTTCTACATTTAGGTGCATAGGATTGGAGCAGAAGTGTGCTGAGGTGGTTGTAGTGGTGATGGTTGGGGGATCACCAAGTGTGGTTCTCTGGGATCTTCTGGCCAACGGGCAGCAGTCAGCACCACAGGTGTAGTAGCCAGAAGAGGCCAGGCAAGAGCCACGCAAGGGGGTGGGTGTAGAGGAAACAAAGGGGAGAGAGGAAGCCAGGGGTGCAGAGGAGTGAAAGAGGCTGGGTTGACTGCATGAAAGCGGTGCACCTGGGTATGTGTGGAGAAGCCCTGAGCAGCAGGAGAGGTAGGGTTGTGACGAAACCGGCTGAGAGGTAGCAACAGAAGACGACAGCGGAGGTTTGTAACCGAGAGGAGGCAGGAAACCAAGAGGTTCACCTCCACTTCTGCAGCTCATGTGTTTGTACTGATGGACAGAAGCTACAGAGCAGAGGTCTGAACTGCCAATACTGCTGGTGCTGATGGGTGCTGCTAGGGAGCCTGGGGCCATATAGAGCGAGACAACCCCAGCGATACTGCTGCTGGTACCAAGAACATTCCCGCCACCTGATAACCTGTAGGCATCTGCGCTGCAATAGTCACAGTGCGTGGAAATGCTTACTTTAGGGCTAGTCCCCTCTTGTTGCAGCTGTGATTGTGGCGGTTGCTGGTGGGAGTCGTGTGTAAGCTGAGGAGGAGGAGGCAAGCGGGGAGGAGGCATAGCGAGAGGGGCCAGAGGGAAGGGCTGAGATGGATGGGAAGAGGATGTATGGTGTGGAGGAGGAGGGACATCTTTCAGTTCCAGCACGGCCTTCCTGCTATCCATGTAAGTGTTCTGTAACAGAATGACCAGCACATTATTTCACTTTAATAATGTTCTGTTGATCCGTTATTGATAACAAGCTAAAATCTTCAACAAAAGGGAAACATCTGAAGCTGTAGAATTATATAAACAGCACTTTTGATGGATAACCGTCCCAACTGCATTTAAAAATGTCACAGCTATGATGTAACGCAGACACGGTAGTATAGATATGTATGAAATAAACAACGCAGGATAGTTCCCTAGAACCACATCTCTGATAAAGAGCCTGGGTGATTGTCCCTTGGTGCCAGTGTACACTAAATACATAGAAATACGTACTTCTGTATCTGCGCGGTGAGCAGAAGGCGCCTCATTGGTGGGGAAGCGGTCGTCGAGCTTCCATAGCAGGGTGGAGGCCTCCGTCTGGGGGTGTCTGAGCCATGGGAAGGGTCTAGAGCTGCATAGCGATCTCTCGGCTCCCAGTCCTTCCATTACACGACCCGCAGAGGTCTTTCACCATACTTTCTCCGATCTTCTCTCTCATGCTTTCCTGTAAAGAGGAAAACGAAAGTTATCAAAGTGCAGCTGGTCGCACTTTCAATTGCATGTGATTACGTGAGACGCGTGTTGGACTAGTTTACTTCTAGGAAGCCAATCAACGCAGTAGCGTTTTGCTAAAGTAGTTCAAGCGAAGCAATCGACGTTATCGATAACTAGCCACAAGCTAGCTCGCGATCCCGTTTTGTTTTTTTTACCCGAGCGTCTCGGCTAACTTAGCTAACGTTACTTGACGTAAGCTGATTACAAAATTAATTAACGTGAACTGGTTAAACGGCTAGACGGCAATTTAACTAATGAGCCGTCGTTCACTTCCGTTACCGTGAGATTGTTTCCCAGGAGCGAGCGTTAAGATTTAAGCGAACAACGGACACCATTCGTTAGCTTGTTAAACAGGCCGCCCGTCGCCTTCACGGTAAACAGCTAAAGAAATGTCTTTAAAAGTGAGTTAGTCGGATACCTGGAAAGACCTCGTCTCTTACATCCTCCTCCAAGCACTGTTGTTGCTCCCGTCTGGCGCCGTAGGCTCCCCGCACCTTTTTGTAACCTACTTCTGCCAGAAATCACTCTCAGCTGTCGCAAATGTTGTTGTTGTTGTTGTGACTGGCACGCGGAGGTATTAGACGCGTTCACATTTAGCGCTGTTTTTTTCGTTTGTTTAAACAAAATGAAATAAATACAAATCTTGAAACACTGTTATTTCGTTGCATACGTGCGTTGAATTAGGTTTTTAAATTGGGCCATAAAATGTGCTAGAAAACCACGCACGTTATCACTCTTTGATAGCCATGATGATATTTTGTTTGGCCTTTAGACACATGTCTTAGATTATGTTGAACCTATCTTGTTATTTTATTTACTCACTGAGATTTAATTTACTCTTTTGTGCTGTCAGGATTTTTTTGCATTTCATCATGTTTTGAGTATTTCCATTCAATGCTACGTTTAGCTAATTAGAATTAGAATTCTCCCGTTTGTATTCCTTAGAACATAGTTTGACCAACTTAAATAGTATTGCTTGGATTAAACCAAACATCACTAATAACATAATGTATTCTGAATTGATCCATTACCTAAATACCTAAAAATACTCATCATGCAGATAAACGCAGTTATGGAAAAGTCACTCAAAATAAAAGACTATCGTATTATTCTTTGTCTCTAAAAGCCACACTGTCCCACCCTGTCTGCATGTCGGGCTTTATGTTTGGCATGTGCACTTCATGGCACAGCAGCGCTCTCTAGCGGCCGGCAGGGACGCACAATGCCTGTGATGACTGGGCCACAGTAACGGGACAGCAGCTTAACCATCAGTCCCAGTTGGGAGCGGTGATGGATTAACAATAACGCACCAGTGTCTTAAACTCTACTCGTTTCTATTCTGCGGTTGTTGTTGTTTTTTACATTTATTTGAAACCTCCCGCGCAGTTCGCTTTGGACTAATTGAAAATACGCTCGACTTTTGCATCAATTAAACAACACCGGCTTCTTGTTCGCGTCCGTCATGGCGATCGCGCACGTAGCCACCGAATACGTTTTTTCCGATTTTTTGTTGAAGGACCCCACCGAGGCCAAGTACAGAGGCGTGCGTCTGGAGCTGGCGGTGGACAAGATGGTCACGTTTCTGGCGGTGGGACTGCCTTTGTTTCTCATCTCCCTCGCTTTCGCTCAAGAGGTGTCAGTGGGTGAGTTGCTGAATTTGTGGGCATCCTGTCAGGAGCATCCGTCATCACCACCATCACCACCACCACCACCTCCATCTGAGGGTATCAATCCTGTGGGTTTCGGGAGCCTTGCTAAGCTTCTTTGTCCCTCTCCGGATGCCTGCTGCTGTGGACACGTTTTATTCCAATTAACCAAACAGCATGAATGGAGATGTATTTTATTCAGATTAAGGCCAGAACAATCGAGGTGTGAAGGTTGGAGAGGGTGTGGTTTAAGTCTCCACCCTTCTGTTTATCTCACGGCCAGAGAGAGAGAGAGAGAGAGAGAGAGAGAGAGAGAGAGAGAGAGAGAGAGAGAGACGTTCTGCTGCTGTTGATAATTGTGAGGATAAGGCTGATGGTGATGAGGGTAATAGGATGTTTGGGCAGTTCATAGTGGGGTGAGGACTTGAGTAAGTAATAGAAGAACAGCTCACACAAATGAACAGAAAGTAATCTGCTTTCTTTTTCAGTCTAAGACTAAAATATAAACATCTTTATCAGCGTTTTAACAAATCTATGTTATCGTCATAATGTTCGCAGTCTGTAAAATTAAAATGTTGTATTCAGAATCCATCCATCCATCCATCCATTGTCAAACCGCTTATCCTGCACGCAGGGTCGCGGGGGGGCTGGAGTCCATCCCAGCCAACTTCGGGCGATAGACAGGGTACATCCTGGATTGGTCGCCAGCCAATCGCAGGGCTACACAGAGACATACAACCATTCACACTCACATTCACACATCTACGGGCAATTTAAAGTCCCCAATTGACCTGATCCCCAGAGCATGTCTTTGGACTGTGGGAGGAAGCCGGAGAACCCGGAGAGAACCCACGCAGACACGGGGAGAACATGCAGACTCCACACAGAAAGGCCACTGGGCGGAATCAAACCCAGGACCTTCTTGCTGTGAGGCAACAGTGCTAACCACCACGCCACCATGCCGCCTGTATTCAGAATCACTATTGTTATTTTTATTTTTTATGTTAGAATATTTTGTTTAAATGATATACGTATTATACTATATTATTATATTTCTGTTTGATAGTCGGTTTAGTTATTTTCATTAATATTTTCTAGTTATTTGGGTAGTTTTGGGTTAGTTAGTTTGTTAGTTGGGTAACCCTGACGGTCCCTGGTGGTTAGTAAAAGTCAGAGAACAGTATGAACTGTCCATTATGTAAAAAGCCCTGTGCTTCGTTCTCCAAACAAACACTATATAAAGATTGAATCGTTGATGTAAACCAACACATAAATACTTTTGCAGTGAGAATGTGTTCAGTTAGTTTAAAGAATACTCTGTATATTAATATTAGTATGGCTGTTGGTAACTATCTGGGTCATTTGTGACTTGTACACGCCTGATTGAACCCCCTCCTCACAATACCAGCAGTATGGCTTAATTACTGACACAAAGTATGTTAAAAAAAACCACCAACAAATTAGAGCTGGAAGACTGACAATTGTGCAAGTCTTTGTTTCTCTTTTCAGAATCTCTAAAAGGAGTCAGCTCATGTTAACTCTTTACTTTCCTCCCCAAGGTACACAGATCAGTTGCTTTGCTCCAACTAACTTCTCTTGGAAACAGGCCGCATACGTGGACTCGTTTTGTTGGGCAGCTGTACAGCAACAAAGTGACAGCTCGCCGCTATGGCTGCACAAGGTACATGTTTCTGTCTTTAATTTTCAACCACAAATGCCCATTGACATGTCACTGTGTTGTTATAGGCTTTTATAGGCAGAGTGCGGTAAGACGGGTGTGGGAAACGTATAACCAATCACCAGACATGCTCAGCTAAAGGTGGCGGTATCCATGATAAACACAGATCTCAGAACACAGAACTTCTTAAATGATCATACATAGTTATTAAAAGATCTGAATATCTGTTCTGATGCACAGCAGTTTACAGTGAGAAGAAATAATACCTGATGTCTATATTCCTATGACTTTGAGGAATTTGGTTACAAAGCAACTTCCAATTTCCAAGCAATTAAGGAATACAGTACACAATAACCGCAAGGAAAAGTACTATATTAATGTATTCTTTCAAGGGGTTTTGATTGAAATAAAGAGGAGAGTTGATCTAATCTGATGTTGAACACCATCACCCATCTTGTATCGGGGTACATTTTTCTGTCAAGTGAAAGAAAATCGCCATGGCTGTCATGAGGGAGCCTGAGTAAGTCATTGGGGCCTCTAGCAGTTCCTGGTTACTCCCGTCGCTCTTCTCCAGGGGGGGGTTTCATGGTCTTCACAGTCTTGGTCTGGTATCTGGTCAGAAGGGCCTCTAATTGTCTCCCCACTAATTTATAGATGTAATAAAAGTGATCACAGTCTGGTTTGTAGGGGGACTGGAAGACGCCTCCTTCAAGCCGTCCCTGTGTTCTGCTCCTAAATGTTTACAGAAGTCCTGTTTGGTCTTATTTTTCTCTCTTCTCTCGTCTCTCTTTCTGTGATTCCCTCAGTTCTTCCCATACATCCTGCTCTTACTGGCCATCCTCATGTACATCCCGGCACTGTTCTGGCGTTTCTCTGCAGCTCCTCACCTCTCCTCTGACCTGAACTTCATCATGGAGGAGCTGGACCGCTTTTATAATCGAGCCATCAGAATGGCCAAGAATCTAGCAGCCTTAGATAGCAAAGCTGCATCCGAGGACACCCAGAGGTAAACACCTCGTTGCTGCTCACTACTATGTCCTCTTCAGCAGGAGATGAGATGATCTTTTTCAGGTAAATACTGTGACGTTTGCGTTTCTTTTTAAAAAACGCAAAAATGTCCCTCTCTTCTGCAGTGTTTTGGATCTGAACGACAGTTGCTTCAAGTACCCTTTGGTGGAGCAATATCTAAAAACCAAGCGCTTCTCTCGCTGCCTCGTGGTGAAGTACCTATCAGGTCGGGGCCTGACTCTGCTGACCCTCCTGCTGGCCTGCGTCTACCTAGGCTACTACATCCAACTCGCCTCCCTCACCGACGAGTTTTCCTGTAACCTGCGTACCGGGGTGCTGAAGAACGACAGCACGGTGCCGTCCGCTGTGCAGTGTAAGCTGGTTGCAGTGGGAGTCTTCAGGCTGCTCAGCTACATCAACCTGGGGGTCTACGTGCTTCTGGCTCCGCTGGTGGTGTACGCTGCTCTCGGACCAGCTCGCCAGAGCTCCAGCTTTCTCCGGCCTTACGAGCTGCTGCCGGGCTTTGGCGCTTTGGGTTTGGTCACGCCCTTCTACAACGACCTCAGTATCTACCTGCTGTTCCTGCAGGAGAATTTGAGCGAACTGAAATCATACAAGTGTCTGCAGGTCAGTGAAGATACTGTCGGCCTGTAGTTAGAACACCTCATTGGGCGTTTGCGTTGGCTTTTTCTGTGGAAAACTAAGCGTCTTGACGTATTTACAGGTGCTTGGGTTGTTGCAAGAGGCTGGTGACGAGGGTTTCGACACCATGTGCCTGCTGCGAACTCTGGGTCAGGTGAAGACTGACGTGATAGACAGTGAGAAGACGTGCTCACGCAAGAACAACAAAGAAACTACTAAAGCTGAGGAATGATTCCTCTGAGGTAAGGACGAAGATTTACCCTGTGTAAACTTCAGTGAAATGAACAGATTATGTGGTGGATTTAACCTTGAACATGTTTAATTTTCCTTCATTTCTGCATGTTTCCCTATTGATTCAACAGCAAAGGAATGAGATCTGCTGCGGTGGAAAAGAAGATCAGTGAGAAAACCTGTGCACTTACATTTTCTATGAATTGCTGGTGACGTATTGCCTTACAGCAGTTTAATACACATCAAAAACAGAGGCCTCCATACATGCACACAGTCTGTAGTTTGGCCAGAGGACATTCTATTTATCCGATGTCTTATTTTTAATAAATGTGATTATTCCAAGTTTTAGGCGATAGGCTGCTGACCCTTTACGCTGTTTCTTTTTCTATGGTAGATGCTACTTTTCTCTTACCTGATATCAGACAGAATTGTCAGTTGTTTCTAATTGTAACACTGTGGAGCCGGCAGATTCAAAAGTCTGGACCGAGCATAATATCAACATTAATTGTTTGGTAATATAAGAACCTCTAGAGCAGCCGTGTCTCGACTGTAAACATGCCTTTATTTATGCATAGATGTGCTGTTAACAACAGGTGGTATACTGCATGTTGAAAGTAAAACAAGACCGTGGGTTGTCCAGACAGATGGAGAGATGGCAGCTGTTCCTTTCATATGAAAGATGGATGAAGTTTCTTAGAGGAAACAGAATGCCAATAACACTGGTCTGATTTAACCGATGCAGCTTTAGTTGGCCTTATACAATGACGTTAGTTGTTTCCCTTTATATAATTTATGTGAAGTTTAAGTCTAATCTGAATGAATTCCATTTCACGCTTCTTGTAAAATATATTAATTTCCAGAATACTTGTGACCAGGGAACTAGAAAGGTCTGTACATAATGCAAACAACTGCCTTGCAATAAATACGATACCTAAAAGGTAATTGTGAATTGATCTTGGTCTATTGTGTGATATTGCATTGCATTATATGGTAATGCTTAAATTTGGGAGGAAAATACTAGAAACACCATACAAACTGTAATAGTTTGCCCTTTTCATTGTACTGCACCATATGCGCATATCAACAGGGGGGGTAAGACAACTACCGCTACAGCTATGAGCGTTGTGTTGTGTTGTGGCTCCGCTTCCCGCAGCTTTAAGTGTGTTGGGTAATATGATTGGATGATACGGTCGCAACGTCATCGATGTTGTCCAATCGCGTCCGAGAAGTGAAGCTTCGTTTACATTTGGTTGGTGATTCGAGCACCGTCTTAACGTTACGAGAGATTAGTTAGTGCAATCACAATCCGGCTGTTGCAAAAGTCTCCAACATTTAGTTCTACCGCTTAAAATATTTCCTTAGCTACAGCTTGTTTGAATCATTCCCTTATATGCGGGTGAGTCCGACTAGTCTCCGTGTTTTTGCTGTGTTTGGATCTCACATTCTGGCTAACGTTAGCTATAAGTTACAACGTTAAGTTACTTAGCTGAGTCAGCTAGCTGACATTAGCTTCGTTAGCCACATGCACCGTGCAGCGCCGCTGTTGGCTTTTTAAAGTTTCTAATGCGTTCAGTTCATGTATTTACGTTTCCTCACTCGATACAAGTAAATGCCATAACATGCTTCTGTAGTTTTAGTACGCTAAATAGCGCTGTAGATTAGCGCTAGCTAACTAACGCTTCGCTAGCATCGGCTAACCTCAACAGTTATCCTGTTGGGATGTTTAGGATGTTTCTGCTGTTTTGGCAGATGCACGCGGTGTCAAATCAAACACAGTGACGTTGCCGTGGTTTACAGTTAATAGGTCGCCGATCCCCGTTATCCTGACACGACGCTGCAGACATGGCAGAGCCGGCGTCACGCACGTTTGTGTCCGCAGCAGAAGAGCTGGGCTTCTGGAAGGAGCAGGCAGAGGCACATCAGCAAAGGTAGCGATGCTCCACGTTAACATAAAAGGAAACGCCACTCATTAAGAATGTTTAATAGGCACCTGAAATCACAACCATGCAATGTCACACAGCGTGGGGGAAGTGAGTTAACGTTATATGTGGGCGTTAACATGGTCTTGTCATCAGGGCTGATGAGGCTCAGGAGGAGCTGCAGGAGTTTCAGCAGATGAGCCGAGACTATGAAGCGGAGCTGGAAGCAGAGCTGAAACAGTGTGAGGGTCGAAACAAAGAGCTGCTTCTAGACAACAACCGACTACGCATGGAACTGGAAAGCATAAAGGTTGGGCCCCTGCAGATCTGATGCTCCAGTTACTGACAAGTGATGAGGACAGAGACCATTAGCTGACCCATATTCAGCATTGCTGCTGCGATCAGGAAAATTGCTGCCTTGCTGTTAGGCAGCTGACCGCTATGTTTTTTAAACATCTGTGCACTTGTACCAATTAATCTACCATGCTATTGCTAAGCAGGCAATGGGATGTGTATGAATCTGATTTTTCCGTGTTCTGTCCGCAGGAGAAATTTGAGGCTCAGCATTCCGAAGCTTTTAGGCACATCTCAACCCTGGAGGAAAATCTGGCACAAACCACAGCAGTCAGAGATCACCTGCAGAAATACATCCGAGAGCTAGAGCAGTCCAACGATGACCTGGAGAGGACCAAAAGGTCTGTGTCGTAATAGGTCTCATGTCTTTTTCTCACCAATGGGCTTTTGTCATCCAATAAAACCGCTGTCCCTGTCATTAATACCCGTACAGTTAGAGTGGAGCACGCACAGCCAATATAATAAATAGACCCAGTGTTTACTTTCATGGCCCCTTGTCTCTGTCCCAGGGCTACCATCATGTCTCTGGAGGACTTTGAGCAGAGAATGAACCATGTCATTGAGAGGAATGCCTTTCTTGAAAGTGAGTTGGACGAGAAAGAGAACCTGCTTGAGTCTGTTCAGAGGCTGAAGGATGAAGCCAGAGGTACACACACACACACACACACACACACATTGTGGCTTCTCAAGTTTGCAAGAGTTGCTGATCTCTGAAAACTGACATGCATACTTAACTCAGTGAAATTTTATATTCAATGTTTTTTGAGCATTTGTGAAGAATCAAATTCACTCTAGGGTAAAATGGTTTTTATACGGTCAATGGGGACTAGAGATTTTCTTTTGCTTGTGTAATGGGGATGTGCAGAGCACATCTTGATCAGCTGGCCGTGCCCTTTGTGGTCTACTCAGGTGTATCTTTAACATTAGACTAAGATGTTTGTTATGTTAGCTTTCATGTCGCTTCTGTGTTATAAGACTCTTGCTTAAATGTTTTGAATTGTCGCTTCTTGTTTGGATAAAAGAATGCACACGATTACAAGTGACACATCCTCATGAATGATCTATTTATAGTACTTCAAAGTCGCAGATAAAACCATTTTGTACTTCATAAAACGCAATGGTCACTGATGTTTTTCGTCAAACATGTTGCTCTGAAATCTTTGTCATCATCTAAATTTCCTGCCCGTCCTGTTCGTGTCAGACCTCCGCCAGGAGTTGGCTGTACGTCAGAAGGAGAGACGTCCGTCCATCAGCCTGGGCAAAGACCTGGACAGAGCAGATCCGCAGTTCCCCTCGGCCGGTTCCCCGTCCGGCGCCGTCACACCCTCCAAACCCATCAGCTCGTTTGCCACGCCACCTCCTTCCAGTATCCGACGAGGTGAATAGAACAACGTGGACCACAGTAATAGTGACTGTAGCAACTTAATATTAACACATGTGTGCACCTTCTCGCATCCGTTGGGTTTTAGGAGATGGTCTAACGGGGATGCCCCTCACAACGTCTGCTAGAATATCTGCACTGAACATTGTCGGGGAGCTGCTGAGAAAAGTTGGAGTAAGCGATTTAAAGACAACCCCTACACAGTACTCTATGAATGCATGATGTACACAGCTGTTATTTCTGAACAGGATCACTGCACTTTTTTTTCCCTCCGGTGTATGAGCTTTTTTTAATGTTTATATCCCTGCCAGAATCTGGAGTCAAAGTTGGCGTCCTGTCGAGACTTTGTGTACGACCCGTCTGTCAACAGGCCAGCACTTCCGGCTGGCCCTGGTAGTCCTTCTTGTTTAGAAAAAGGCTCAGAGGTCCAAGCTAGCAGCATGAGCCCTCCCCCCCAGTATGACAGGTGAGGAAAACCACAACATCATCAGCAGTTGGAAGTGTAATGACTGGAAATGCATTTGCTTTTATTGGGCTTTTAAGTCCGTGTTTCCCTTAAGCATCATCTTACTTCTACCTAAACAGGGCTACACCGGTTTATTTCATGATGTAAGCTACAGAGTCAGCTGTTTTTAAACTATTGGAATCATTTAGATTTTTCTGTATTTATTTTTTGTCAGTAAAGCCAACGAATATCAGGACCAATACGTTTGCGCTTAGTTGTAGCTGAGGTTTGCTCACGAGTGTCTGTGCTGCTTCTTGTCTTGCAGCTTAGTCAAACGGTTAGAATTCGGACCAGCTCCTCCAAGAGGCGTCTCCCAGGGTGCTCAGTCTCCCCAGGGTGGGGTGAAGATTCTGCTATGAGAGAAAATAAGACGACGAAGCGCCTTCCCCTCATTCAATAACCTGTCGATTCTCCATCCTTGATGAGCTTCAGCCATTTGGACTTTGAACTGAGCGGCCTTCCCTTGTCGCCACGGGCCCCCACTGAGCAATTTGGAACAAGAAAGCCACTCTCTTCGCTCCACACGATCAGGCTAGTATCCCACACCACCCGTCAACGGATGCTGCAGGAAGGGACAGAGGAGCCACTGCTCACACTCCTTCTGTGGGAAGCATTCACTAAAACCTTCTGTCTACTGATTTTCTTACTCTGCTGAATGAATAAGAGCCACTGACCCTGATGAAGGGATCAAGAACCTGAAGCATCGTTCATAAAAAAAATATTTTGATGACAGTTAAAAACCAAAGCTTTGAAATACGGGAGAACTGAACAAAGTTAAAAGTAATGATTAATAAATAATAACTGAACAGAAAAACAAAACAGTGACACTTTTTAATATTTTCGCTCTGTGTCGCTCAAATATTGTAGCACTAAACGAAACTAACATTAATTAACTAGATATTAAAATGATAGCCCCATATTTGTTTTCTAGAAGCGACTAATATTTTCTACTGCTAACAAGTCGCTGCCAAGAACTGGTGTGGATAGTTTAGCCATCTCTGCCTTACTCCACGTCGTGACCTCCTCCGGTTGTAGCAATTTGCTGTAATAATTGAAGTCGTCTAGGAGCGAGATAATGCCGCTTCCCTTCAGGCTCGTTTCATATCGCGTGGTGTGACGCAGGTTCTTTTGCAGCACCGTCGTCTTACCTTTGCACGGACTTGTTTATTGCTGGCTCATCATTATGTGGTCGCCAGACGATGGACGTAAAGCATAGAAATGGTTTTCTGCCTCAGAGGTGAGATGTTCAGACAACTAGATCATGACTGAGATTTGTCAGTCATGATCTAGTGTTGCCAATGACTCTCATAAGGATTGAAGTTAGTTGGCACATTTTTCACTACTGAATGTATAGTAATGATTCCCTAATAAGTGTGAGACCCCGTCAGCCATCACGATGGGCGAATGAGGAATAATACAAAGCAATAATGTATTTTAACAGGTCAAAGATAAGCACAGTCCATCACGTACATTTGTGTCTGTATATATGGCGTTTATGCCTTTTTAGTAGGAGATATTGTGACTCGGGGAAATAGAGATTTAACGTGACATTTTTGCTATTCCTTGAAATGTTTCTGGTTAATCTGGAGCGGTCACTACTGCCATCCAGCATCTTATTTATCAAACATTACAGTACATATTTGAATACCACATTGCGGTGCAGGTTTGGTGTGGCGTTATCTTGTGGTTAATTCATACGAGAAGCTTCTGTTTGCTCTTTAACCTCTCTTGAGCGAACTCATCCACCACCACTGTGTACCAGGTGTTTGTATACAGCAGCACCCGGCAACTGCTTCTATGAACTGTATGTGCCTGAGGTACTATACCCAACTTTTATCCTGTTGGTTTGCAGTTGTTTTTCTATTGAACTGAACAATGTTCTAATGATCTTTGACGTTACTGACCAAAATGCAAATATTAAAAGGAGTAAATCATTGTTTTTGTTGTTTAAAGATCTTTATTTCTTGTGCAGGTGGTTCAACAGTAAATAGATAGAATTGGTGTCACGTAAACAGCAGCTGCTTACAGATAAGATGATCAAATGAGAGTTGTTTTCAGGGTACTAAGAGGCTTTTTCACCATTTACAGTAAATTGCGATAAAATGCGGTTGGTGATTTATATATTTGAGGCTACCAGAAAGCTTGTCTAACCGAAACAAAATGCTGACTGGGTTAGTTGAAAAGTAATTTAAACATCGGGGCATAAGAAAAGTGCAAGTTATATAAAACCGTGACTTCAAAAATGTTTAACAGCTAAATATTTGTTTATTGGGATACAAACGGCAGCACTGACTGGATGTATAGAAAGATTTTTCAGTCGGCATCCAATCAGTGGTGCTCTAAACAGCAGTCACAGGCGACAGGACGACACGGATCCACGTCCATTGATTTACATGATGTCTGCGTTAAGTTGTGCTGACATATTAGAGACACTCGAGGCTTTGCTGGCGGGTCTGCGTGGTAATTAGAGGCACCTGTATACAAAACTTGCATAGGGAGGGAGCATTACAAAACAGTGTAACTTCAAAAAAACAAAGGAACAGCAAATCACACATCAGCATAGCCACCCAAACAACTCCCCTTCTGGTTATTGTGTACCAAGCAAAGGTGCTCTGAAACAAGACGACAGATCAGTACATTAGTCTAAGAAAATATATATTTTAGTTATATGGAAGAACAAGATCGAATAACAGGCTTTGAAGTTATTCTCTGTCCAGGTGGCAGAAGGTGCCCTGGTAGGTCCTTCGGATTTATTCGGCGTCCCTCACTCCCCAGACTTGGTTCCGTTGAAGTCGCTTTGGGAGTCGGCCTCCTCCTCGGAGGCGTCTTCCAGCACCCGTCGGCCGCCCCCCATACGCCGGGCCGTGCTGCCGAAGGAGGGCTCATTTCCACGCCTAAAATCGCCAAAGAGACACGTATCCCAACAGTGAGAGGAGCGGCTACGCGACACTTTATGAGCTGGTGAAGAAAACCACGCTTGTGTTGATGAAATACAGAATGGACAGTTGTGCTTTGGTTACGCATGACGCACGCTGGTTATCTTTGTAACTCATTTGACTCCTGGCTCAGAAAAATGAGTTTGGTTTATGGCAATTAAACCAAGCACTGAGAAGAATATGGCCACCCGTTGGCTAACAAACAGTTTAGTTTTTCCAAGGAAGTCATGGTAGCTGATGAGCCATATTTGTCTCAGTTAGGCTCAATGAAAGAAATGACAGCATTAAAAGTGCATGGGGGGGATGAGAAGTTATGGTAACTTAGGCGCAGAGGTACCTGCTGGTTACTCCTTGGGTTCAGGGTTGCCTCTGGAATAGAGATGGACACCATTGTTGTGCTTGTGCTCAGTGAAGGCCACCAAACTAAATTCTACTCACATTCTACTGCGTTAAATGTCTGTTTACAACCCGGTAGTGGCAACGTGCTCTTTAGCACTGAAATGCAGGTGACCTGAGAACAGATATTGCTACTTGAATTAAATGATTTGTGTGAAACGATACACAAATACACATGAATCCCGCTGACTATTTACCACCCTGTTAATTCTCCTACGGGGGTATCTGTGTCCTCTCGTAGTGTCACAGGGATAAAAACAAGACTAGAGACACAAAACAACGCTCCTCCCAGCCACATGAAGGAAAGATGGACTCTTGGGCACTTTTGTCTTTTTTTCTTTCACCTGAGTTTGCTCTTGAGCGTGTTGACCTCGCGGCTCATGGCGTCACTGGCCTCAGTGGCTTCGTCCAGCTCCCGCTGCAGCTTCCTGCGGGCGGCTGTAGCGCGCTGAGACTCCTCCTCTGACTCCTCCAGCTGCCGCTTCAGCTGCTTCATGCGGGTATTTGACTTTTCCGCCTGGCGGGGCGGATCGAGGAAATGCACTGACTTTCATCTGGGATACAATCTGTAGTCAGAAGAATGGAAACCGAACACATGAGCGCCGTACCTGGTCTTTGTACTGCTCCGCCTGTTTCCTTTCATCTTCCACCTGCAGAATCAGTTCCTTGAGCTTCTTGTCCTTCTGGCGCACGGTCTTAGCCGATGCCTGCTTCTCCCTGAGAGAGTGCAGAGGTGAACGCTATTTAACCTTTGACCTCTCCACTGTTGGTTTGAAGTTTTTAATGACACAAGAACATTGATGCCACATTCATTCATTTTAGATCTTAGAGGTAGTAAAATCATTTGAAAAACAATTTGATCAGACGTTCTCTGTTCCTGACCTGCTCTCCTGCTCCAGCTGCTCCTCCAGCTGTGCCACCTTCGCCTCCAAGGAAGTGATAGAAGGACTTGAACTTGGACTTGACCTGGTTCTCCATCTCCTGGAGTTTTGCCTTCAGCTCCTTGTTCTGGCGCTCCATCTGCTGCCGGGCGCTCTCGTTCTTCTGGGAGGTGCTACGCTCCGCCTGCAGCTCCGTGTTCAGCTGATCCGTCTGTATGCACGCAGGAAAGAGGGTGAGGCCCGCGCACATCTGGAGCCCTTTGGGACTCGAGTAGCTGGTGCGGTCTGGTCACCTGCAGCGTGCTCTTTCTCAGCCTGTCGTTGAGGATCTCCATGTTGCTCTGCTCCTCTTCCAGCTCCTCTTCCAGCTGGGAGATCTTAGCTTCCAGACGGCGTTTCTCATCTGCCAAGGCGGACCTGTACACAGAAACCAGTGTAACCGATACTGTGTCCTCGGCGTTCATTTCACAGCCAAAGGACTTAGATCTTCACCCACTTTCCAGAGGAGTTACTGGACAGCTCATCAGACAGCTCGTCGCGTTCGGCCTCTGCCTGCTTCCGGGCCCTCTCAGCTGCAGCCAGGTCCTGGAGACATTGTTGGAGATGAATCTGTTATTAAGAGCCTAAAATCCAAAACAATTTGCTTGTTTGTGATCTGCCGTTACCTCCTGTAGCTGCATGAGCTCAGCCTCCAGACCCTTGGCCTTCTTCTCACTCTCCTTTGCGGTGATTAACACCTCCTCTCTGGCAGCGTGGGCATCTTCCAACTCTCTCTGGTAGTCCTTCATCTGTGCCTGATGTGATGAAGAGGAACAGAAATAAGGGGTGCATCAGAATTGGATTTATTCAGCAGGTACATTTACAGTAAAGCAGTAATCAGAGCTTTGATTGCGGATGCAACACTCAACACATAATACTTACATTTATTCATTACTAACTCATAAGCGCTTTAGTTTAAGTGCCGCAGGTACCAAATGATTTGTTTAATTAGAAGCTGGTACTAGAGACGCGCTAAGTACACACTTCCAACATGGACTCAAAAAAATAACTTCATCTAAAATCAGTTCAAATGAAATTTAAAATGAAATGCTGCTGTTGAATTTCGTCCTTCCCTTCAGTCTCACCTGGAGCTTGCGGAGCTGTTTGATGGCCTCATCCCGTCCCTTACTGGTCGTCTCGATTTGTCCCTCCAGGTCCTTCATGTCTGTTTCCAGCTTCTTCTTGGCTGCGGTCGCCAGGGTCCTCTGCTTACGTTCGTCCTCCAGCTCCGTCTCCAGCTCACGGACCTGCAGTAGGGATTCCGTACCGCTTAGATCAGTGGTGTCCAAACGTTTACACGTCAAGGACCCATTAATTAGACCCACGGTACCTGATCGGATCTCATATGACTTTTGTTTTATTACTGAGTGAAGTCATTGTGTTATTTGTGGATGGAATTATAATGAAAGTAAATTATTCCATTTTTTCTGCTGGGACCCCGTAAAAACTCACTCAAGGACCCTGTTACCTGCTTGACAAGCTGTCTCTTCTTCTCCTCTCCCATCTCATCTCGGCCCTGGAGGTCCCTGTCAAACTGGGCTTTAAGGGCCTGCATGTTGACCTCCAGGCGCAGCTTGGCGTCCTCAGCCGCCTGCAGCTCGTCCTCTAGCTCCTCCAGCTGGGTCCTCATCTCCTCCACCTGGGCCTCCAGACCACGCTTGGACTTCTCCAGCTCATGAACCTGCCATCATATAAGAATAAATTAACTTCAATATTTCTGGTGTCAGTAGCATAAAGTAACCAGTTAAACCACTACTTTCAGTCTCCAAATGTCATTGTTAGTCAGTGAAGTTTGTGATGAAAGGGTGTTTCAGCACTAACATTTTTTCCCACATCATCCTTGGAGCTGATCAGGTCCTCCATCTCCATCCTCAGGGCCTTGTTGGCTCTGTCCAGCTCTTCTCTTGAGCCCTGGGCCTCATCCAGAGCTCTCGCCAGGGACAGAGCCTTGGTCTCCTTTTCTCTGGCCTCAGCTTCAGCTCTGTCTCTCTCATCTGCGTATTTACTGGAGATACTCTTCTCCTCAGCCAGCATCTGGAGACGAGGAGAGGAGAAACCAAGTAATTAGTAGTGCTGCGGATTAGATTGGATTTTCTTTGGGTAATAATAGTAATTTAAAACAGCTGACCTGGTCAAACTTCTTCTGCTTCTTTTCCAGGTTGGACACATTCTGTCTCTGGTTGTCCAGGTCCATCAGCGTGTCCTCAAGCTCCTGCTGCAGACGGTTCTTGGTCTTTTCCATCTTATCATATGCAGAGGCCTTCTCCTCAAACTGGGTGTTTGCTGCCTCCAAATCTCTCTGCAGACGTTTCTTACCTTCTTCCAGCAGCTCGATGTTTCCTGTCATTTCATCAAGCTTCTTCTTCGAATCTGACAGCTGAAGACAGAAGAAGACTTTATGGCTCACGTTGTTGAAGACGACGGTAAATCTTCACTGAAATTCAACGTGAATTAGAGTCCGTTTGAACTCTGACCTGGATGTTGAGGGTGGACACGTGTCTCTCCACGTTCCTCTTGGCCTCCATCTCCTCTTCAAGCTGCTCCTGGAGGTTATTCTTGTCGTCTTCCGCCTGCCGCAGTTTTGTAGAGAACTGCAATTTCTGACGTGTCTCCTCGGCCAGCAGCTCCTGTGGCAGCACACCAGGTCAAAGGTTGATGCTTTGATTCTGACATTTTGTTAGGAA